GTGTGGCTCTCTCTCCTGGAAACCTGCTTCAGCCTGGTGGCAATCTTGGAGACAGGAAACCCCTGGGGATGTTGGTTACTGTCCCCTAAGGAAGGCCTGGAGTCTGTGTCCACATATGGGTCACCTGACATCTGAGGAGAAACACTGGTGGGTCAAGTAAATGGCCTCTGGCCTAAGACATGAGGTTCATGAGATGCCTTTTGACAGGAATGGGCAGCAAGGCTTAAGGTCAGACAGCATGACCCACAGGCACTGGCTGTGGGCAGAGGGGCTCTCGTTGCTGGTATGTTCCACGTTCTGCCTTGGCACATATCACCTTTTTCATATTTCTCATAAAAATTACAGAGGAGACAGCCAGGTGTAGTGGCACAGCCTATGATCCCAGCAACTCTGGAGGCTGAGGAGGGGGATCCAGCCTCAACAACTCAGAGAGACCCTGTCTCAAAGTAAAAAATAAAGGGGGCTGGAGTTGTGGTTCAGTGGTGGAGCACTTGCCTAGAACTTGTGAGGCACTGGGTTTGATCCTCAGTACCACATAAAAAGAATAAATAAAATAAAGATATTGTGTCCATTTAGAACTAAAAATATATATAAGATATGAAAAATAAAAAGGCTGGGGATGTGGCTTAGTGGTAGAGTGCCCCTGGGTTCAATCCCCAGTACCAGAAATAAAAAGAAAACATAAATGAAAGAAAAACATGCTATGGGGTCCACCCCAGAATCCCCGACCCTAGCCAGCCTTCGTCCTCTGCACTTGCTCTCTGCAGACACACACGTACACTGAGCAGCTCAGTCAGCTGAGGAGCACAGACAGCACCGATTCACAGTCGCGGACCTGTATGCCCTCCCTTCAGGAGGTGGACTGTCCCCCAGTAGCTGAGAGACAGCCTCTTTTTGCTCCAGAAGGTCCTGCTGGGGGGTCTGCTCACAGGCCTTGCTCCCACAGCCAGACCCCATCCCTGACCTTGGCCTTGCTCCCACAGCCAGCCCCCCATCCCTGACCCAGTCCTTGCTCCCACAGCCAGCCCCCTGCCCTGACCCAGCTGGTGAGTCTGTACCTCGGGAGGTCGCACTTCCTCTGGAAAGAGCCTGCCACCATGAGCTGGCTGGAGGAAAATGTCCGTGAGGTTCTTCAGGCAGTGGACGCTGGGGACCCTGCTGTGGAGGCTTGTGAGAACAGGTGAGATGCTGGGTATTCGTGCAGGTCAGCCCCTCCTGCCCTCTCTGGGCACCCTCTGATGCTGTGGGCCAGAGTGGCTTCATGTCTGCTGCCGCTTGGCATAGCCCTGCTCTCCTGTGGGTGAGCACGTGGACCCCAAGGCTGCTGCCACTGTCCAGGTGGGATTGTAGGTGTGGCATGGGTCTGCCCATGTTCTGTCCTGCCTACTGCTGTGCGCCTGGTTCTCACGTCTGCTGTGGCAGGTGCCAGGCTCACACCTGCTGGCAGAGATAGCAGCAAGCAGCAGCCCTGGCCCACTCCCACCTATGGTCTGGCCTTTGGCCCTGTCAGCACTGTGGTCTGGGGACTGCTGTGGCCAGGCTGGCTGGTACAGTGAGTACTCTGTGGTCTGTACTGGCCAGGAGTCTCCCTTAGCTGCCCAGAGGAAGCCCTCTGCTGTGGAAGTAAAATTGAAGATATGATGGGAGAGTGGGGGCCCTGGCACCCTGGCCCTCACAGCCAGTGTTCACTGTGCACTTGTCTGTTCTCCACCCTGGAGGGGATGTTTCAATGGGCAGGAGCACGTTCTGTTCCCTGTGCGGCTTCTCCACCCCACCGTATCCAGCAGGGGCAGGCTCCATGCAGCAGCTGTAGTGACACTCGGGTCCTTCAGAGACTCACTCAGCACACCATGGACTGGCTGCCTGGCCGTCTGGGGGTGAAGCTGGAGATGCTTGGGAGATGGAGACCTGCCAGGGAGGAAGGGCTTGGCAGTTTGCAGGGTGGGCACTGGTTAATCTGCTGCTGTTTGCCCTGGCCTCAGGCGGAAGATGCTCTACCAGCGTGCACCCAGAAACATCCATCGCCATGTGATCCTCTCGGAGATCAGGGAGGCTGTTGCTGCGCTTCCCCCGGTAAGGAGGAGGGCCTGATGGTGGGCTGTGTGGCCGTTCCCCTCCTGCTCCTGGCAGCCCACAGGCAGGAGGGCGGGTGAGGCCAAAGGTGGCATGAGTACCTTCCCTTGGCCTACTGGGTGCTGGTCAGTCCAGGAGCAGCTGCACCCATGGTCTTGGCCCCACGTGCCTTGCTGGTGGCCAGGCCTGCATGCAACACTGCTGAGAGCAGGCTGCTGCTGCGGGGAAACCTCAAGGGCACCACAGGTGGGTAAGAAGAGGCAGGTCAGGGCGGCCAGGACAGGGGTCCCTTGGGGCCCTCGACACCACTAATTTGCCTAAGCTGCTCTGCTGATCCTCAGGACAGCACTGCCAACCTCTTCTGGCCAGGAGGGCTTGTTCTGATGAGTAGTGACAATGGTGCTGGCGGGAGAGGGTAGAGAGGCCGGACAGGGCTAAGCCGGCTTTGTGTGACTCGTGGTTCAGCCCGTGCTGTGTGGCTTGGGCACCACAGTGAGTTTGATCATGGCATGCGTGGGCACTTCCTGTGTGCCTGATCTTTCCCACCATGCCCCTGCCCAGGGGCAGAAAGCCAAGCCCATCCCCCTTCTGTGTTGAGTGACCTGCCCCAGAAGGCTCTAGCATCACTGTTTCTCCCCTTTCTAAAGGATGTGACCACACAGTCTGTGATGGGGTTTGACCCTCTGCCTCCCCTGGACACCATCTACTCCTACGTCAGACCAGAGAGGTAATGCCCTCACCCCCACTGTGCTTGTGCAGACCCAGGTCAGTGCTCGGGGCTCCCCAGGGCTCGATGCCCACCGAAGGCAGCCCAGAAGGCCAGCGGTCAGGCACAGGGAAGAGGGCGCAGCAGTGACACTCAGGACACAGCTGCCTTTGCACATATCCACCCCACTCTGAGCGTTTCTTTCCAGGTTTTGTAGCAGGTACTAGAAACGCAGAGTAAGAAGCCTCTCTGCCGTGGTCAGCTGCCGCGGTAGGAACAGATGTGAGTCGTAGAAACTAGAGATAAGTGTAAGGTCCGAAGCGCACCGAGAGATACCCAGAGCAGCAGGAAGGCAGCAAGAAGGCCCGTGAGGCTGGGCAAGGAGAGTGGGTTGGTGGCACAGAAAGTGACAAACACATCAGAGCCCGTCTCCAGGCTGCCCCCGGAGTGTGGGCAGCTTTCAGAGGCAACAAGAGCCCTTTCACCTTTACTTCTGGTGTTAGGGCCACACCTATAATCTCAGCTACTCAGGGCTGAAGCCAGGAGGATCACAAGTTCAAGGCCAACAGCTTAGCAAGACCCTTTCTCAAAATCAAAAGGGCCAGGGATTAGCTCAGCGGCAGAGCACTTGCCTAGTATGTGTGACCTGGGTTCCATCCTGGCAGGGGAATGTGCTGAGGAGCTGCTTGTCTGGGGTAAGCCCCAGAGCTGCTGGTGGCCCTCCCTTTTAAGGCAGGCTGCCTCCCAGCCCCTCCTTTTCCCACGGACTCTGTAGAAGTTATAATGGGACTGAGTGTTCACAGTGAGGCTCCCCAGTAGCTCCGGAGGAGGTCGTTGGTCAGCGGGTCCAGAGGCACCTTGCTCTGCTCTCTGCCCACATGGGCTTTCTCCTCCTCAGAGCATGGGTGTGGCCCTGGTATCCAGCAGACAGTGGCCATGGCGTCCCCTGCCTGTGGCTCTGTTCTCTGCTGGCCTGGTGCTGAAGGAGGTGTGCACCTGTGGCCCTTTTCTGTTTTGTGGTGCTGGAGATTGAACCTGGGTGCTCTACCCCTGAGCTGCAGCCCCAGCACTTTTTTAAATGTTGGGGCCATCTTGCTGATTTGCCCAGGTTGGCTTTGAACTCATGATCCGCCTACCTCAGCTTCCCAAGTCGCTGGCACAGGCACGGCCACCACGCCCAGTGAGACTGCAGTTCTTGAAGCAAGGCCTGTGCCATGGCAGAGGGACAGCCTGGCTGTGGTCATTTCACAGACTAGGCTCCTTGAAGAGCCACACCCCGGGCCCCTTTCTTTCCTTCCCAGTTGTCCTTGGGTGTCCATGGCCCCACCCCAAGCTGGACCCGGACCTGCCTTGGGAGGAGTCAAGGGGAGTCTAGCTTTGTTTTTTGACTTCTCTTGACTTCCTGTTTCAGGTTAAGTCCTGTCAGCCATGGAAACACGGTTGCCCTCTTCTTCCGGTCACTGTTGCCAAATTACACTGTGGAGGTAGGTTGGGCACGTCTCAGCTTCTGTGCTGAGTGGTTCAAGACAGTCGTCTGCATGCAGATGTCCAGCGTCAGCACCATGCTGGGCAGTGCAGGAGCGGGCCGACAGCTCCCGGGAGCCGCAGGGCTGCTCGGCCCCCTGCCTCGCACTGGCCTGGGTAGACATGTGCCTTTGGTTTTTCAGAGCTTCATGTCCTCGACAGGGACCTGAGGAGGGTCCAGGCCCGTGCTGGGGTGCAGGCCGCCCCAGGCTTGATGACGCACCTCCCTGCTTGGGCCCCAGGTCCCCAGTCCCAGCACAGAGAGGCCCTGCTCAGACCTGTCTCGCTGCTGCAGGGGGAGAGGCCAGAGGAAGGAGTGCCTGGGGGTCTGAACCACAACCAAGGCTTGAACCGGTTGATGCTGGCCGTGCGAGACATGATGGCCAACTTCCACTTCAACGACCTGGAGGCGCCGCGGGAGGACAACCCCGAGGGGGAGGGGGACTGGGACTGAGCCACTTAGGCTGCTGCGCCCAGCGCTGTGCAATTATGTTCCTGATTCTGTTCTGGTCTGGATTGACCAGTCCCCTGAAGTAGAAGTGCTGAATGTACCGTCCGCCGTGTCTTCTGTTCCCTGCAAACATGGATGGGTTTCTTCCCTGCTGCAGGGGCTCCTCCTCCAACACTCAGCTCCACCTCAGCACTCAGGAGTCAGAGCCAGCCCTGGCCCACGTGCGGCCCACACCGGAATATGGACACAGGGCTCCAGGGGGATCCCTGGTGGTGTGGGATCTCCAGGCTTGTACTGAGAAGAGGTGTCTGCATGGCTGGCCTTCAGGTCACAGCCCAGTTCTTTTCGAGCAGTTGGGGATAATGTGGGGGGGGGTCCCTCAGCTGGACGCTGCGGCCTCTCCAAACTTGCGAGTTTTGAACTTTCTGAGCACACATTCTACCTTGGAGCCCCAGCCCCAGCCCCAGCCCCGTACTGTATTAGGAAACTGGAGGGCTGAGACGCAGCTGAGGGGTAGAGCACTGGGCTGGCATGTACAAGGCTCCGGGCCCCATCCCCAGCACAGCAGGGAAGGAAGGCAGGAGGGAGGGGAGGGGAGGGGAGGAGACAGGGAGAGAAGGAAGGAAGCTGGGAAGCTTCAGGGGCAGTGTCCAGAGGTGAAGGAGAAGCCCAAAAAGCAAGTTTAGGAAGAAAGTTGTTGAGGCAGATTGGGGGGTCTATGACAGGTTAATGGACATTTGTTCTGGGGATAACTGGGAGCTCCAGTAAGACCCCCAGGTTGGCTCACAGCTGGCCACACAGCCAGTGCACACCAGAGCCTCAGTGCCATTGTGCCTAACCACTGGAGGGACAGATCATGTGACCCAAGCCAGGCATGTTGGCCACACCTGTAATCCCAGCGACTCAGGAGGCTGAGGTTAGGGCTAGGGATGTAGCTCAGGGATAGCATGCTTTTCAGTCCCTAGTAACCAACAAATGAATATCCTGTCTAGTTCTGGAAGGGTCAGGAAACTGAGGGGTTGTGAGCTGTGCCAGTTCTCTCCTGGGCCCCCTTCACAGTGCTGATCTTCTGCCCCAAGAGGGGCCAGGAAGAGGTGCAATCCCAAATTTTAATGTTGGCCTAACGGGGTTTGGTAGGGGATTGCACCCATCTCCAGGTTGGGCAGCACCCGAGCTTCCACAGCTGGGGTGGGCTTGGGGGGGGGGGAATCTACTGAAAAGGGTTTGTTCTCTGAAAATGACAGGCAAGCAGGGTACCCTTCCTCTTCCTGCCTTAAATCCAGATATCTGATATCTGGAGCCACAGCAGTGATCCTGCATCCAGGAGCCAGTGAACTCTGAAATGAACGGCCAGCACTCTAGCATTAGTGAAGCAGAGAGAAGGGCCCTGGGCTTGAGGGACCGGCTCAGCTGCAGGCCTGCTTCCTGAGGCCCTGAGCCCACAGCACCTCATGGTGCCACTTGGGCTTAAGCAGTGCTACAGCTGAGCACTCTTCTAGAGTTGCTCACGTCTCTGAACAGCCACGAAGGCCTAGCTGCCAAGCAGGCCTGGCTCCTCTTTGGACCACTCGGCCTCAGCAGGAGGCCCTGGGTGATGGGCAGGGTGGCTGACCAGCTGTGGCCTTTCTCACCGGAGCTAGACAAGGTGGGCACCCAGGAGCAAACCTCCCTGTCACCTTCCAGACAGGGACTTCAGAGGAGGCTGACATTGCCAAGATGTGGCCAGCACCCTTCCTGAGAAGCTGTGCTTGGGCATGAGGGTCAGGTAGTGGCCCCACTATCCCCGTGTGGGGCAGGCCTGCTGTGCACTGCCCTCCTGTGGGAACCAGGATACTCTGTGAGGGCCAAGTATGTCCATCTGGGGCAAGACTGGGAGCTGCACTGGGCGCCAGGACATCCAGGTCAGGGCACACTCAGCCTTAGCACCATCTGGCCTCATCTGGGCACAGACAGCCCGAGGCTGCTCTCTCCACTTTCCCTGCTGTCACAAGCCAAAAGGTGACTGTCTCCAGCTCAGCTGTACTGGGCTCCTTCCCACGAAGCCTGCAGCAGGAGTGTCCAGTGAGGTCCAAGACAGGGAGTCCTGAGGCAGGGTTGTCTTGTTTCTTATGCCTGCCAACTGGGTCTCGTGGGAGGAAGGATGTGGTCACCTCTGCCAAAGGCTACCCCAGTCTCATGCCTTTGAAGTCTCAGGCTTGGCAGAGGAGGGATGGGGAGAAACATCCCTCTCAAAGGCCTTGTTCATGGAAGTGGAAATCCACATCCCTGTTAAGGGGCCCTGAAGCAGGGGGCGGGGGCGGGCTGCCCGCCGCTGCCCCGAGGTGCACAGTGGTCTGCAGCTGCTGCTGCCTGGGCTGCACGTGGCTTTGGGCCAGTGCTGCAGCACAGCCCTCGTGCTGGAACCCGCTCCCCTGGGCCATTCTCAATGAGGGGCAGAGGTCATGGAGGCAAAGAGCTGAGCTCAGGGTATGGCAGTATGTGGGCCCTGTTCTCCATGCGGGCTCTCCGTGGAGGCTTGTGGGACTGGTGAGCTGCCAGAAAGAAGCAGTCCACCAACATGGAAAACGGCCAGATCCACTAAGGATGGACACCTTGTGGCACCAACATTGCCCCTTGTTCCCCAGGGGATGTGCGCCAAGCCTCCAACGCCACCTTGGGCCGTCCCGAGTAGCTGGAAGCTGTCCAAATGCCAAGCATGATCTGCTCACATAATGGACACCACACGGTCTAAGTGGGAGGATTTTAATTACCTGCAATAAAAAGGATGAATCTCAGTGTGAGTCAAAATACCAACCAGAAGGTTCCATTTATATGACATTCCAAGAAAGGCAAAATTCACCTGTGGTGTTGAGGTCAGGACAGTGGCTTGCAAGAGCAGGCAGGAAGGGACCTGAGGCTGTTCTGGCGCGGGCCACTCTGCAATCTGTGGGTCTGGGTGCTGCTTCCTGGCTGTCCTCAGGCTGGGGAAGCCATCATTCTGATGTTTGTCATCTGTGGGTTTCCATCTGTGTTGTACTTAAGTGCTCCACAGTAAACACGAGGAGTTGGTGAGTTGCAGGGTGGGGTTGTAAGGAGAGTCCCACCAGGGTTAGTGGGCACTGTCCTGTGCTTTCACACACTGGTGTTCGGGCATGGTGTGGCCCGAGGCTGTCTGGCAGTGGGATAGATGAAGGAGTGAGAGAATGGATTCTAACACACGTACTGCAGAAACAAGTGCTTTCAAAACACCTCAGGGTTGCTAGGTGCAGTGGTCACACCCATCATCTCAGTGAGGCCATGAGGCTGTGAGGCCAAGGCAGGAGGATCACAGCTTCAAAGCCAACCTTTGCAATTTAGCAAGACCCTGCTTCAAAATAAAATTAAAAGGGCTGGGGGTGTGGTCCAGTGGTAGAGGGCCTCTGGGTTCATTTCCTAGTACAGCCAATAAATAAACACACAATAAATAAAAAAAAGGTCTAGGGATATAGTTCAGTGTCAGAGCACTCCTGGATTCAATCCCTAGTACCACAAAATAGAATCTAAATATTTTTTTTTTAAATGGGCTGGGGATATGGCTTATTGGTAGAGGGCTTACCTAGCATGTGCGAGACCCTGGGTACAGTCTTCAGTAATGCAAGACACAAACACATCTTGCCCGAGAAAGTGCTGGGGCACCCTGGAGAGAGCCTAGCAGATACCCAAATGGGAGCAGGACTGCCTTCCCCACCCAGGCAAGGGCTGTAAATGGTTCTCAAGGTTCCATCCCTGGCTGTGGCCCACTAAGGCCAGAGACAAGAGTGCCCTGATGTGGTCCCCAGCTCCAGGTCCTGTATGCCCACAGCATGAATGGGGGTGCCACCAGGGAGGGGTAGGCAGCTGCAGCTGGTGCCCCAGGGAGTGAGCAAGTCCGCATGGTGACAGGTGCTGGTAGACCTCAGCAGGATGCATCTGGCCAGCCGCCAGGAGAACGGCCCCCCACAGCCCCAGCAGCGCTACAGTTGGGGGCTGTGGCCGCTCTGGCATGGCAAGGTGCTCCTGTGGGGTACGTCTAGTGCTGACCTCTGCTCAGGCTGTGGCTCCTGCCTTGCCAACTGTTTCTTGAGATTTTGATCATTTTACAAGTTCTCAGGATGCAGGTGTGGCTCTGGTAGAGCACTAGCCTTGGGCTCCACTCTCAGCAAAAATTTAAAAAGAAAGAAAGATGGGGCTGGGGTGGTGGCTCCATGGTAGAGTGGCTGCATAGCATGTGTGAGACCCTGGGTTCCACCCTCAGCACCGCATAAATAAATAAAAAGGTATTGTCTATCTACAACTGAAATTTTTAAAAAAATATTTAAAAAGGATGAAATTTATAAAGCCAGCACGGTGGTGGACAATTCAGGGCGCCCCTGCCTACAAAAATAACAACAAAGGGGCTGGGCTGGGGCTCAGCGGTAGAGCACTCTGTCAGCACATGCGGGGCGCTGGGTTCCACCCTCAGCACCACATAAAAATAAACACAGGAAATAAAAGTATAAAAAATTTAAAAATGCCCCAGAGGCGACGTGCCTCCTGCCTGGCAGGGTGGGCTGGCAGCTGCTCCCACCATGAAGCAGAGCCCAGTGGCACCAGGGAACGCAGGGAAGCCGCGATGAGGCTGCAGGAGAATTAGAAGTTTCTCAGAAGGGGGCGCAGGGGGGTCCTCAGAGGCAGGACTGATGACGCAGGGGCAGGAGCACGGGGAAGGTCAGCATGGCTTTGACCCCGCGCTGTGCCCAGGGGTCCTTGGGCTCTGGCGCCTGCTGGGTGCCGCTCACACCCCTGGCGGCCGGTCCCGGGGTGCTCACGCAGCTCAGTCGCACGCCCATCATGTGCCACCCTCTGGAGGAGGGGCTCCGCGGACAACTTTAAAGAAAGGCTCCATTCTTCCTGGGACCTCAGCCTACCCCTGGCCCAGGGAGGCAGGAGGCCAGGCAGAGTTATCAGAGGCAGGTGACCTAGAGGCTCCCGGAGCAGATGATGTCCCCACCAGAGCAGCCTCCAGAGAAGAGGTTGGCAGTGCAGTGGATGACCAGCTTCATTGGCACTGTGAACTGAGATTCCGGGAGCAGAAGGTCCACACCGCAGAACTCAGGGTCCCAGCCAGGAGGTCTCTGGACTCTACTGGGGCCATGCCTAGGCCAACCTTTGTCCAGCCAGGGAGAGGGTGAGTGCGAGTGTGAGAGTGGGATGGAACAGGACAGGTGTGAGTGACACCCGACGCACCATGAGCTGAGCTGGTGCCTGGAGCCTGACACAGTGGAGTCTGGGACCCTCCATCCGCCCCTCCTGCTCTGAGGACAGGACTATGCCTGTTCAGAGGAGGCTCCTGGGCTCTCTCAACTCCACCCCTACGGCCACCCCTCAGCTCCGGCTGGCCACCAACCAGACGGGCCCCCAGTGCCTGCTGGTGTCCGTTCCTGACGGGCTCTTCCTTGGCCTGGGGCTGGTGAGCTTCGTGGAGAACATGCTGGTAGTGGTTGCCATCGCCAAGAACCGCAACCTGCACTCTCCCATGTACTGCTTCATCTGCTGCCTGGCCCTGTCTGACCTGCTGGTGAGCACCAGCAGTGTGCTGGAGACTGCCATCTTCCTGCTGCTGGAGGTGGGCGCCCTGGCAATGCCAGCCGCTGTGGTGCAGCAGCTGGACAATGTCATGGACGTGCTCACCTGTGGCTCCATGGTGTCCAGCCTCTGCTTTCTGGGGGCCATTGCTGTGGACCGCTACATCTCCATCTTCTATGCACTACGCTATCACAGCATTGTGACGCTGCCCCGCGCACGGTGGGCCATCGTGGCAATCTGGGCGGCCAGCATCCTCTCCAGCACCCTCTTCATCACCTACTACAACCACGCAGCTGTCCTGCTTTGTCTCGTCACCTTCTTTCTGGCTATGCTGGCACTCATGGCAGCTCTCTACATCCACATGCTTGCCCGGGCGTGCCAGCATGCCCAGGGCATCGCCCAGCTCCACAAGATGCAGCGACCAGTGCACCAGGGCTTCCGCCTGAAGGGTGCTGTGACCCTCACTACTCTCCTGGGTGTTTTCTTCCTGTGCTGGGGCCCCTTTTTCCTGCACCTCACCCTCATCGTTCTCTGCCCCCAGCACCCTGCCTGCAGCTGTGTCTTCAAGAACTTCAACCTGTTCCTGGCCCTCATTATATGCAACTCCATTGTGGACCCTCTCATCTATGCCTTCCGCAGCCGGGAGCTCCGCCTGACCCTCAAGGAGGTGCTGCTGTGCTCCTGGTGAGCAGGGAGGGTGGCTTCTGGAATCAAGGCCGGGATGCTGGGCAGAGTAAGACAAAGGTATCCAGTGGCCCGAGTCCTGTGTGGCCTTGGATAGGCCCTTCCCTTCTTGGTCCCATTTGCCAAAGGACAGACTAGATGATCTCTAAAGGTGTGAAAGCACAGACCGGGGACAGGAAGAGGGGTAAGTGTGACCTCCAGAAACCACCCCCTCAAATGAAGTTGTGGGAAATGGAGGAAGTTGGGGAGGGGAGGGGCTTGGTTACTGGGCAGCAGGGGCAGATCCTAGGATCCTAAAGAGACATTCTCTGTCCTAGGGATTTCTGCTTCTGCCTGTGACTAGGCAATGCCCACCATCACTTGGTTCTTACTGCCAGCTCTTGGGGCTTGTGCCCTCAGCAGCTGGGACAGGAAGCCATGGAAAAGGGACCCTGCTGCTGTTCAGGGCCTCAGGAGAAAGGGCTTTGTGAGCAGAAAGATCCAGCCACAGCTGTGCAGCAGGCTGCTTTCAGAAGTGAGCTAGGGGACTGGATTTGCAGAATGGGCCTATTGCACAGGGGTGTCCACCAGAGTGGGGCTGAGCACCCAGCCAGTTTGCAGGCTCAGAGGAAACCCGAGAGTTGGGAATCCAGCACCACACTCACCCCAGGCATGGGGATCCAGCAAAGGCACGCTCTGGCTGCAGGAGAGGCTGCCAGTCTGAATCAGTGGCCAGTGCCTGGGAGTGCAGGGCCAGGAAACAATGGGTAATAATGCTGTGCTCAGGTGCTGCCTCACCACCACCTCCTGGACTCTTCCAGAAGCTGCTTGAAATCTGGGTGGAGGGAAGGCAGGGACAGTAGTTATGATGGGGAGAAAGGAATCCCAGAAATCATGACTGTCTACCCAGGGGAGGAGACCACAGTTCCAGAGGCCTCCAGTGTCCATAGGAAGAGTGTATCGACTTCAGGCCTCAGCTCCTTCTTGGCCATTTGTCTCTCTGTGGCTACAAACCGCAATACAGAGCCAAGGACACGTGTTCAGCAGCCCCTTCCCCCAGTCACCTCCATGGTGACAAGACTCATACTGCCCAGAATGCCTCTGGCCCAGCTCTACACTGGCAGTAGCAGCACCACCCAGTCCCAGCCCCTGAGGTGCAGACGGCTGACCCCAGCCAGAGCATGCCCCTTTCCTGGCCTCATCCCTGCAACCCCACAGCTATGGCACACAGTGAATGGGACCATCCTCATCTACTATGAGATGCCCAGAGGGGCCTGTGGCCCCGGGGTGGAACAGGGATTGGGGTCTTTTCTCTGCTAGTCACTGTCCTCCTGGGAGCTGGGTCAGTGCTCTGCCAGCCCTGGGGAAATTTTTAGACAAGGCCTCTGAGGACGGGGTGAGGTTGTCTAGGGACTCAGGATGTCCAAAACCGAGTCCAGGGCAGTGGGCATCTTGGGGTGAACTATACTGCTTGGTTTTAGAGAGAGTTGTGGACCCCTGTGCCCCTCTTCTGAAGAAAACTGGGCTTCTCACTAAGCCCACCTAATTTTCCTGCACAGACACTGGACATCAGCAGACCTCCTCCCTGGGGTAGGCTTGGTGGGAGCTATCATGTCCTGTTAACCTTCTCCCAGACAGGTCTAGTAAGCAGCCCCCACCACGCTGTCAGCTGCAGCCCAGACTGCTGGTTCCCGGCAAGGCCAGTCTCTGCTGGGAGACAGAACAGTGAGTCAGCCTTCAGCCTGGCACCAGAGCCCTCTGGGGACAGAGGGGGAGCTGGCTTGGTCTGATGCCATCCTGGCAGAGAGGGAGTCCAGGCCTATGGATGGTTCCAAGCTTCTTCCCTTGCTCGGACAAGGAGGCACAGCCAAATACTCACCCAGGACTCCTTGAATGGGGACAGCTGGAAACCAACCACGGAAAGCCACATCATGGACAAACTGTGGGGGAGGGGCGTCTCTTGAGAACAAAAGACCCATTTCTATGCTTGCCAAACCAGGGAGCTTCTCCCGAGAGAGGAGAGAGACGCAACTACAACACACAGCACTCCTGCACAGAATGGAGGGCACAGGCGCCTGCAGCTTGTTCTCAGCTGCTGGCTTTGAAGTGAATGATGCTTGAGGGTCTACACACTGTGGTGCTGCCTGAGACCCTTCTTAAGGGATTTCTGTCATCAAAGTTCCATGAGGACCTCATTATAAGGTGTCATTGGAATATCTAACCCTAGATGAATATTAAACCAGCAGTATGTATGAATAGAATGATGCATGGCAGATGCATCCTCTCCTTCCTCTTCTGACAGTCTCCTTAAGTAGGTGGTTCCAGATGGCTCCAGGTCCCCTCCCTACCCTCACTTATACCAAGAGTTCAAGGATACAGGTGACATCAGGGAATGGGTCAGAAACTGCTGTCCTCTGTCTTTTGCCCTGGTAGGTCCAGTGCCTGGCTTATGTACCTTTAGGACGATTCCTGAGGCGGATATTCATGGAGCAAGGGCTGCATGCCAGGCGCTGGGAATGCCCAGGAGTGCAATGCCTCCTCATGGCCACCCTCGGGGAGGAAGGGCAGGTGGCACCTTCCGTTGCCAGGTCAGGGACTCTGAGTTGCATACATCACCTGCTGCCCTTCTGTTCCCCTAGTCTCCTAACTCGGATGTTTCTGGGTCCTGTCTGAAGCTCGCTTTCTTGCAGGTGGCCTGCTTAGTGGGTTCCTGCCTCGCCCACCCCTACAAACCTGGCAGAGACCAGAATACCTTGTCTGCCACAAGATAGGGATCCAGGAAGACGGGGGTTTGTTCCTAAGCGGATGAGAAGAAAGACCCTACTCACAAAGCCTCAGGGTGGGGCTGCAGCAGTGGTGGAACCCAACAGGGCAGCTGCCTCGGGGAGGGATGTCCAAGGGCCCAGGGGAGCTCTATTGTCCTCCCTGGAGTCCCCACTCGCACAACCGGACCCTCTGGGAGCCAGCCCCTCCTTTCGGAGGCGCCGGGCCCGGCCTAGTCCCGGCGGCGGGAGTAGGAGCCGCATTGCGCGGGCGGAGCCGGGATGTGCGGTGCTGATGCTGCAGAGCCGGTGCCGCATTCTGCGGCGGCGCCCTGGGATTGGCCGCGCCCGCTGATGTCAGGCCGGCGGGGGCGGGGCCGGCGCTATAAGAGCTGGTGGCGGGGGCCGCCGACCCTCTGCAGCCCGCCCGACTGTCCGCTTGCGCTCGCCGCCGCCCGCCAGACGCAGCCAGCATGAGGGAGATCGTGCACATCCAGGCCGGCCAGTGCGGCAACCAGATCGGGGCCAAGGTGAGGCCACGCGTCGCCCCCGCCCGCCCTGCATCCCGGCGCTCATCCCGGGGACCCCCACGGCGCGGCGGCTCCGGGGAGCGAGGCGTGGTGCACCCCGGGCTGCACCCCGCGCCGCTCCCGCCGCTCCCAGCCCGGAACAAAGGGATGAGCGCGGTACCCCGCCGGGCGGCAGGGGCGTCGAAATCCTCGCCCTGTGATTCCCACCCGCGCCTTTCCTCTGCCCCTGCCCAGGTGACCTCGGCCTGTTGGCGGGCAGCCCACGCCAGCTGCTAAACCTCAGCTCCATCTACACCTTCTCCCTCCCCCCGCGGCCTCAGCAGGCCTGCTGGGGGGACTGTCTGGGCGTGGCCCTCTTTGGGGCCGCACCTTAGCCTTGAGTGAGATGGATAGGTTGAGCAGCTTTGGGTGGGGCTCTCCCCCAAAGCTATGATGATTCCCTCTGCCCAAACCTCCACTGAAAGAACGGGATGTCCTCCAAGGGACAGAGCCGCCCTCCTGTCCCCAACCCTGTTCTGAAAACCCTGGCTTCCTAGCCCCACCCTATTCCTTTGTTGGAGGAATTGGGTGACCTTGGTCCAGAACTGGACTCTTCCCTCAACCCTGCTCTTTCTGGACAAAGGCCCGATACCTCCCTGGACGGCGCCCACCCAGGGTCTACTCCTGCAGCTTGGACACTGGGACAAAGGGTAGCTGCAGGTGCGGGGGCTGCAGCCTCCCTCTGCATTTCTCCTTGTTAGTTCACCTCACAGATGTCGAGGCTGAGGCAAGGAACGGTTTGGTGTGCGCCTCTGCAGGGAACTTCAGGTGTCCTCATCCCCACCCGGACTGTGAGATAGCCGTTCCTGTCCCCAAGTCCTGGAAGGCTGTCCCCTGCCCAAGGTCACACAGCAGGTGGAAGGCAGCTGGCTGACCCCTTAGCTCTGTCCCTTGCAGAGCTGGGGCTTGGGCTGGGGGGGTGGAAGGGTCTACCCTTAGAACAACAGTGTGGAGGGAGGTGGCTTTGTCAGGACCGAAGCCAGGGACCCAGCTCAGGGTTGCTGTGGAGCTAGTTCCCAAGAGGGCCTTGGGGGAGATAGTTCCTGGAGGGGAAGGGGTCGGACCAGAACTTCCCCTGGAGGCTGTTGCCATGGTAACCAGGCAGGAACAAAAAGCTAATTACAATGGGCTGGGGCAGCCACGTGGCTGACATGTAAATTGCAAGTTTGGCTCTAGGGTGGAGATGCCTCTGAAGGGGGTGGGGCAGTACGGGGAGATCCTCTAATCACCAGAAGAGACATCTGTGTCCCTCTAGGAGGGATACTGGGGGAGGGGAGGCTTGAGGGCTGGGGTTCTCAGATCTAATCAGGACTCCTGGGGCAGTCAGTGACAGCTGCCCTGACTTGATGGGAGGAGCTGAACACTCCTTACTGTGGTCACAGGGACCAGGCCTGCTCTGAACATCTGCTCCTGGGAGGGTCAGAGGTCAGTGCTGGGTGGAGAGGATTGGCAGCCCTGAGGCCTGCCTGGTGACCCTGCTGCTATTGCTAGGCCTGGCCCAGCACTTCAATCCCACAGGCACACATTAGACAAAAGCTCAAACAGTCAAAAGTCTACACCCACAGTCTACACCCACTTCCTTACGCAGCCTACAGAGTGCTGGACAGTGTCTACGGACACTGGACTATGGATATTAGGTTTGCTTCCTATTTTTATTCCTTTTGAGTTGTTTTTATTAATGTATGTTTGTCTAAAAACAATTTCCCCTGCTGGGCGTGGTGGTGCATGCCTGTGATCCCAGCAGCAGCTGAGAAGACTGAGTGAGGCAGGAGGATCACAAGTTCAAAGCCAGCCTCAGCAATTTAGTGAGGTCCTAAGCAATTTAGCAAGATCCTGTCTCAGAATAAAAAAAATTAAAAAGAGCTGGGGTTGTGGCTCAGTGATTAAGCGCCCCTGGGTTCAATCCCTGGTACCAAAACAAAAACAATGAGAAAAAAATATTTCTGGCTGGGTGTGGTAGCGCAGCCTCTAACCCCAACTATTCCATAATTCCCAGTTGAGGCAGAAGGATCCCACCTTTGCGACCAGTTTGAGCAATTTAGTGAGACTCTGTCTCAATAAAATAAAAAGGGCTCGGGATGTAGGTCAGAGGTAGAGCACTTGCCTGGTGTATGGAAGGCCCTGGGTTCAATCCTCAGTACTTAAAGGGGGGGGGGGGAAGCAAACAGAGGCAAATTTTCGGAGGAGGGGGGATACTTTGTTTTTCCCTTCTCCCCTTTGTGGTGATCAGTGATCAGTGTGAAGCAACTTAGCACTTCTCTTGTGCAGCCCCCCAACCCTGCTCTCAGGGGTCCTAAGCTGGAGACCCCTGGGCAGGGCCCTGTGTGGAGGACTCATCTGCTCAGCATCTACCCCAGACCACAGGAAATTTCCTGGCTATTGTTGCTGGCCCCTGGTACAGCGGGAGCTAGGTCCCTGCCATGGGCCGCGGTGGGATCAGGAGCTTTTCACCTGCCCACTAGCTGCAGGTGGGCCAGGGGCTGCTTTCCTCCTCCCGGGTCCTGGGTGGGCCAGGCTCAACACAAAGGGCCGCGGACTCCAGGAGGTGCCCGGCTGGGGTGGGTGGGCGGAGGAGGGATAGGGTCAGTGGCCAGGAGCGAGCACTCCGGAATGGCAGCAGCAGAGCCGTAGTGATTTGTGGGAATCAGCACCGTCGTCGTGGTGGCTTTGTTTCTGTCATCTTGAAGGCTGTGGCGAGGTGGGCATCGCCCGCCCCCAGGATGAGAACACCGCAGCTCCGGGAAGCTGAGTCACTTGTCTGGGATCACGCCATGGGCAGGGCAGGGCAGGAATTTTAAATCCAGGTCTTGCAGAAGTGGCGTGGTCACGGCACCGTGGGCGGGGACTCACCTACCCGCCCCCGCCCCCCGCAACCACCAGCAGACGAGCCAGGGCTCCCCCTGGCTCCCTCGGCTGGGTCCAGGCCCCAACCCCACTCTCCTCCCCTCTAGGGCAGGGCAGCGCTGGACCCCGCCTGCAGTCCTCTTTGTCTGCGCCCCACAGAACGCCTGAGGCCTGGGCGACGCCCCTCCATCGGGGCTGGGCGGGGCATCAGGGCGGGGCCTGCCCTGTAAGCCAATGGGAGGGGGATGCCCCCCCTTGCCCTCTGGGGTCCCGCCCCCTGGTCCTCGAGAAGGTTCGGGCTGCGGCCAACAAGCTGGGGTCGCCAAGCGAGGCTGGGCCCAGAACCCAGGACCCATGCTGCGTCTGGCCGTGTCTTTTCTGTGATGATGCTACTTGATTTTCAAAGTCCTATTGCTCTGATTATTAAACATCTTACATAATGTTCTTTACTGATAAGACTTTATTTTAGATGATTTAATCCGAGTGGCAAACTCAGGGGAGCTGTACCACTGAGCTGCATCCCAGCCTTTTTCTTTGATTTTTTTACTTTGAGTCAAGTCGATTTTATGAGTTGCTGACCTCAGACTTGCTCTCGTCCTGCCTCAGCCTGCCAAGTCCCTAGGATCACAGGTGTATGCACTGTGCCCAGCGATTTCTTACTAACGAAAAAATGCAATGGTTGATATATTCTTCCTGTGAAAAGTTGAGACACTGCAGAGTCCGGTGGCTTAGATCTGTAGTCCCAGCTGCTGGGAAAGGCTGGGGAATAAAGAAGATCACTTTAACCCAGGAGTTCAGGGCCAGCCTGGGCAACATATTGAGGCTCTGCCAAAAAGAGCAAAGCACTGCAGATGAGGAAACATTTTTCCCTTCTTGGTCCTACTGTCCAAGCCCAGACACAATTTTCTGTTCTTCCGATCCATTTTATTTAAGTTACCTGCACATATGGTTTTAAAATTTTAAATAGCACTGAAGACCTTGTTACCAGTGAAGCCCACATCCGTGGAAGGCTTTCTTGTCAAGGCTGAGCCAGTCGCTTGTGGGTATCATTGTCTGTCTAGGTTGAGGCTGGTGTCCTCTCTGGGGAGGGCTGCTTCTCACTGGACATGTGGCGACCACTGACTGAGTTGCGTGCACTGTCACACACACACACTGTGTTGAGCTCCTCTCACTTCTGCAGATACTGGTGAGTGGTGGCCCTGTAGCCAGAGGCTGGGGCCCTCCAGACTAATGGATCAAGGGCCCTGGCTCTGGACGGTCAGCAACCAAACAGTTCTTTAAGACAGCCTGCAGGGTCAGAGAAGAACACCTCTAAATGCCTCCAACCCATCTGTGAAAATCAACACATACTTATTGCTAAGACAACAATAAAACTTAGTAAAGACAAAAGTACACAAGAGGGAAAGAAATCCAGTCTCATCCTTGCTGAGAGGTGACCCCTGAAAACAGTCTCTTGGGATAAGCTGCCAGGAAACATTTTTCCTGATTTTTATTAGTGAATGCTTTCTTCATACTCTTTGGAGTTTTTAAAATTTTATTTTTAACTAATCTTACTTTAAAAGCCAATGTGTTCATGTGACAATTCCCACAGTACCAAAGAAGAATAGTCTGTGAAAAGCAGTCTCTCTCCCAGCCCAGGACCCCAGGCACCGCTCTCTGTGTCTCTCTCAGAGACATCCAAATATAGAGAAGCACATGCAAACTGTTCTCTTCCACCAGCACATGACTCCGATGTAGAGGCCCTTTGTTCCCAAGGCTTCGCACCAGTAACTCATCTGGAAGTCACTGCAGCCCCGAGGAGGCGACGGGAGGGGCCTCACAGCCTACATCCTTGGAGTCTTACACATGTGACTTAGGAGGCAGATGCTGTGCCCCAAGGAAGTGTCCCTGGGATGAGGGCAGACTTCTTCTGATGCTCCCTCATCCAGGGTGTGTGCCAGCCTGTGGGCTAACAGTTCTGCATGGTACTAACCATCTGCCATGAACTGTTAATTTGCTTTGCATAGATTAGCTCACTGTATTCCTACAGATTTGTTATCAAGCTCACTGTACAGACTGCACCAGGGCACAGAGAATCCTGGTGACCTGCCTGAGGTCACACAGCTGGGAAGAGGTGGGGCCAGGCTGTGAGTCCTCAATCATGGTGCTACTGCACAAGCCCTGTGCTACCTACCCTGCTCCGCTGCAGGTGTGGGACCAGAGTTTGAGAAGCACTGTGTGTTCCCGCCCAAGGTGGGTGCAGCAGGTGGTAGGGCATGAGCCTTAGCCTTGCCAGGTTCCATGTGGACGGCCAGGTGAGGGTGGCCTGAGGGAAGTTATTCCCACATGGGACCCCAGTAGCCCAGCTGCAGACTCAGTTGGGGGTGCTTGCTAACACTGGCTCCCAGGGTCCCTGTGGGTCTGCCTGGCTAAGACAGTGTTTTGGTCAGTTTTTGCTGCTGTGAATAAAAAGACCTGAAAAGAACAATTAGAAGAGGAAAAGTTTATTTGAGGCTCACAGTTTCAGAGGTCTCAGTGCATAGAAGGCTGGCTCCATTCCTCAGGGCTCAAGTGAGGTTGAACATCTTGGTGGAAGAGTATGGCAGAGGGAAACAGCTCACATGATGATCAGAAACCAGAGAGAGATTCCACAGCCAGATGCAAAATATATACCCCAAAGGCATGCCCCCAGTGACCCAACCTCCTCCAGCTAACCCAATTAATCCTATCAGGGGATCAATTCACTGACTGGGTTAAGGCTATAACCCAGTTATTTTTCCTTTAAGCCTTCTTGCATTGTCTCACACGTGAGCTTTTAGGGGACAACTCACAATCAAACCATGACAGGCAGGGCTGAGCCCCAGCACTGGACACTGCTTACTCTGATGCCAAGGGCCACACATAGTGGCTAAAGGATGTGACAGATCTGGGCCTGCTTTCCCTTGTCTGGAAAGAAGGAATAATATAGCCCAGGAAGTGTTATCTCCTTGCCCATGAGTGCAAAGCTGGGTCTGGGAAACTGGTTTATGGGGGCTGAGCCCTGGTCTACCCCTGGGCCCCCGGGGCAGCCTGGTCATGCAGGCAGTGGGTTGTCTGACAGGTGAGAGCACAGGGTTTTCCTACTCATAGGCTGTGAGTTATAAGGCCCCAGGTGGGTGGGTCCTAGCCTTGGATGTGGCTGCTCGCTGACTCTTCTGTGCCTCCCTTGCAGTTCTGGGAAGTCATCAGTGATGAGCACGGCATCGACCCCAGTGGCAACTATGTGGGGGACTCGGACCTGCAACTGGAACGCATCAGCGTCTACTATAATGAGGCCTCCTGTGAGCACCTGCCTTTGGGAACCGGGTGCCTGGGTGGGCAGAGTCCTAACACCTCTGCCTCCACTGGTTGGCCCAGAGGCTAGCAGGTGTCCTGGAGATTGGGCATTCATACTCACGGAATGAAAATGTCAAGTCAATTGACAGCCAGCACAGAGTGAGGTGCAGACCTCTGATGGCAAAGAGGGCAGGTGTACAGTCCAGAGGAGCAGGCTGGGGGAGGGCCCAGAGCCCACTCACTGGAGGGCTTGGTTGGGGGCTGTTTGGTAACCAGTGCAGAGTGATTTCCATAGCAAACTGGTGAAATATCAACCTGCCCACAGGGATGCACAACTTGACTGCCATCTAAGGTATCAACCATTTTATACATGGCAGGATTTAGAAGGAAGTGAGGAGCCCTTGAGACCCACATTACTGAGCCCCCCTCTCCCCTCAGCTCACAAGTATGTGCCTCGGGCCATTCTGGTGGATCTGGAGCCTGGAACCATGGACAGTGTCCGGTCTGGGGCCTTTGGGCACCTCTTCAGGCCTGATAACTTCATCTTTGGTAAGTTTCTCCTGCTACATATGCACTTAGGGCCCAGCAGCCTGGGCAGGTGAACCCACATTGCAGAGGGGGTGAGTCAGAAACAGGATAAAGTCTTTTGCTGGGACCATACAGGTTGGAACTAATCTTTCCAGTTTATACTTGGGTGCTAGAGGCCCAGAGAAAGGATTCTGTGTGGGAAACACCACTCTTGCATTTCAAGAAGAATGAGGAGGGCTGGTGCTGTGGCTCAGAGGAAAGAGTGCTCGCCTGGCATGTGTGAGGCACTGGGTTCAATCCTCAGCACCACATAAAAATAAAATAAAGGTATTATGTCCACCTACAAGTAAAAAATAAATGTTAAAAAAAAAAGAAGAATGAGGAGTAAAAATACAAGTAAGTTTTTGGAATCATATGGAACTGGTGGGACAGAAGTTGAGGGCCTCTAGGGGACTCTGTTTATGAGCATGTGGCAAGAGGTCAACATTCCTGTACTCACACAGATGCAGGAAGAGGTCTCGCCTCACTTCCTGAGCTACCAGGGACTGTGGGGTGGGAGGGAAGGTGAGCTGGACACCCAGGTTGCGCTTGTGAGACAACAAGGCACTGGACTGACCCCAGAGTCTCAGTTGCCTGTCCAGAGTCCCCAGCACTCAGTTTCCATGGCCAGGGCCCACAGGTGGAGAATGCCCTGCAGGGAATGCACTTACAGAAAGCAGGCAGGGCTGGGGATGTGGCGCAAGCGGTAGCCACTCGCCTGGCATGCGCAGGGCGCTGGGGTCGATCCTCAACACCACATAAAAATAAAAAATAAACAGATTGTGTCCACCTAAAAAAATAATAAAAAATATTTAAAGAAGAAGGCACCTCCTCTGAAGTCCCTCTGCAGTGCTCGGGCAGGTGCTGGTCTGGGCTGCAGACCCTCGACCCTTGCCTGTCACCTCCTCCTCTTACCCCACAGGTCAGAGTGGGGCCGGCAACAACTGGGCCAAGGGCCACTACACGGAGGGCGCAGAGCTGGTGGACTCGGTCCTAGACGTGGTGCGCAAGGAGTGCGAGAACTGCGACTGCCTGCAGGGCTTCCAGCTGACCCACTCGCTGGGCGGCGGCACGGGCTCGGGCATGGGCACGCTGCTCATCAGCAAGGTGCGAGAGGAGTACCCCGACCGCATCATGAACACCTTCAGTGTGGTGCCCTCGCCCAAGGTGTCGGACACGGTGGTGGAGCCCTACAACGCCACGCTGTCCATCCACCAGCTGGTGGAGAACACGGACGAGACCTACTGCATCGACAACGAGGCGCTCTACGACATCTGCTTCCGCACCCTCAAGCTGGCCACGCCCACCTACGGGGACCTCAACCACCTGGTGTCGGCCACCATGAGCGGGGTCACCACCTCGCTGCGCTTCCCGGGCCAGCTCAACGCCGACCTGCGCAAGCTGGCCGTGAACATGGTGCCCTTCCCGCGCCTGCACTTCTTCATGCCGGGCTTCGCGCCCTTGACCGCCCGGGGCAGCCAGCAGTACCGCGCGCTGACCGTGCCCGAGCTCACCCAGCAGATGTTCGACGCCAAGAACATGATGGCCGCCTGCGACCCGCGCCACGGCCGCTACCTCACCGTGGCCACCGTTTTCCGTGGGCGCATGTCCATGAAGGAGGTGGACGAGCAGATGCTGGCCATCCAGAGTAAGAACAGCAGCTACTTCGTGGAGTGGATCCCCAACAACGTCAAGGTGGCCGTGTGCGACATCCCGCCGCGTGGGCTCAAGATGTCCTCCACCTTCATCGGCAACAGCACGGCCATCCAGGAGCTGTTCAAGCGCATCTCGGAGCAGTTCACGGCCATGTTCCGGCGGAAGGCCTTCCTGCACTGGTACACGGGCGAGGGCATGGACGAGATGGAGTTCACCGAGGCCGAGAGCAACATGAACGACCTGGTGTCCGAGTACCAGCAGTACCAGGACGCCACGGCCGAGGAGGAGGGCGAGATGTACGAGGACGAGGAGGAGGAGTCCGAGGCCCAGGGCCCCAAGTGAAGCCGTTCTCAGCTGGTGCCGGGCCACTGCAGCCAGGGCCAGGCAGCAGCGTCCGGCCCAGTGCCGCGGAGCCACAGTGCTGCCCCAGCTTTGCTTCCCAGGCCGCAGCACCCCAGCGCTCTGACGCTGTCCTTCAGTATTTACGGCCAACCCCACCCCACAGGAGTCCACTGGGCTGTCCTCCCACTTAGGCCATGTCCATGTCGTGTTGCTCATTGTCTCTTTAGTTGTGGCTCCAGGCCTGATGTTTTATGGTTTGTTTTGTTTTTTACTGGTTTGTGTTTATATTTTGGGGGATACTTAATAAATCTATTGCTGTCAGATACCCTGCCTGGTGCTAGAGGTTTTTTTTTTTTTTTCATTCTGGAAAGTCTGGTTCAGAAGGGTGAGGAGAGGTGGCAGTGTGGCCCAGATGGGGACAGGCCATGGTTCCCAGGCTGGCATCTGACCCAGGCCTGTTCTGGAAGCCAGGTGTGTCGAGGGCACAGCCCTGGGAGCTCCTAAAGTGGGGAAGGAGAGCTGGAGGAGGACCAGCCAGGCCTGGGTGAAGCCCTGTCCCTGAACCCCAGTGTCTCCTGGGACTCAGGAGGAATCCCACACTTGTCCCAGGCCCCCCTCAGGGCAGCTCAGGCTCAGTGCTTCTCTCTAATCACCCCCTGGTCAGTGCAGTAACTGGCTTCAGACCTGAAGCCTGAGACCCGATCTAGGGAGGCTAGGAAGGGAGCCTTCTGGAAAGGTCCTGGTTGGGGACAGTGAGGTGTGATGGCTCCCTGCACCCCCTGGTGGACGTTTCTTGCAGCTGCAGGAGGCCCAGTGTCCCGTGACACTGGCACCCGAAGAGGGCTTTGTGGAAGAGATGCTCACCCACATCCCATCTCCTCCTATAGAGTAAGAAGTCAGGTTGGAACTGACTTTTTGAAGCCCAAAGAAGTCAACTGCCCAGGCGCCCATGGTGGGTGTGTGCCGGGTTTCTGTTCTCGCGACTAAAAGGCTCAGGGTTCGCTCCAGTTGAACAGGGCTGACTGGCTGTGCAAAATAACCACACAAGAGACAAAAATACCTTTTTCTTTGGGGTCGCTGTGACGGCTCCTCTGACCTTAAGGGTCTGCAGAAAGAGAGCGAGAGCACGGGCTGACCCCTTTTGTTGAGGCAAGGGGTCAGGTTTCAGGGGGCTGAGTCTATCTTCATGATGTCCACTGTCAGCAGGTTGACTGACACCTGGGTAGGCCACACCCAAGGGCACAGTAAGAGGAGGGGACACACACAAGGCACTTCCATGGAAGATTCTATCCTAAACAGGGCAAGGGGTTATATTACAAAGGAACAGGTAAGCGTAGCTCCACCCATGGGGCTGTAGCAAGATATACCCATGCACGAGACACGGACCCTTGGACCCAAGAAGATGGGGAAAGCTCTGACACATTTCTGTGACTGAGCGCCTCAGCACCTAGCCGGGGAGTATGACTCAGTCACTTGTAAGGTTGGTCTCCCACAGGTGTGCATTGCTTGCCTGGGGCAAGACTCCATTTTGCCTCCCTGTGGCCCCTTGTCTGGTAAGCCAAGGCATGTTGTCAAACCCAAATGCCCTGTACTCTGCTTGGCGGTACCCCAGAAGTGGCTTCCACGTAGGCAGTACCTTTTCACATCACCTTCATGCAGCTTTGTGTGCAGAAGAAATGAGACTGAGGGGGCGGCTAGCTCTGGCTTCCGAGCAGAGAACTTCAGTTCTCTGAGGGCCACGCACCTCTGGTTCTGGTCCTAATGTAGGCTGGGCTCTGGTGTCCAGCGCAGATGGCAACACAGATGTGCAGGTGATGTCTCAGCTGTCACTGTGTGACAAACCACTCCAAACTTAACAAAATAGAGTTTATCCTGTTAACCAGGTGACTTTTGACGCCCCACGGTGTTGGCTGGGATGACTCAGAGCCCGAAGCCGCACTCTTGAGACTGACATCCGCTGGTCACCAGCTGTGCACAAGGCACGGTCTGCCTGTTCTCCATGCAGCCTATTCCTGACCACGGTGGTCTCGTGTGGGCCAGATTACATGCAGCTGCTTCCAAGGGCACCAGGCCCTCCTAGGGCCAAGTCAGAAACAGGCCCAGTGTCACTGTGCTGTGTCCAGTGGGCCGGCCCAGATGCCCAGGAAGGGACTGCACAGAGATCCAAGAGGTGTCCCAAACAGTCTGGCACACACTGAACTCCACATGTCCTGACCCCCTCCCCAGGCCCGTGTACCCACTTTGGTGATGCCTACTGTCTTCCAGGTACTTGGGCCAAATCTTAGGGTTTCCTTGGGTGGAGGAAAACCCTTCACCTCACAGCAGCTGTGAAGCCATAGATAAAGCCCAGAATCCCCAGTGTGTCTCACACCTGCCGCCAGCAAATCAGGTGGCTCCACATTAGAGTTTGGATCTTAAATGTTCCCAAAAGGTCATGTGCTGAAGGCTGGCTCTCCAGCCTGCGGCACTTACTCCTGGGAGGTGGTAGAACTTTGAGGAAGTGGGGCCTTGTGGAAGGATGTTAGGTCACTGGGTGTGAGCCCTTGAAGGGGACATTGGGACCCAGTTGCGTTCTCGCTCTTTGCTTCTGCTTTCCAGGTGACATGGTGAACAGGTTTTCTCCACCACAGGCTTCCACCGTGAGGCTCTGCCTTAACACAAGACCCAAACAACAGGCCAAATCTCTTAAACCCTGAGCTAAAACAAGCCTTTCTTCCTTTTAAGTTGATTTTCTCAGGTATTTTATCACATGATCTTCAGAATCCACCCAGAACTCCAATCCCCACATCTGCTGCTATGTCTGCCATTTTGTCGGGTCCTTACTGGGCTCCTGCTCCTGCTGGGCCACTTTGACCCCTTCCTCATATGGCGGCCACGTGCTCGTGGGATGGCGGTCAGTGCTCACTGTTCCTTGCTCATACCCTGCAGAGCCCACTCCTCAAGGGCAGCAGAGTCACTCAGTGGCCTCACACCTACCTCTCCTTCCAGTTACATCTGTTCACACCACTTTCCTTCATGTCCTTTTTTAATATCCATTTTTTTTAGTTGTGGTTGGACACAATATCGTTACTTTATTCATTTATTTTTATGTGGTGCTGAGGATGGAACCCAGGGTCTTGTACATGTGAGGCGAGTGCTCTGCTGGTGAGCCGCAACCCCAGCCCTCATTTGTGTTCCTTGAATGCACAGCTCAGGCCACCTGCAGCTCATACTAGACCACTGGTGGCCGGGCTGAGCCTGCACTGGCAGAGGCTGCGCCGGCTGGGGCCATGATGCTGCAGACAGAGGGTGGGTGGTGTGCTACCTGGAGCCCCTTGCTGTAGCTCTGGGGCCCACACTCTCTGCTCCCTCTTCCCCCTCTGGCTTCCCTTCTTGGCCTCTCTCTGCTGCCTCCTCTCTTGCATGACCTCCCAGCCTTGGAGTGCAGGAAGCTCGTCTGAAGGTGAAGATGTTCTGCACCTGACAAGTTGCATCTTCCAAAGAAGGCCACAGAACATCTTCCACACCACAGGCCCGGCCACAGCCTGGCCCCTCTCACCGAGAGAGTCTAACCCCTTCCTCTAGAACCCAGAATGGCCTTTTGTAAGAATAGCTGCAAAAACAAAACAACAACAAACACCCCAAAGAGAATGTGTATGGAGCTCCAGGTTGGGGTCCCCATCTGGGACAGGCACGTCACGGTGAACATGATAAAAGGGCTCCTGTTTGATGCCAGTGGGTTTGGGGTGGGCTTCTGGGTCAGTCAGCTTTTCCTCCTGATGACCAAAATGTCCAAGAAGAATCTTGAGGAGGAAAAGTCTGTTTTGTTTCATGGTTTCAGGGCTCAGTCCCTGATCAGTCAACTCCATTGCTCTGGGCCGGAACTGAGGCAGAGGGAAGCTGCTCAGCACACGGCAGCCAGGAAGGAGAGAGAGGGCAGGAGGAGCTTGGAACAAGATGTACAACTCTCCAGCCATGCCCCACCGGGCTAGTTATCACCAGGAGCCCATCGGATTGCTAATCTGACTAGGTCACCATTTTACAATCAGATCATCCACCTCACCTCCTGCAGACCTCATGTGCAGACCATAACAGCTGCCATATGGGGATGGACAGCCGCTTTGTGCAGAAAGGAAAAGCAGAATTCTAGTTGGTTTTTCAAAGTTAAAGCAGAAGGGACTTCCTCATCACAAGCACAACTAGTTTCAGGTTCAGTTGTATTGTGTGGATCTGTTTTGAGCAGGCTTGTGGAGTTAACCGTGAGCTTAGCCCCCTCCCCCAAGACAATCACCTCCTATAACTTTCTTTTCTTTTTGGAGACATGGTCTCCTTGTGTTGCTCAGGCTGGTCTTGAACTCCTGGGCTCAAGAGATCCTCCCTCCTCAGCCTCCTGAGTAGCTGAGACTACAGGTCAGAACCACCACCACAGCATTTTTGCAATTTTAATGTAACAGCAGCAGTGTCTTTTAAGTTGTGAAGAAGAAAGGACTCCAGGTGCCACACTATAAACAAACAGGTGGGTGGGTCACAACTCTATGTGGGGAGAGAAGATCCAGTTGCAACTGGTGAATGGAATGTACCAGTCCTAATGCCACGCAGGATCTGGCGAAGTCAAGGCGCCCTTCTGCACAGCTCTGCCTGTGTGCTGCTACTCGGCTCTGCCCCAGCACAGCTGCCCCGCCCCCGCGCTGAGTGGAGCTCAAGTGCCGTTTGGTACACTCGAGCACACGGACAGCTCACTCCTGGTCACTGCGAGTGAAGGATATGGACAACAGGCCTCAGGGAACTTCCCTTACTGCCCCCCACCTGCCCTCCTGCCCTGTCCTAAATGAGCTGGCCACCAGAACTCCTTCCACGACCTGGCGGCGCTAAGCCCTATAAAACCCAGCCCTTTGTTGCGGCCTGCCACGAATTTCCCCTCAAAAATGTGGTCCATGGAGGTCTGCCTCCATCCCCTTCTTCTTTTTGTATTCTTCCATGTGCTTTCAGTGAGAGTGGTGGCCAAGAGGGGTGGGGGCAGTGAGCGCCTCAGTTCCTCTTCTCTTCTGTTCCCACTCACCGCAGCTCAGATGGGTGTCCAAAAGGGACTGATGGAGCTGCCACACTGTACAACCCCAGGTGGTCATAACTGAAGGAGAGCAGAGTGCCCCTGGAGTTGCACATGCACGAACTGTGCAGCTGTGCCTGCCCTCTGGGAGAATGGCTAGCTCAAAGAAGGTGAACAGGCAGCTGGGCATCTCGCATCTGCACCCGTGCCTGAAATGCCTTTGACCAGTTCTGCTCTGCTAAATCTGCTTCCAAGATAAAGAATGACCACTTTCCACAGAGCTTTCTCTTTGTCAGGCCCTCTCCTAGGACTCTGCCATACACCTCCCTGAACCTTCCCAACCTGCCCATGCTGTCCCGAGCGACTTTGGTCTGTCTCCCAGAGTTCCCAACATACCGTAAATAAACAGACCATCAGAGGGGACAGTGGAGCTTTACCCTGCTGCCATCCAACAGGAACGCGCTTGACTCCTCTTTACTAGCTTGAGATACACTGTTTCAGCTGACCATATATAAGTCCCCTCCTTCTGACCCAAACTGCAAGAATCCTGGACATGCTGACCACAGCTTCTGTGAGTGAGTCCCCCCATAAATCGTGCTCTGTACTACCCTAGACCTGGACAGTTCTCCCACTCCAGGACTCAGTTTTTCCTTTGTCTGCATTTCACAGAGAAGATGAGGAGGCTCTTTGCTAGCTCGTCCTGAGTCTTGGTGAAGGTTGTGTGTCTCCCCTCTGGGCTTACAGTGGCCAAACATCTGCTTCCCTCCAGAGCACCTTCACCAATAAGAGCTGCAGCTTTGCTCCTATGGCCTAGGTGAGCCAGTCCTCCTTGGCCACCTGTGCCTTTATTGTTCTGATTTTGAGACCAATCACTTCCTACCCCCTTACCCACCCTTCAGACCCACAAGCACCAGTGTATGGTGTGGGCTATGTGACAGGATGGGGAAGGGTCAGGGAGGGGAACCTGGCACCTACTCGCCCTCTCAGACATCTCTGCCTCTTGCAAAAGTTCCCCCTCTGGGGGACTTCACCTAGCATTGCACTAGTGCTCCCCTCCTCCAGTGGGTGGCCATGGACTATTATTCCCCATGGAAAACTGTAGCCCTAATGCTGACCTTTTCCACTCTTAGGAGCAGGATGATTGTCCGAAAACAAAGATTAACGAAAACAGAAAACACTGGACTCACCAAGGTCACACTCAGAGTTAACTGAAACTGGCCAGCATGTCTCAGAAAGGGGGAAAGTAAGTGTCCAGGCATCCCTGTCCTGGCCACCTGGTTCACCCCTGACTGCAGGGTAGGGTGGAACCCAGGGGAGTCTTCACCTACAGAGGGTGGCTTTTAGAGAGGGGAAGGTGGGGGAGAGCTAGCAGACATAACTGAATAGAGGAAGGAGGCTTCTGAAAACAGGAGCAGAAATGGGGTGGGGGTAGGAGGGATGGGTTCATAGGTTTGGGACCACCTGGCTCTTGGAGAGAAAATGTCAACACTTTGTGAAATATCCCTTTCCTACCTGTTCTGATCCTTTCTCCATGGATCAGCATCAGAGGGATTTGTGAGTGTTTTTTTTTTTTTTTTTGTATTGAGAATTGGATCCTAGGGTGCTTTATATTGAGCCATATCCCCTGTCCTTTTTCATTTTGAAACAGGGAAGTTGCTAGGGCTTTGCTAAGTTGCTGATGCTGATCTCAAACTTGTGATCCTCCTTCCACAGCCACCCAAGTAGCTGGGATTACAGGCATGGCCACCGCACTGAGCTTCACAGTGATTTTTTGAAAATAAAGTCATAATGGGGTGATGTGGTGCACACCTAGACCCACAGCTACTTGGGAAGCTAAAATGGAAGAATCCCATTAGAGGTCAGTCTGGGCCACTTAGTGAGACCCTGTCTTAAAATGAAAAATAAAATTAAAAGGGTTGGGGGTTTAGCTCAGTGGTAGAGTGACCCTGAATTCAGTCCAAAGTACTGAAATCAATCAGCCATGCCACTTTACCAGACTCTTCCAGCAGAGACAATGACCACAGTGATGTTAAAGACACTGAGGGTGACCAGATGCCAGTAAGAATGTGCAATGGCATGACCACCATGAGAGGGTTTTAAGTTTTTTAGAAAATTGATCACACTCCGTATGATCTACCTATTCTGCTGCTGAGTATTTTGCCTAGGAGAAATAAAGGCGTATGTCCACACAAAGACTTGCACACAAATGTTCTAGCAGTTTTATTTGTAATATCAAACAGTGGCAACAGCCCAGATGTTTATCAATAGCAATAAAAAGAGTCAACAACTGCTCCCTGCACAACATGAATGAGTCTCAACACATCCCTGATTAGTTTGCTTCTTTGCTTAGTGTCTGTCTGCCCTCCTGGGTGCTGGGATCTTGTCTGTCTTCTCAGCACCATATTTTGGTGCTCAGTCAGAACATGGTACACAGTTGGTGCTCAATAAATGCATTGTTTTTTAAAAAAATATTTATTTATTTATTTTAGTTCTCGGCAGACACAACATCTTTGTTTGTATGTGGTGCTGAGGATCGAACCCGGGCCGCACGCATGCCAGGCGAGCGTGCTACCGCTTGAGCCACATCCCCAGCCCAGTAATAAATGCATTGTTGAATGAGTGGAGATATGGTCATGACATATACCAGTTAGAGAGAGGCGGACCTTAAATTGTGAGTCAAGTATGGGGTTATCTGGCTCTCCTTGGAGCTGGACCAGGACTCACTACTTGCACAAGTGCAGGCTCAGGTCGACAGTTGGTACTGACATGTGCTAAGCGCACGGTCTTCCTCTCAGCCCTGGCCTTGCCTGGGCATTCAACCCTTCTTCAGTCCATGAAACTAGTGGTCTGTGTCCAGGGCCCAGGACCAGTGAAGGAAGACAACAGATAGCTCACCTGCAGCTCCTAGCTTCTGGTGGTAGTGGGAAGACAGACAATAAGTGAAAACATACAAGATGGGGGGCACCAGACAGTGCTCAAGCTGAGCGTGAGGGAAGGATCACCACAACCAGTGCAGGAGGAAGCCGTGGAGGAGACTGGGGAGCAAGGGCTGAGGGTGCGGCCTGGCCTGTTGGGAACCAAGGAGAGAGACTGGCGAGGGAGCCCTGAGGTGGAGTCTGCAACAGGCTTCTTTCTCCCAGGATGGCTGTGGCTGCTGAGCTGAGAGTGGACTTGGGAGGAAAGGGGTTGGGGACAGGTGCAGCTGCCATTCAGGGTGGTACAGCTTTGAAGAGGCTGAGTGCCCACTTGGACATGTTGAGTGTGAATGGCTGATCAGACATCCCAGGGGTGATGTCAAGAAGAGCGCCGGATGTCAGCCTCCGAGTCATGAGGAGTGAGTGAGGCAGCACTGGGGAGCCATTGACAGAGTTGTTTCTCAGAGTCACCTGCCTGAAGGCATCCAGAAAAGGAGTGAGCAAGGACAGAGGGGTAAAAGGGTCCAGGGCACAGTCAGAGCACTACAGGGTCCAGAAGCAGGAGACCTGAAGGAGCAGCTGGTGGGGTGGCTGAGCAGGAAAAGGTGCCCCCTGAAGGCCTCTCTGTTCATTCTCCTTGGTTGTGGCCCAGTCCTGGGCTTGCCAGAAGACCACAAGGGCAGGCAGGAGAGAAGCAGGGAGAAGGGCCAGGTGGAAAAGAGTCTTCAGGACAGGGGCCAGGGAGGGACAATCAGACCATCAGACCAGCAGCCTGAGAATCCCAGCTCAGTGAATTCCCCTCCAGTATGAACAGGTCTGGAGAGGATGAGCACCAGGCACCAAGTCACCCAGAGCGGGGTTGCAATCTTGCTTCACTCCTTATTGGTGATGTGATCTTTGTGAAGTTGATGGGCCACCCCACCTGTAGACCACCCACCTCCAGGCTTGGATAGGGTTAAAAGAGGTGGTCTGGAGTTCCCACTTGCGAGCCCCCAGTTATAGGCTCTATCATCATGGTGCCCTCTTTGAGCAAAGTGGCCATTTCCAGAGTCTTTCCACAGAGACCAGAACCAGGGGCACCATGCCCCACAGCTGCCCTCCTCGGTCTCAGTTCCTCCCGGCAGGGATAAAGCTCATCCCTGAGCTGGGGGGCAGGACTGTGAGCTGGAGCAACCCTGCTTCTGTCTACAAACTACCGGAAAGCAGTAGTAACTCCAGCCTCCGCGGCAGAGGCTGCTCCCACTGCTGCTGCACTGAACAACCCCAGCCTCCCTGGGTGGAGGGTGGACTTGCGAGGGAACTGGGGTAGATGAGTGAAGCTACCTGCTCTCCACGGAGAAGACCGACGAGGTCCAGCACAACGTCTGCTGCCTGTAAGGCCGTTCTCGCTTTTCCTCATCCGAGAGGGGTCCCCGCCCCAGGCCGGGTCTTGCAGTATTGCCCAGGCTCCAACTCCTGCTCCTCTGGAGTCATTCCGGAGTGACTGGGACTACAGGCTTGCCCCTCACACACACTCTTCTTTTTTCTCTTTTCTTGTCTTTTCTTTCTTTCTTTCTTTTTTTTTTGAGAGAGAGAGAGAGAGAGAGGGAGAGAGAGAGAGAATATTATTTAATGTTTATTTTTCAGTTTTGGGTGGGCACAACATCTTCATTTTATGTGGTGCTCAGGATCGAACCCAGCGCCCCGCGCAGGCCACGGGAGCGCGTTACCGCTTGAGCCACATCCCCAGTCCCACTTTTCTTTTTTAAAGGGATGTGGCTCGGTTTTTACCAGGACTTTTGCAGCCTCCGGACTTACCACGGTGAGCTGACGAGTAGCCCACTTCCCGGGGCGGGACGTGGGGGCCGCCGGGCGCCGGGCAGGGCGCGCCCCGGGGACCTGGTGTCATGAGCCTCCGGGCCGCAGGCGGCAGCAGCGCGCGGCGGGGCCGGACACCATGTAGCGGCCGAGGCGCGACGGGTTACAATGTAGCGGCGGCGGCGGCGGAGTTCTGGTGAGCGCAGAGCGGCCTCCGGGCGGCGGGCCCGGCCAGCGGGCGGGGAGCGGGAGCGCTGGGCCTCGGGCGCGCACGGCCCGCCCGGCAGGACCTCCTGAAGCCCGGCTTCGGACGCGGACGCCGGAGCGCAGAGCCGGCGGGAGGCCCCCGCGCGCCCGAGGCAGGGTTCGACTCGCGGCCCCAGCTGCCCACCCTCTGGTCCTCTCCCGGGAGCGCCAGGCACTTCCATCTGGCAGAGTTTAGGACCTAGACGGAGGGACCTTTCCACCCAGTTAACTGTCACCGTCAGGATGGGACCCTGGAGGCCCAAAGACCCGCATCACTGTGCCTTCCTCAGCGATGCTGGGTTGCTCTGAGCCTCCGGTTTCCCCTCTATGAAATGGGTGGGCGTGGGGCAGACTGAGCCCCACAAGGACCTGAGCATCCCCAGGGTGCCTTCGGGTGGTGGGTGAAGGTGGAGATACGGGTTGGGGGAGGTTTGTCTCTGCAGCCAGCTTCATTGGTGGACAGTCCTTAAAGGAATGGTAACCCTGTCCCCGGGCACACCTGGGTCCTGGCAGGCCTTGTTTAAGGTACAGATGAAGTGCACTTTGTCCCCCTCCAGGGTGAACTCTCAGGACCTCCAGATGACAGCTGGAATGGTAGCCAGGTGGGCAGGACATGGGGGGGTCTGATGCATGTATCCTGAAGATATCCTCAGCTTCAGCTCAGTGTCCCTCTGCCCCTGGGGCTCCTCTGGCTACACTCTGAGGTTTCTTTAATCGCTATGTTGGCAGTCACCTCCACTACAAGAGGGGAGATCTCTAGAGGGCAGAGGATAGAGAGTGGGGTTCTTTCCTCTCTCTCTCTCTCCCCTTTCTTGCCTGTTCCTTTCTAAGTTCAAGCCAGAATAATGGGTGCAGAGCTCTGTGGGGTGACTTTGAAGGGAATGGTTTGCTGGCTCTCTACTAAAGTCAGCAGCCGTACTCTTGCAGCCATGTGCTGGGACATCATCTATCTGCCCTCAGCAGACAGGGAAACTTGATTCCCTGACCAGTCAGGAGAGAAACTAGCACTGAGAGGTCAAATGACACCACTGCTTCATCCATGCACTGCCTCTGTGCCGGGCCTGGGGGGTGACAATGCCACTCAGGAGTTGAATAAAAGATGCTGTTTCCTCTGGAGATTGCAGCCCCAAGACAGTTGCTGGGAAGTGTAAAGATATTGAGTCTCAGGCTAAGGTTTGCAGGGAGAGCTCCTGGGGGTGGCTTCCAAGCCCTCTACTCCAATTCCTTTCTATTGGGCTCATTATCATGTGATAACGTGATAGTTTTCTCAGCAGCAACTTTGGGCTGCTGACTTTAATGTCTATATGAATATTTAACCTCTCATCCACTTAAGGAGGCATGTTCTCCCTGACTATAGGCAATGTGGTCCTGTAGCTCATCACTAGGAAAGCCAGAATTTAAATCAGAGTTGTCATTCTCAACAATAATGGTAACAATGATAATAACAAGTTGTATCTGGTACTTATCATGGGCATACTATGTGCTGGCCAGCACTTTCAGAACTTTGTATTAACCAATATTTACGATAGCCCCATATGGTACTATCATATCTTCATTTGAGAGATGAGAAGTTGGAAGTAGAGAAATGTGTAGGCTTTTACCCAAGTCATGTAGTGGGGAACTGGCGGAGCTGGGGTTTAAATTGGGCTTGCTCATCTTAACACCAAGAGGCAACTAGGGTGAAGAATCAGGTTTTGTTTGAGCTGCAAAAGACAGAACTCTATCCCCAATAACAGTGGTGTGAACGGAAGTTTGTGTCTGTCTCACTTGAAGGAACTTCGCAGTGAGTGCTCAGGGCTCAGATGGCGTCTCCTGCAATCTTGTCATTTGGCCATCGCATTGTGGCTTCTATGTCCCTGCCCAAGGTAGTTGCTCCAGCTCTACTCAGTACATCTTCACCCCAGACAGCAAAAGGGAGGAAGGAAGGACTGCAGAGGGGCAGCCCTCCCTTTAAGAACAATTCCCAGAAGTCTTGTGTGATCTTTTTGTTCATTTCCTATTGGTCAGAACATAGTCACATTACCATGTCTAGCTGCAGGAGAGACTGGGAAATCATGTGACAAGCCAAAAACCAAGACTCCCTACTCAAGATGAAGGCGTCAGTGAACACTGGGAGTGCATAATCTCTCCTGCTGTTCTCTGGGCGCTTGGGAGGTGGGTATCAGATGGCTGCCTCCGACTCTGGTGCCCAGTGTGAGCCACCCATAGTCACCAGGTGATAGTGAGAGGCCAGGCTTGAGCCACAGCACCTTCATCCTCTTCTGTACCTTCCCGTTTTGACCCAGGAGCTGCCTGTCAACAGGTGCTGGCTCCTGCCAGACTAGAACTCTGGCTGCCCAACCCATACTCCCCATCAGAGGCCTAACAAGCAGGACAGGATCCACAGGTGGTGTGGAGCTCCTGACTCCAGTGTAAGGACAGCATGGGGCTGGGGTGGGGCTGTTTAGCTGCCAGTGAGGTGACACTGTGACCCAGGGCAGGGCCTTTCCCTCTGGACTCAGTTCTCTTCCATTTCTTTTGGGTGAGGGAGCAGAGGAGAAGTCACAGGATTGTCTTCGTATTTGAGACTGTAACAGGTATGGAAGAAGCATAACCAGTACCCATGGACTTACTACACAGCTTTGAAAAATTATCTTTTGACTTCCTATGATAGTAAATCTTTTCTGTTTTTGTTTTTTTCTTTCTTTATACAATGGATTTAAACCAGGGTTGCTTTACCACTGAGCCACATCCCCAGCCCTACTTTGAGACAGGATCCCACTAAGTTGCTTAAGGCCTTGCTAAGTAGCTGAGGCTGGCCTTGAACTTGTGATCCTCTTGTCTCAGCCTTCTAAGCTGTGTGCGCCACTGTACCCTGCCTATAATAGTAAATCTTACCAAGAGCTTATTTTGTGCTCAACTTCTGTGAACCAATTTCACCTGGAAAGTGGCTGACTTGTGGATGATGGAATGGAGGCAGAGGGAGACTGTGGAGGGAACAGGGGCAGAGAGGTTGAGGAGTGTGACCCAGCTAATTAAGTGGGAGCCGTATTTGGCTGCCTGTGTTCCTGCCCAGCCAAAGCCCTTCCTTCCTGCCTTGAGTCCTTAGCCCGGTGTGTCCTTAGTTTGTTGAGTCCTGTGACGGGAAAGAACAGTTACTGATCCTTGACTAGGCACTTCCTTCTTGTTACCTTGGAGGACCAGGCACAGAGCTGGGGGATGTCCCAGGTCGTGTGGCTCTCAGCAGGACTGGAACCCAGACCTGAGAGGTGCCAGCATAGTCTAGAACCTGGAGGCCTTCCTGGAGCCGGGGGAAGGTGGGCCCTGCCAGTCACACAACAGACAGCAAAGCAGGGTGGGCCCGGCACTGGCTGCAGTTCCAGGAGTTGTGGTGGGAAAGGAGCGCTTAGGTTGGGATGGAGGATCCCAGTTGCAGGAGACATGTCTCAGGGAAGTGGGCCAACAGCAAGGGCATGGAGGACTTGGCCGAGTGAGGCCAGTTTAGACGTATGGGGGACCCCAGCGCTGGAGCCCTATAGTGTCTGGGGTAAAAAAAACCCTGAGCTGGGAGGGAAGACCTGGGTTCCAGAGCATCTGGCTGGGCACCCTTGGATAAGTCATATACATGACAGACATCAGAAGGGCCTGTCACTGTGGACTTCCCCAGGGGAGCCTGCCAAGGGGCCTGGAGGGGGTCTGGAGGTGGCTGAGGGAGAGTCTGAGGATGGAGGCTGTAGTGTGGGGATGCTTCCTGAAAGAGGCAGGGGTTTTCGGGAGTGGGAATGCTCCATGGTGAGGCTGGGACCTGGGTCCTCATCTCGCCCTGCCTGGCGTCCGCAGGTGGAATGCTATGGAATATGATGAGAAGCTGGCCCGGTTCCGGCAGGCCCACCTCAACCCCTTCAACAAGGAGCTGGGGCCAAGGCAGCATGAGCAGGGACCTAGTGAGCAGGCCCTGGACATTTCTTCTGAAGGTAGGTGCTGGGGGACTCTGTGGGCCCTCTGACCCTTCTCCCAGCCCACCACCTTTCCCCCCACTGCCCTCTCCAGCAGGCTGGCTTTCTCCCAGAGTGGGTTCCCCATGGCACAGTCCTTTCTGCCTGCTCTGCGGATTGCTTCTGCCTTCTTGCCAGCAGGAGCTTTTGAGGGCAGGGGTTTGTGTCTGGTGTGCCACTGCTGAATCCCAGGGCCTGGCACATAGTCCAGGCTCAGAGGACACTTGTGGAACGAACTCAGAGCCAAGACTGGTGGCGAGTTAGCAGGTGGAGCTTCCTGTGCAGAGGCCCCTGCTCACCTAGGGGTCAGGAGGGTATGAATCCAGGAACTGCCGAGGTGGCCTGAGTGCACACCAGAGTGTGGACTCTGTGTTATAACTGTTCAGTGGCTACACCACACACACACACACACACACTTCCTTTTTTTCAGAAATTCAGTTGCTTTTTTGGCTGTGTAGAATCAGTGCAGAGTCCATGTAGTTATACATGAGGTATCTGCTGTAGAAACTGAGATGTTTCTATAAAGCTATCTTGTTGGCCTCTTTTAGCACCATTGAATACCATTCCACCTCATCTTTTTTTTTTTAATATTTATTTTTCGGTTTTAGGTGGACATAATGTCTTTATTTTACATTTATGTGGTGCTGAGGATCGAACCCAGGCCCTTGCACGTTCTAGGCGAGCACTCTACCACTGAGCCACAGTCCCAGCCCCTCCACCTCATCTTTTTGAATTAAACCAAATGGGCGTGCAGAACTGAGCAGGCCCAGCTCCCCAGTGCCTCCTCCCTGTGTCTACCTGCGTCCCACTTCCCAGCTCCAGTGGCCCAGCTTCCTTCCTGGGGGTGAGGAGCTTGAGAGAGAGCAGGCTGACTTTCCTCCCTACCACCCTCCATGCCCACCCTCTCTTCCTCCAGAGGCCCTGCCTGAGCTGCCCCCTGGGGAGCCTGAGTTCCACTGCTCCGGGCGCGTGATGGATCTCGGCCTGTCTGAGGACCACTTCTCCCGCCCTGTGGTGAGGTTTGGGTCTGGGAGGGGAGAGGGGCTGGACCATGAGGTATGAGGTGTGCAGTCTTCCCTCCCCAGGGAACCACCATTTTCAGGTGTTGATAGTCCCCTTCTCAGCCAAGTCCCCTGGAGCTCGAATCGGAGCCTGTTGGAGAGCAGATGGAGAAAGCCTGGGTTTGCAGCTTGAGAACCTGGGCCTTCCGCCCTCCTCTAGGCTCCTAGTCCAGACTCTTGGGGAGCAAGTGTGAGGACTGGTTCCCTTGGGGGTCATCAGGGGTCTTGCAGATATGCAGTAGAGTGACGGTGGATGAGGGAAAGCAGGAGGCCTTCCCTGCCTCCCCAGCCGCCCAGCACTGAAGGGCCACTCTTGCTTGTTCTACATGAAGTTCTACAAAAGCGTTTCTTTGAATGAAAAGTGAATGTGGAAGAGCTGGAATTATTTTAAAAGTTAGAAAGCCTTTAGTTTTATGCAAACTAGCTCCAACTTTTATTTGAGAGAAACACAGTAAAATCAGAATGTAACTTAAAAAGATTTAGCCAGAAGTCACCCAATGCTGATTCATTTTTCATTTTGTATGTGGCCTTAAAACGTTGCCCATGCAGATACATGTCTTTATCTTTATCATAGCATTTTGAATACTTCCTTTTGGCCACAGACTTTCCAAGGAGAAGGGAAGGGTGCCATCTTTCTTTGCCTGGGTCTCTTAGAGCCCAGCATCCCGGTAGATGAGGAAGGCTCCTGAGTGTCAGCCCAACCTGTTCAGCTCCAGGAGCTGCCTCCCTGTGGTCTGTTCTGAGTCTGGGTCTTAGCAAATCCCAGCTAGTCTGGTGGTGGAGGACACCTCCAGGCTCCTTTACTGGCATTTGTCTGGGCTTGGCAATTGAGCCAAGTGGCCATTTCCTCTCCTTTATGACAACAAGTATCATTTCCCCAGCTTTCCTCTAAGGGGAAGTTCTTTTGAAGTAAGTTCTTTTGAAGTAAGTCAGCCACAGTGGTGCATACTTGTAATCCCAGTGACTTGGGAGGCCGAGGCAGGAGAATTGCAAGTTTAAGGCCAATTTTCTCAGCAACTTAGTGAGACCCTGTCTCAAAAAAAATACCACCACCACCAACAACAACAAACCAGCACTGAGGATGTAGGTCAGTGGTTAAGTGCCCCTGGATTCAACCCACAGTACAAACAAACAAACAAACAAACAAATAGTAAGTGAAACAGTAGAGTCAACAAAACAAAAAACAAACCCCAGTCAAATTTCTGGAAAAAAAAAGGAAGTTAGTGTGCTTGTGTGTGGAGGAGTGGGGACCACATCAGCTTCCAGCGTGTCAAGCAAGCCCTGTACACTGAGCGTCCATCCCAGCCCTTGGAAGTTGGATTTTGGAAAGCATCCTGAATTACTAGGTCTTCAGAAGTCTGTGGGTAGACTAGCCCCGTTGGGGGCAGGCCGTGCAGGATGGATTCTGACTGTGCTGCTAATTCTCCTGGGCTTTGAACAAGTCCTTATCTGGGGGAAGGGCTTGAGGTCTGCTCTGTGCCTAACTGTCCATGAGGACCAGTCTGGCCTCCAAGGGAGAGTCCGAGGAGTGGCCATCTGATGCTCCCCAACCCGGCAGGGTCTGTTCCTGGCCTCCGATGTCCAGCAGCTACAGCAGGCGATTGAGGAGTGCAGGCAGGTGATCCTGGAGCTGCCTGAGCAGTCGGAGAAGCAGAAGGACGCAGTGGTCAGGCTCATCCACCTGCGGCTGAAGCTGCAGGAGCTGCAGGTGGGTGCTGGCCGCCTGTGCCACAGAGGGAGCCTAGAGCCAGGGCGGTAGCAGTGGGGACAGGAGCACCAGGGTGGCCTCCAGTTCCCTCCCTGGTGTGTCTTTTTGGGCTCTGAGGGGCTGAGATATAGAGGCGTCTAGAAATGCAGAGTGAGAGATGGGCCCGTATCCCATGTGCAGGCGCTTCCCCTCTTGGTGGCAAGGCACAGAAACCTGACCTGAAGTCGCTTAAACGAGAAGGAACGTCCTGTCTTGTTAACCAACAGGTCCTCAGGAATCCTGCCCTCTTTTGTTCTGCTTTCCACGTTTGACCCCTCCTCGGTCGTCCGCAGACAGGTGATGCAGGCACGAGCCAGCAACGGCAGCCTGGCTTTGCGGCAGAGGAGAGCTTCCTTTACTTTTTGTTTTCTTTTTGGTGGTTCTGGGGATGGAACTAGGGCCTCCTGCCAGTGAGGCAAGTGCTCTACCACCGAGACCACTCCCAGTCTGAAGCTCCCCTTTGTTAGTGCTGAAGGCAGAAGTCAGTCCTGGGCCCTCCTGACCTCTGATGGGCTGGTCCTGCCACATGCCCATGCCTGAAACAAGCACAGCCGTGTGCCAGCTCTGGTCATGTGCCCCCCTGAAGCAAGTGAGTGGGGGCAATACCTCTTTGAGCCACCTCCTTGTATCTGGATGAGGAGGAGGAGTTTCCTGACAGGAGAACAGAAGGAGGTAATGAGTCCCAGAGTCCCAAATCCCTAGATGTCCACTGCAGGCCAGTTGTGTTCCTTGGCTTGGCTGTCAATGTGTGCCCTGCAGTGACCCACAATGTGTGTGTGGCCACAGCCTCACTGATTTCCTAATGAAGACTCCACATCAGGAGACCCTGGGGAATCAGTCAGGCTGTGGCCACACACACATCCCAAAATTCAGTGGTTTAAAGGAAGTTGGTGTGAGATTTTCCTCATGAACAATCCCCCAGGTAGTCCAGGCCCTGTGTGACAGGTCGTGGTGTTGAAGACCAAGTCGTCCTTTTCATGGCTCTGCCACTCCCTGGGGGAGTCCAAAAGGGCTGCACACCACGTCATTTTGGTCTGCACCCAGCCAGCAAAGGGAGAGCAAATCATTCCTGCTCACAGGGCAGACCCAGGTGGCAAGTGGCTGAAAGGGATGCCTGGAAATGGAGTGGGTGGTCTGTGATCTGCCCCTGACTGACCGTCTGTCTATTGCTAATGGGAACTCGCACTCCTGTAAGCAGTGCCTGGAAGAAATAAGTAGAGCGGCTAGAATAAAGGCAAGGAGTTGAGACCTACTCACTGGTGACCCTTTCCTGGCCCTTTGCCTGTAGGACCCCAATGAGGATGAGCCCAACATTAGGGTCCTTCTTGAGCACCGCTTCTACAAGGAGAAGAGCAAGAGTGTCAAGCAAGCCTGTGACAAGTGCAAGACCGTCATCTGGGGACTCCTTCAGACTTGGTACACCTGCACAGGTAGGCCGAGACTGAGACCCACTCCTGCTGGATAAGCAGGGCACAGAGGTGCCACGCTCTGCTTCCAGATGTGGGTCATGTTCAGGTGAATCCTCTGCAGTGCACACAGTGGACCAAGACCTACTGTGTGCTGGAGATACCAGGAACAGTTAGGGGCAAAGACCCTGCCTTCACTGGCTTGCATCCAGATCCAAGCTGTCCAGTCCAGTGCTCACTAACTGTACCTGGCCATCAAATTCAAATAGGAGTACATCAGTGGTACTGTCTACACGGCGAGTGCTCAATAGCCACCTGAGGCTGGTGGCCGCCACACTGGACAGAATAGAGAGGACATTTCCATCACTGCAGAAGGTTTCCTTGGTTGAAATATCAGACTAGTAAGTGACATGGTAGTAAAGAAAGAAGGGAAAGGGAATAGGGTGTATGGTGGGTAGAGTGGGTACCACTTCAGGGTGCCCATGTGACATTTAAGCAAATGCCTGGAGGTCAGGGAGCAAGGCAGGGATGTACCTAGGGAGAGGTGTTCTGGCTGAGGAAGCCATGTGATGAAGGGTCCCATGGCTGAAGTCTTCAAGGAGGAGCAGCAGACAGCGACCGGAGCGTCCTGTGTGAGGAGGTGTGGTGAAGTTGGCTCGTTTGTAGAGCCATAGGTGCTTGACTGCTTTAGACTCTGGCTGCTGAGTTGAGCAGGCGGAAGCAGGGGGCAAAGCCTGAAGGAGAGGTGAGTAGAAGGGGGAGGGTACGAAACTCTGATGGGTACGATGGAGTGACAGGTGGCTGAGGCCATGCCAGCTGGGGGTTTGGGTGTGCAGTGTAAAAGACAAGGGGAGTTGGCATAACTCATGGTGTCTGGGCTCAGCTGTGGATGGATGGAGCTGCTGAAAACCAGAGGGGAAACAGGACTGGGGATGGAACAGAAGAGTGAGAATTCCATTTGGAAAAGCTTGGGTTTGGTGGGTGGAAATGGCAGGTTGGCCCCAGGACATGTGTGTCTCGAGTTGAGAGATAAGGCTCAGGGAACTGTGAGGACCTTTAAGGCACTTCTGGGGCCATGCCACAATAAGGTCTTGGATTGATCTGGACACTGCAGCAGAAATGTGCAGGATGCAGACTGGTCCTGCTGAAGGTCAGCCTGTGCTGCAGGACCCTCCTCTCCACTTCTAAGAGGTCTGGTTGTTCCCACCCAGGGTGTTACTACCGCTGCCACAGCAAGTGCTTGAGCCTCATCTCCAAGCCCTGCGTGAGCTCCAAAGTTAGCCACCAGGCTGAGTATGAGCTGAACATCTGCCCTGAGACAGGGCTGGACAGCCAGGATTACCGCTGCGCGGAGTGCCGGGTGCCCATCTCTTTGCGTGAGTGGTGGCAGGGAGAAGAGGGTGAGGGAGCTGTCCCAGCATGGGTGGTGGAAGGGTTAAGTGAGGGTCTGGGGGTCAGTCCCTGCTCCCCGTCTTTGGGAAGTGACTGACAATTGCATTTCTGACTAAAAGCAAGCTGAGGTTCTAGCTATTTCCTGACTTGCCCACTTCTCTACATGGCTGTGACCAAAGCTCAGCTCTGTGGCCTCTGTCACAGGAAGCCCACCCAGGCAGGGACCAGGAGAACCACAGGCCAGCCACACAGAGTGGGTGTTTTGAGACTTACCAGCATTCATTCATGGGGTCCACGAGCGGTCCTATAGTGGGATCCTCCTGCCCTGTTTAAATGGTGATCAAACTGAGGGCATAAGCCCCTCAGCCTCATGGCTTAGGGATTGTAGGTGTGGTCTGGAGGGTGGGATCACTGACCCTGCTTTCTATTTTCTGTGGGCTGTGGGCTGGTGAGGCAGGCCGTGGCTGCCACAGTGACCTTGAATGGCTGATCCCCACAGGGGGCGTGCCCAGCGAGGCCCGTCAGTGCGACTACACAGGCCAGTACTACTGCAGCCACTGCCACTGGAATGACCTGGCCGTCATCCCTGCACGAGTGGTGCACAACTGGGACTTTGAGCCCCGCAAGGTGGGGGTTGGGGACAGGGAAGAGGGCCTGGGGAGGGAGAGCCAACTGGCAGGCAAGCGGTGGGTGTGTCCCATGGCCAGCAGGCACGTGAGGGCGGGATTTGGCTCCCTGGGCTGGCGTGGTCACTCCACCACCCCGCAGGTGTCTCGCTGCAGCATGCGCTACCTGGCGCTAATGGTGTCCCGGCCAGTGCTCCGACTCCGGGAGATCAACCCTCTGCTCTTCAACTACGTGGAGGAGCTGGTGGAGATCCGGGTGAGGCTAGGGGCGGGCAGGATGCTGTATCTGATGGATTCAGTTTTCTAGCCGTGGGGGGCCACAAAAGGTGTGCGCAGAGGACAGGTACTGCTGAGGTTCAACAGGCCCGCTTGGCTGCCCTGCAGATTGACAGTGCTGAAACTGTCCTGGAGCCATCTGATGCAGGCACGGAGGCAATTTTTTAATTTCTAGTAGTCTTTTTAAAAAAGTAAAAAGAAAAGGGTGAAGATGTTTACTAATATATTTTATGTAACCCAGTGTATCCAAAAGGTGATTTAAATGTGCAATCAATATGTAAAATTATTGATCTATTGTACCCTTTGTGTGTGCCACATCTGAGAATGTCAGTGTGTGTTGTATACTTAGTACAGACCAGCTACGTTCACGTGCTCTGCGCTATGTGGGCTGGTAGCCACTTTCAGCCACGAGGGAGAGCTGGGACTGAGGGCAGACTGAGGCTCTGTCCAGGTAGGAGGTGCCACATTGCCTCAGGCAAGGTGGGGGAAAGGGTTAGTTCCCATGTCACATGGGAGAGGACCAACAGAGCAGGTTGAGTTGCCAACGCCACAGGGCTGATGAGAGATGTGGGATCTCATTGGAATCTCAGTTCAGTGCTGGATGTGGACCAGTATTGCCCTGATGGGTGCATTGCATGCCTGGGGAGCTGGGATAAGCAGAGTGGTGGGGGATTCTGTGGGCGATAGTAAATGAACCTCACGATCCTGACGTGAGTGTGGCTGAAACTCTCGGATCTGGGACCATCCTGGGGAAACTGAGGGTACCTCCCCATTCCCTGCTCATCTTGTTGCCACGCAGACTGTAAACTGAGGCCACCTAGTGGACATGACCCCATAAAACCAGCACAGGGCCAGTCCCTTTGCCTTGCTGACGAGGTCATGGCGAGGGGCCATGACCATCTTTCTGGATCTATGTGCGCCTACTGTGTCCTATATGCCTCCCCTCTGCCCTAGCTGAGGAGTTAACCTGCTCCCTTGTCCACAGAAGCTGCGCCAGGACATTCTGCTCATGAAGCCATACTTCATCACTTGCAAGGAGGCCATGGAAGCTCGTCTGCTACTGCAGGTCAGACTATCAGAGGGACTGGCCCCAAAGAGCCAGGGTGATGCAATCACCTCACACTCGGAACTTTTCAGATAACTTGGTAGTTGTGTATGTTTAGCTTGTAGCAGTCTGGGCCTCCCAAACTGTACCGGAACACCAGGTTGATAATAAGCCATCAGGTAGTCTACCCACAGAAGTGTTCTTTGATTATTTCAGTTTTGGAAACAGATGAGTAAGATGTCCTTCAACCTTCATGTGAGTCTCCATGGAGGTGAACCTGGCCCAGATTCCTCCAACAGGAGGAACACAAGTTGTCTTTTTTTTTTTTTATCTTTAATTTTTATTTATACATTTTTATGTGGTACTTAGGATTGAACCCAGTGCCTCACACATGCTAGGTGAGCGCTCTACCAGTGAGCCACAACCCCAGCCCAAGAGGAACACAAGTTTTATTTTATTTTTTCATTTATTTTTTAGTTGTAGATGAACACAATATCTTTATTTTATTTTATGTGGTGCTGAGGATCGAACCCAGGGCCTCACACATGCTAGGCTAGTGCTCTACCGCTGAGTCACAACCCCATCCCAAACACAAGTTTTAAAATTCACCTGTTTGGGGCTGGGGATGTGGCTCAAGCGGTAGCGCGCTCACCTAGCATGTGTGCGGCCGGGGTTCGATCCTCAGCACCACATACAAACAAAGATGTTGTGTCCGCCGAAAACTAACTAAATAAATATTTAAAAAAACAAAAACAAAAACAAAAAACTCACCTGTTTAGGGGCTGGGCCTGTGGCTTAGTGGTAGAAGGCTTGCTTGGCCTTTGTGAGGCTCTAAGTCCCATCCTCAGCACCACATAAACATAAATGAATAAAACAAAGGTCTTGTGTTCAACTGCAACCAAAAGAAATATTTAGAATAAACCACCTGTTTATTCTTCAACCAACATTCATGACTCTGGTCTGGATTCTGAAAACAGTGAATAGGACAAGCAGGAGAGCTTTGCAGCCTTGGAGAGTGCCCATCAGTCAGGAATTCAAGGAAAATGAGGAGTCGTATGTCAGAGACAGGCACAGTGGGCAAGAGAAAGCAGGGAAGGGGACAGGGCGTGGGGCAGGTGCCAAGCAGGGGGACTGGGACCAGGAAGAGGGACAGCCAGAATTGGGAAGGACTGCAAGAGGGGAGTAGTGGGACCACCGCTGTGGCTGAAGGGGCATCAGAGGGGCAAGGAGAATAGGGGCATATAGACCCAGAAACATGGCCTGGGCTCCGAGACCCTCTCAGGCGTCCCCAGGCTCCTGGATTCTGTTCTTGAGCCCACACACAGGTCCCTTCCTCAGCACCCTGAGCCCTGGCAATGGGAGTGGCCTGGGTGGAGGGGAGGGCCCTTGCTCTGTGCTTGGGGTAACATCTTCTGGCTCGCAGCTCCAGGACCGGCAGCACTTTGTGGAGAACGATGAGATGTACTCCATCCAGGACCTGTTGGATGTCCACGTGGGCCGCCTGGGCTGCTCGCTCACTGAGACCCACACACTCTTCGCCAAGCACATCAAGCTGGACTGTGAGGTGGGTCTCCATAGCCCTCCATGGTTGGGGTCTGGACCAGAGGGACCATGAAGCTGCTCTTTGGCCCTCCAGACTCAAGAGCTGGGATTGGCAGAAGCAGCAGCTGGGTCCAGCATATCCGTGGCCCGAGCTGGCACCTACCTGCCCACCTTCAATTCCCACACTGTTTCCCCTTCCTACCAGCGGTGCCAGGCCAAGGGGTTCGTGTGTGAGCTCTGCAGAGAGGGCGATGTGCTGTTCCCATTCGACAGCCACACATCTGTGTGTGCCGACTGCTCAGCCGTCTTCCACAGGTGGGTGTGGCCTGGACCCAACTTCAAACTGGTTGCTGAACTCAGCTGTGGCTCTGTCTGCCCTCAGCTGTGGCTGGTCTGTGTGAGCCTCACTGCTGTCCCCGAGAGACAGGGAAACAGACCTCTGGGCCTTGGCCGCTTCTGAGATACGTAGTTAGATCCTGGTGTCTGACTAAATTAAAAATCCTATTAGGGATGAATGCCACAGAGCTGGGAAGGGACTGCTACAGCCCAGATGGCCCTGCACTTGCTCCCTTCTGCACCAGTGGCATTCACTCTTTCAGTCAGCACAGGCCAAATGTTCCCAAGCTTTAGTTCCTGAAACCCTTAGTGCCTCAGTTACTTAAACAAACAAACAAACAAACAAACAAACAAACTAACACTTTTGATTACTAAGTACCTATGTCCAAACAGTGTTAGAAGGATTTATGTCCTGAAGATTTATTTAGTGGCTGTTTGGAAAAATAATACACATAAATTAGAAGAAAAGCATTTTGAATTTTGTTATTCAATAAGTATCATTTTCTACTAATGATACATGTGTACATGCTGGGCCCTGAAGTCAAGTGGGACACTATTCCCCATGTTCTGCCCACACTGATTTTTGCTGGGCATCTGCTGTTTATCATAGTAACTGATGACATCTCAGCTCTACACAGCTAGGGAGTCACAAAATTCCCTTGAGCTAGTAGTCTGCATGTGCCTCACAGACTTCAGATATCGCTGTGTTCTCTTCAAAGAAGTAAATGTGCTTGTAGAGCCCCACACACTCTCTGCAGTGCCCTGGCATGCCTTGACACACAGTTTAGAACCATGGGTAGAAGCACCAGAGTGGCATGAACAGGTGGAGACAGTCAAGTTGCTACAAGTGTGGAGCCTAGGTGTGACTGCCTGGCTGAGCCCCACTAACTAGGAGCCTGCAGCGTTGGGTAATGTGCGGACCTTAGCAGAGGCACATTCGTGGGCCTCAAGGTTAGTGACTCCTGGATGAAGACCCTGCTCCTGTCCTGTGGTACTGAACATCTGTGAGCCTGTTTCTGTGTTTGTAGAGGGTTAATGGAAGCTAACTTAGGAGGCTGTGAGAGTCCCATGGTATAATTTTACATGCAGAGTCCAGCCTGTCTTTCTGCCCCCAGGGACTGCTACTACGACAACTCAACCACATGTCCCAAGTGTGCCCGGCTCAACTTGAGGAAGCAGTCACTCTTCCAGGAGCCCGATCCAGACTTGGATGCCTAGAACACTGGGCACACCACCTGCCTATCTGGCACCCACCCCACTGGCATTGTCAAAGCCAGGGTGCTGTTTCTGCCCTGAAGACCCTTTGGGTGCATCCTTTGGATGTCTTCACTCCTGCTGGGCCAGAAGTGGGTGAGCAGTACCCACCAGGACTGATGATCTCCAGGTGCTGGCTGGACTTGGGGCATCTGCACCTGGCTGTTAACTTGGTGTGCTGCTCTGAGGGGTCACAGTGTAGCCCCTACCCTCCACCCCCACTATAGGATTCCTTGGTCAGGGTGTGACTTTCTAGGGGGATAGGGAAGGACCTCTTACTTCCCCAGTGACACAGCATTCCCCAATCCCCTAGGGCCAAGGCTTCTGGGTTCTAGAGATGCCCCTCCCTGCTCCTGTCCAAGCCACTCTGCAACTGGTCAGGTAAAGACCCCCAGAGGGCTTGAGAGGAGTGGCCAGTGAGACCTGAGCATGCCAGCTGCATACACCCAGCCTTGGGCCTGTTCCACCTGCTCTGGCAGAGGCTTTAGATTCTACCTGAAGACCAACCCTTCTGGTCCCTTGCCTCTTTGGGAGCTTCTGATCATCCCTGGCTGGGGCTCGTCAAGGTTGTGTCCATGGCACCACCTGAGGTTCTTCTAAGTCATCCATGGGCCTCAGTCCATTGGGTCCCTGCCCTCCCTGAGCAGGAAAGGGAGGCTTCCTGCTGTGGCGCTTCTCCTTGTGGGTGCGCTTGCTGCTGCTCTTGCTCTGGCCCAGCCCCCTTATCCTGTGCTCTGAGATGAGTGGTGGTGGGCCTGGCCCAAGAAGGGTGTCCTGGCCTCCGGTGTGTAGCAGGAACTGGGTCCCTGGAGGAGGTTCCAGGTCAGGTAAAGGAGTTGGGTACAATAGGCCTGTGTGGCATTCCTTGGGATCACATTTGTCCCTGGAGCTTTGTCTTGCTGCCAGTCTTGAAGAGCTCCAGAGAGCTCAGAGATGACCATCCAGAAAGTTTTGGTTTGGGGCCCGAGGCCTGAGAAATGGGAATATTTGCTGGAGGAAGAATGAAGCAGGAGGTGTAGAGCTCATGCGGGAATGTCCAGACCTGGAAGGTGGATAGGACCCAAGGCTTTTCCGTGGGAAAGCCACTCCCAGCCTTGGGGTTTGCACTTTACAGGTCCTAGGAATGGGGATGTTGCAGGAGGGATGTCAGGACGTGGTCATCTGTCCCTGGACAGCTGGGGTTGCTTTTGTCTGTCCCTTTCCTCCCCACCCTAGACTGTGCTTGGCTTTGGACATACACAGGTGGTGGGCAGAGGGCAGGTGATGGCTATTCATCACCTGTGACTAAGCCCAAGAGACACTTCAGCCAGCAGGACACAGCCCAGCTTGCTGGCTCATTCTGGGGGTGGTGGGGGGGGGTGAAACAGCACCCTCCTTATCCGGCTGTGCCACCAGTTGGCTTGAGGCAAGGCGCTTGCTGTGTTTTGCCTCAGTTTCCCCATCTGGAAAATGGGGAAAGTGGTATTGACCTACCTCAGGGTGGAACAGTGACAAGGGGACACTGTTGAAATTCTTTAAGGAGTGTGACATGAGGTCAGGTCAGTGGTGGGTCCCTATCCTGCTTCCCCTTTCTCTTTGGGATTGAATGGGGGGGCGGCAAAGGCTAAGTGCCCTTTTCCTATACCCCTAAATCTGCATGTCTATCACTACTGCATCACATTTCTGTCACGTGGATATTGGTCATTCCTGAATCTCCTGTGTAGTCAACATCACGTTATTCTAGTTACAAAGTATTATGTCCTTAGAAAACATCTGTAGGCTGGCATTTGTTGGACAAAAGTTGGCTCCCCCTTTTTAGATATTCCCCACTCTTCCCACTACTACTGTGCTTTTTTTAAACTCACCTCTATACCTTGTCCCCTAACACCTCTTCTCTACCTTTCTGGATGACAGTCGTCTTTAATTAGAATCATGTGTGGGACCTTCTACTAGTCACAGCATGATAGGAAGAACCACAGCCAGAAGTTGATTTGCATGGCCAGCATCTTTTAGAAGACTACACCCAAAGATACCCATAGCGTGGAACACGGATGGCCTGAGGAAGGCCCAGTCACAGTAATGCCACCATCTGTGTCTCATTAAATGTGTTCTCTAGACTCTGGTGTGTGTGATGAATCTGGGATAAAGCAGAGTTGTTTGACATAAAAGCCAACATCAGGGGTAGGAAACCTCATGGCCTTCCCCTCCAGCAGGCTTAAATGTACCTGGTTTCGGGTGAAGTTGGAAGAATTGCTTAAGATGGGGCTGGGGTTGTGGCTCAGCAGCAGAAGGCTTGCCTAGCACTTGCGAGGCCCTGGTTCGATCCTCAGCACCACATAAAAATAAACAAATAAAATGAAGGTATTAAAAAAGAAGAAGAAGAAGTGCTTAAGATGGTGTCAGATCAAGACCTGAGCCTTCTCTGGTGGTGTGTGGAGAACTTGCACAGTTTATCTCAGCCTTCATTTTGATGAGCTGGGATGACCACTCAAATCTCCAGGAAGCATTTGGCACTGCGCCTTCCATGTAGAAAATGCTCTGTAAATAGCAGCTATGTTTCTCTGAAGTCCTCAGGACTGGCTCAACAACAAGCTGTGGTAGACTGGCCATCATATAATCATGACATGTTCATCCAGAGTCCCATTCTGGCTCTCAGGAACATCATCCATCTTCACAAGCCAAACCCATTAGAAAGGCCCTCACTGCAGCTCAAGGCCCTTGAATAGGGGTTATTAATGGATGGTCTTCATGAGATTTGTAAATCCCCTTCCAAATTAGATTGAAAACTCTAGGTATGCATTTTTTTTTTTTTTCTGCAGAGATGGGATCTACAGTTTTGAACAGGATCTCAAAGGGGCTATGATCCAGATGACACCAGGACTCTGCTTTAGGAAGTGTCTTTATACATCATCCATATGTAACTGCATCCAGATGGACTAGTATGCTGCAACTCTCTGCCCCAGAGAAGCCCAAGAGCACATCTACTTCTTTCCTTCTATTGGAGACCCTTAGAAGGGTAAGAGGAAGGGCTTCCCAGGGCAATTGTGGACTGGGATGCTGACTATGCCTCCAACAACTCAGTAGCTAAAGTTGCACTTGGGACATGAGATAGAGAGTGCAATTTTCCCCCTTTCAGAATATGCTTTTTTCTTTTTATGTTTTCACTTTGGCAAATTGAAATTTACAGGAAAGTTGTAAAAATCTCCCCATTTGCCACCTCCTGGATTCTCTAAATGTTAACATCTGGCGCCACATGCTATTCTCTTCCTTCACACATTCCGCTCTGAGACATTGGACATCAAGCTGCAAACAGCTTGCTTCTATACTCTTCCTTTTCTGTGCATATGTGTGTATACCCACTCCATAGAGACACTGCCTTTCATGGCCATAGTGCAACCATCAAAGGAAATTAATACTGACACAGTACTATAAAACTTATAGCAGATCTTATTCAGATTTTGCAAGTTTTCTATTTTATAGTCAACCTCGTTTCCTTCTCCCAAATCTCAGACTACATTCTGTTGCCAAGTCTCTTTAGCCTTTTTTTTTTTTTTTTAATTTTTTAATATTTATTTTTTAGTTTTCGGCGGACACAACATCTTTGTTGGTATGTGGTGCTGAGGATCGAACCCGGGCCGCACGCATGCCAGACGAGCGCGCTACCGCTTGAGCCACATCCCCAGCCCCTCTCTTTAGCCTTTAATCTGACCAAACACTGACATTTTTGAAAGGTGCATCAGACTTTTTTTTGGTGGTGGTTGTTGGTAATCACACCTAGGGAACTCACATGTGCTAGGCACGTGTTCTACTACAAAGCTACATTCCCCAGCCCCCAGACGATTTTTTTTTTTTAAAGAAAGGGGGGGAGAGAGAGAATATTTTTTTTTTAATATTTATTTTTCAGTTCTCGGCAGACACAACATCTTTGTTTGTATGTGGTGCTGAGGATCGAACCCGGGCCGCACGAATGGCAGGGGAGCTCGATACCGCTTGAGCCACATCCCCAGCCCCCAGACGAATTATTTTGAAGAACAATTCTAATGATGTCCACTAACAATTGATGATTGACTAATTGTCATTCTACCTACATTTATAAGTTGACTATTATCTGGAAGAGTTCTATTTCTCTTTTTATGTCCTCGAGTTTCTACTTTACTCATTGAGTTCTTTACTGAAATCATAATGTCCCAGATTAGGCCAGTGGTAGCCTTTCAACCTGTTTTCTGTATCCTCATGTGCCTCTTTATTTATTTACATATATATATTATATATATATATATATATATATATATATATATTATATATATTTTAAAGAGAGAGAGAATTTTAATATTTATTTTTTTAGTTATCGGCGGACACAACATCTTTGTTTGTATGTGGTGCTGAGGATCGAACCCTGGGCCGCACGCATGCCAGGCAAGCACGCTACCGCTTGAGCCCCCTCTTTTTTTCTTACTAAGCCACAAAGGGTGGTCTTGAATTCAAGCCTTCTGAATAGTTGGGACTAATGGGCCCATGCCCGTGCCTGGCACACACTTTCTGATATATGCAAGAAGGTAATGAGAAACAATGTGTAGTTTTAATTTGTATTTCTCTAATTACAAGTATGATTGAACTTCTTTTCATATTTCGGAATCTAATTTATGAATTGTCTTTTTTTTATGTGGTGCTTAAGTACCTCACACATACCAGGCAAGCACACTACTACTTGAGCCATATCTCCAGCCCCATGAATTGTCTTTTGTCCAAGTATTTTCCTTCTCAAACTTTAAGAATTCTATGCAAGTTAGGGATTTAGCCCATTTATTGTGAAATATCTTGCAAATATTTTCTTTCAGTTTCTCAATACCTTTTGACCTTGTTTGCATTCCCATGGAAATGTTTTATTTTGATTATACTTTTATATGGCCAAAATTGATTAATATTTTGTTTCACTTAATCTGGGCTTCAAGTCATTGAAAAATTTTCCCTACACCTGGGTAAAAAGGCATCCACTTCTGGGAGTGGTGGTGTGTGCCTCAAGTTCTAGGCTCAGCAGACTGAGGCAGGAGGGTCATTTGAGCCCAGAAGTTCAGGACCAGCTGGGTAACAGCTAGACCCCGTTTCTATAAAAGAAGAGAAATTCACTCATGCACACTTGCATGGTTTCACATTTCTCTTCAGATTCCTGGTCTGTTTTGAGCATATTTTGTGAGGTATAGATCTAATTTTATGTTCCTCCAAACGGTCAACCAGTTATCTTGAACTATCTTTTGCAAAATCTATCTGCATCCATGTCTGAACTCTCTGTTCCCATCCACAAGCCTGACTCTCACACTGCTTTAATTATGGGGCCTTGATCTTGTGCTCTAATGTCTGAAAAGGCTAGTCTCCTTTTTGCAAGTTTTCTTTTTTTCCTGATGTAAATAAAAAAAATGTTTTCACAGATGTAAATACAGTTTTAATGGCAAAATCTGATACTTCCAATTGTCAAAAAGGAAATACCTTTCTGAGTTGGAGCTCAGTGGTAGAGCATTTGCCTAGCATGTGTGAGGTCTTGGGTTCGAGCCTCAGTACCACATAAAAACAAAAATACTGTGTCCGTTCACATCTAGGGGAAAAAAAAAAAGGAAATACCAGCAGAAAGTTTATGCATATTAAACATCTGGAAGCACAGAGGTCTATCTGGATCTCAACGTTGAAGTATATTTGTGCTTTTGGTTTCTATTTTGATAAATAACCTGCTAGTTCTCAAATAATTCCTGGTAGAAGCTTATTGTGCCACTGATTATTCTTGACACTTATTATTATTCTTTTCACTTATCATTAGAGCTGTTACTGGTAAGGACCTGCAAGTCAGCTTCAAAATGTGAAAAGGCTGCAGACAATTCTGTGGTCAGCTGATGTAGGGAGGACCCATTTCCTGTCCTGCTGCCTGCTCCAGTTCCAGCTGCATCACTTGCTCATTTGAAAGATCTTCTTCATGGATCACAGTAACTGGTTCATGTCAGTCTCTACCATCTCTTCCAGGGCTACATTCTTCTTCTTTTTTTTTTTTTTAAGAGAGTGAGAGAGGGAGAGAATTTTAATATTTATTTATTTTTTTAGTTATCAGTGGACACAACATCTTTGTTTGTATGTGGTGCTGAGGATCGAACCCGGGCCACACGCATGCCAGGCGAGTGCGCTACCGCTTGAGCCACATCCCCAGCCCGAGGACTACATTCTTGGCAAGGGTCACAATGTTTTATTGAAGTTGTGCAATTGTATCTGTTTGAGAAAAACTCTGGGAATGAACACACTCTAGTCAAATCTCCCCCACACTGTTCATCTTTGCTAGCTTGATCTTCTCCCAAGATACTACAATATTATCTACAGCATCCATTATGTCATTTCTCCAAAACTCTGATCACAGCTGTATCCTTGCCATCTGCTGCTCTTCGGGTGTACTCTAAAGTCCTTCTCAGGTAATGAGCTTTGAAGGCTGAGGCTACACCTTGACCCATGGGCTAGACTGAGTCAGCTATACTGTCTTGAAGATCTTCTATTCTTACATTATCAGAAAGATCACTCAAATTTACTGGGTGGTATGACACATTGTCTAGAATGAGCAATGCTTTCTTGGTGAGATTATTCTGGGCACAGTAGTTTTCAATAGCAGGGCAAAAAATGCATGTAAACCATTCAAGATGCTCCTGGTAGCCCAACACTTTTTGTTTGAGTGCCAGATTATAGGCAAATTGGGCTTTGAGTACCCCTTCAGAGCCTTGGGAGTTTCTGAGTGGTACACCAGCAAGGGCTTCAACTGTCCCCAGCTGCATTTCCACTAAGCAGCAGCATCCATCTAGACCCAGGGTCAGCTTTCTCTCATTGAAATAAACTTTCTTTCAGACATTCTCTTCCAGTATAGGCCTTTGTTACCTACATCAAAAACCTGCTGGGATTGTATTCACTTTTGATGGTGTTTTCCAGCACATATGGATATATGTCTCAGTTGTTGCTAGGGAGGTGCACTCTTCCTCTGGAAGTGGGGCAGACAGTGGCACTCTTTGAATCTCACAAACCATGCTTTACTCTCTCTAGTTATAGAGTTCCCACCTTGTTGATGCTGTAAGACATGAAACAAACTCAGCCTTCTTCTGAATGATGGTGACATTCCAGCTCATTTTGCTGGCTCTGTTCTTCCAGCCACATAATCAACAAACATTCCATGCTCTATTATGGCATTTTGTCCGGGGATTGAATTCAGGGGCACTCCACCACTGAGCCATAGCCCCAGCCCTATTTTGTATTATTATTAGAGACAGGGTTTTGTGGGAGGCCATCCTCGCACCTGATTTATCTCCCTGGCTGGACGAGAGGCGCTTAGACACAGCTGTGTCAGAGCTATTCCCCATCCTTTTCCAGGTCCGAGGGCTTGCCCGTGCAGAGGCGTGCCTGGCCACTTCCCCGAAGACCCAATCGTCGCCCCTGACCTTGGGATGCTGCCCCCCTTAAGTGTCATTGGATGGGATTTTCCCTTGAATTTTTTGTTCCCCAATAAAAGTCCACTCCCTGGTGTGTTCTCTCCCTCCTGTAAACCTGGATACCGCATTAGGTGGCTGGAGGCAGGAGCTAGGAGAAGCCGTCCTGGAGCTGGTATTAAAAGTAATAGGATGATGGGCTGGGGATGTGGCTCAAGCGGTAGCGCGCTCGCCTGGCATGCATGCGGCCCGGGTTCCATCCTCAGCACCATGTACAAATGATGTTGTGTACGCAAAAAAAAAAAAGTAATAGGAGTCTTGTCTCTTTAAAACTGCCTAGCATTTACTCATGAATCGTACCTTCTTTCATGAAGCCAGCGCTGGTCGCGTGGCAGAGGGTTTCACTGAATTGCTTAGCGCTTCACCCATTGCTGAGGCTGTCTTTGATCTTGCGATCCTCCTCCTCAGCGTCCCCAGCCGCTGGGATTACAGGCGGCGGCACCACCACTCGGGCTCCATCGTGACACTTCAATGGCAAGTCAACAGAAGGGCTTTCAAGGGAGTAGTTATTTGTGAACTGGCCTTGACTTTTTATTATCTCGGATGGCCGCCACTGTAGAGACAGCAAAAGTCTCGCCATTGTAGAGACTTCTGCGTTTTGACTGCAAGTTATATCAACACTTCTAATCTGATGTCGAGGGTAATTGCTTTCTGCTCCTTTTGGTATTAGGGATGACAGTCGCATCCAGGGGCCTTTTCCTAAACCCTTGGGCTTCCAACACGTAACGGAAGCACACTGGTTTCAGGTGCTTTAGAAAGAACCTGGGAAAGGGAAAACGAGGCTGCTAAGAGGGACAGGGCCATGCCCCGGGAGACGCGGTCCAGAGGCCGCCCAGACCCAGGCTGGTCCGTCCCCGGTGCACAGCACTCGCAGGGGGCTCTCTGACGTCAGTCCGAAAGCCTGGCCGCACAGCGGCGGCCACACAGGAGTGGCACGACCACCACCTAACCACCGCGCGGCCCCGCAGGCGCCGGGGCGGTCCTCCTCTCTGGAGGTGCGTCGCCGCCGCACAGCGGCGAGGCAGCCTGATGGGTGTCCGCTCCGGGCGCGGATTCCCGCGGAGGACCCCGGAAAAGGGTGTCTGGGCGGTGCCCGGTCCGCCCTCGGCGCCCGGGCCGACTCGGATGCAGGGCAGCGCGGAATGGCGCCGCGGTCCAACCCTTAACAGTCAGGCGATGGTGCGGACGCCGGCGAGAGGCGGGCCCCGTTGCGCACTGGGGCCTCGTGCGGCGGCGCGCCCAGACCCGTCTGCGTCTGCACTGCGCATGCGCGAGCCCGGCAGCGCCTGGGGACTTGGGCAGCGGCGCTCCCTGACCTGTCTGCGTCTGCGTGCGCCCTGGCGGCGCGAGGTCGCGGGTGGGCGATGTCGCACCGGCTGGCGGCGGCGGCGGTTTGCAGTCGGGCGGTGACCGGGCCGCTTTCGGGGCTGTGGCGATGCGGCGCCACGGCTGGGGCTGGCGCCAGGGCCCTCGGCACCGCCCAGCAGGTGAGCAGGCGGGCGCTGCGTCGGGGCCTGGCGGGGGGCCGCGCTCGCCGTCGAGGTGACGCCATCCGCCGGCGCCGGCCACTGCCCGGACTGTGAGCCCCGCTCCCTCCGCGGCCCCGCGTAGTGCCACCCGGGCCCCTCCCGCAGAGTCGCCCTGCGAGCCAGGTCGATGGTGCACGTGAAGGTGTCGTGAACGGTTCGGGGTTCTCCGTCCCGCGAACCTCGTGGAGCCTCGTGGAGCCCGTCAGACCGCCCTCACCGTGGCTGGTGCTGCGGGAAGGCCGCTGCTGGAGCTCTGCCCCGCGGTCCAGCACGAAGGTGCTGGGTGGCCGTATCTTACAGAAGAGGACGAGCATGGAGCATTCCATGTTTTAAAGTTGTTTTACTTCTGTTTTGTCCAGCCTAGTGGACAGCAACCACATTGAATCTTGATCTAATACACTAAGGCAGTTTTTGGTTTTTGATTCTGGAAAGTTAGGTTTTCAGACTACAGTAAGATAGAAGGATGGCATGGGTTGATTTTTTTTTTCTTTTGTTATGTCTTAAAGAATGAATTTTTCACAGGGCGCGGTGGCCCCCGCCTATAATCCCAGCGGCTGGGGAGGCTGAGGCAGGAGGATCGCGAGTTCAAAGCCATCCTCAGCAACTTAACTAGACCCTAAGCAACTCAGCGACACTCTATCTCTAAATTAGATATTTTTAAAAGGCTGGGGATGTTGCTCAGTTGGTTAAGTACCTCTGGGTTCAATTCCTGATACAAAAAAAAAAAAAAGAACTTCTCTTTGTGTCTATTCTTTTGGGAGAACACACCTTAGTTTTGTCTCCCTCCCTATTATCAGTGTTCCCTCCCTGGAATCAGTGTTTGACCTGTGTTGCATGTCCACATTGTAGAGGGCTGTTCTGGTTGTTAACATGTTCAGAGTCAGTAGTATAGTGAGTATATGTGAATTGGTATAGCACAGGTGAGTCCTCAAGTCACTGAACTGTCGTGGACCTCCGTGTTTTTACATTGAAGAAGGAAGTTGGGTGGTCTTTGAATTCATTCCCAAGCTGAGTCATTCGTGCTTATCTATTAGGCAAACTTATCAGTTGACAGTTCACTAGCCAGAGAGTATGAGGGTGAAAAAGAGAGGTTGTAGCAATCTGCCTTAGAGTTGAAAGATGTACCTTAGCACTCAGTGCTCCTCAAGGGAAGTCTGTGTTCTTGAGGCTTCCATGTGGTCATTTTCATTCTACAAGCTGCCTGCACAGTCCTTGGGCCTTTAGAGTTTACATGGTGTGTAAAAGAGTAACCAGACAATAAACGAGTATACCTTGTTCTTGTGGAGTATATGGAGTATGAAGGAAAAGGAGGCAAAATCAGGGGAATAACGAGAAGGGAATGGAGGAGGGATGCATGTATGTGACTTGCTGCTTGGGGGGGAGGGGAGGCAGGCTTGTCAGGTGGAATAGCCAAGGCATTGCCTTAGGGTAGGTGCCGCTGGTGTGTTCTGTGTGCTCAGAGTGAAGAAGTGGTCAGTGAAAGGCAGTGCAGTCCGAGGTAGGGCCTTGTAAGCCTGGGAAGGTGTCAGCTGTGTGCTGTGTTGTGTAACTGACCTATAAGGGTCACCAGACTTGTACAAGAATGACTAGAAAGGGACCTTGATGTGCCCAGCTTCATGTCCTGGCTTTGCAGAAACCAATTTTAACAAGTTTTCTACTATTAACTGCAAGTTAATGGCAGAAACCAAATTTCAAGAAGGGGCGGGTAGCATGTACCTGTGATCCTAAGGACTTGGGAGGCTGAGGCAGTAGGATCACAAGTTCCAAACCTTGGCAATTTAGTGAGACCCTGTCTCAAAAAATAAAAAAGGCCTAGGGGTGTATTTTGGTGGCAGAATGCACCTGGGATCAATCCCTGGTGCCAAAAACAAATAAAAAAATCTGTATGTTTACATTTACAGTGAGAGCTACATTTGACCTGTTGTTTCCTACCAAATCACAGAACTAAATCATGATTTGAAACAGAGGAATTGGTTGTTTTATGAAGTTTTGGAGGCCCAAAGGGTCATATTTTCTACCTCTAGGGTATACACCTCTCAGTATCTATGAAATTAGTTACTAGTGCCAAAATTGCTTCCTACTTTGAGATGGTCTTAGAGAAACCAGAGAAGATTTGGGAACCAGAATTGTCATTGCACACCTCCTGCTACCAGTTGTCTTAATTTTTGCTTTTCTGCCTACTTTCTTAGGCCAGGTTGTAAGGATTGGATGAAGTCAGTAAGACGTATCTGGCCACTGTCCAGTAGTGACGTCTTGTACCTTTTGTCTGGATTCCCTGTTGACCCGCAGCTTTGGTTCCAGAGTAACGTCAGGGTAACATAGAGCCATTGTTTGTTGTTCAGTGTGTCGTGTACCATCCTCAAAAAAGGTGCTGAGAGGACTTGCTGCAGCAGAAGTCCTTGTCCACCTGACACTCTTTACTCTTGATGATGTGACATCATCACCTTTTCTACCAGTCTTTCCTTTCTGAACTTGCTTGTTTAGGTTTACCCTGATTTTAATATCTTTTTTATGGCTTATTTTATTTTTTAGTCCACTGAGGCTGTTGATAGGATGTTTGGATAAATAAATTAGCACTTTACCAATTGGGGAATGGGTTTACTTTAGAGTGATAGTCTACAGAGCTTGCTTCTTCCTCATGTTGACAGCTGAAATAACATGGGTGTTATCACCTATGGGTCTAGTTTCAGTATAATAAAATATTGGATACAATCCAAATTCTTCAGTTATGTTGGAATTTTGTTGAATACGTTAATACTGGGTTATTGAATGTGCTTAAATTTTTGTTTTTTTTAAAACAGTGTGTTGCCTTTTACTTTGGTAGTTTTTCTTGTGGCTTTTGAATTGAATTAATGAAAAATCTAAATTGCCTCTAGTTTTGTCCTTAACTCATGTATCAGGTAAGGTTAGCAGCTCATGGTAAAAATTGGCATTTTCCTCCCTGAGGGTTGAAGAAATACAGAGGTTCTAGAAAATTGTGTGCCTTCTTGACCTGACAGATATTAACCTCCTAGCTGATCAAACATAAATCATAAGATTCTTTCAGTATTTTTTCCTTATTATTTTGTTTTTTTATAGTGCTAAGGATCAAACCTAGGGCCTCATACATGGTAGGCAAGCACTCTATCACTGAGATATATCCTCCTCAAATTTTCTTTCCCCCCACCCCAATTCTGAGGATTGAATCCAGGGCCTCGAACATGGTAAGCAAGGGCTCTACCTCTGAGTAACAACCTTAAACCTTTTTTTTTTGTTTGTTTCTAGACAGGATCTTGCTAAGTTGCCCAGGCTGGCCTCCAACTTGATATCCTCCGTCCTTCTCCTTCTGAGTAGCAGGGATTATAGGCATGTGCTTTCAGGCCCAGCCTCAGTATTTTAATTTTGTGAGATTTGAGTCTTAGAATCATGTTTGGTTTTGAGCTGCATTAGTTAGGGTTAAGGCCTTATGCAAAAAATGGTGAGCTCCCTCTCCTGCTTTTGGATGCAGTAGCTGTAAAAATTCATCATGCATTTCTGCAGTGAATATACTTTATGTTTGTCCTGTTTCAACTGTTTTTTTTTTTTAATATTTATTTATTTACTTTAATTGGGTGCTGAGGATCGAACCCAGTGCCTCACATGTGCGAGGCTGGCACTCCACCACTGAGCTACAGCCCCAACCCTCAACTAGATTTTTAATGCATATTTAAGCAGATAAAGAAGGGCAGCAAGCTGATACTCAGCCCACATCCTGTCTCTTGGAACCACTGTGAGGAAATGCTGCACTGTGTTGCAATGGCAGGTCATCTGCTAATTCTCTGTCCTCTTTCAGTGCCACCAGGGGATCTGTTGTCAGAAGCTGGCTCTGCAGGGGAGACTGGCGCCATTTTCCTGGTGGCTGTGTTCAGAACCATCCAAAGGTACTTGCCTGTCTTTTCTAAGTTAGCAATATGAGGTTTACAGGGACCAGTGAAGCTTCTTCAGAGTGTCTCCTCCCACAGTGACTAAGCAGGGAGCAAGGGGCATGACAACTAGGAGGTTCCCCTTGCCGTCTTTCCTAGTTTGCATATTGAGCCACAATACATCATCTTCATGCCTTTACTGTTTTGATATCTAGAGAGACTGGAAAAAGAAACTCTTTTCAGAAGGAAGGTGCTTGGTGAATCTTTTGGAAGGCGTGGTAGTAAACCGTTATTTTGCATGTCTGATTTTGAGAGCCAGTGAAGCCTCGTATTTGAAAAGTAAACAGATGATATGATATGTAAGCTGTAGTCATCTTGGAGCACATTGAACCAGTTAGATCCCTGCTCTTCAGAGCAAGCTGTGGGCCCTGGCTTAGTGCTCTCAAAAGCACCTAGAGATCTGGCAGGGGCTCTCCAGCCCTATGCCAGTGTTAGGACCCTGGGCTGTGTGTTGAGTGGGGTAAGTAAGGAAGCAAGACTGAAGACAATGGCTCCATCCTGATTTGACTGTAGTGTTGCTTTTCTGAGTGGGACTTTTCTCTCAAAGTACTTCCCCTTCATTTTGTCTCTAAGGGTTTGAAAAATTCTTTAAGAGGAGTGGAAGAAACACAGATTCAGAAAAATCAACAGTGCCAAAAAAAGGTAAAAGGGTCAGTTTGATAAATCAAAATAAAGGTTCATCAACATCTAAAAAAATATTAAAATTTAAAAAAATAAATTACATCATGGCTTGATGATGTGGATTGGTTTTTGGGATCAGTGTAGTCAGTATTTGTCAGATTTGTTTCTCCTGCAAAAAGTTTCCTGCTGCTGGATGCAAGACAGGAGAATCACAAGTTCAAAGCCAGCCTTGGCAATGGGCAAGGCGCTGAGCAACTCAGTGAGACCCTATTTCTAAATAAAATATAAAATAGGGCTGGAGAGTGGCTCAGTGGTTGAGTGCCTTTGAGTTCAATCCCTGGTACCAAAAATAAGTGTTCTGCCTAGGTACCTGTGAGCATTAAGTAGGAAGAGATGGGTAGAAGCATTATGGGAGGTGTGCCGACATGTTTTGCTATGAACAGAACATTGTTTGAAAACTTGTGTTTTGTCCTAAAATTTGTGCAAAATTTTACTCTCTCATGATTCATTCTGCCCTTCCTTGGGTCCTCCTGGCCTTCTCTAGTCTTGCATGGAATTGTTTTGGATTGTTGGTGTGGCAGTGTATATGGAAGGGGGGCTACCTGTGTCCTGGCTTGTTTTGTCCTGGAACTTGTATGATTGCTGTAGAAGGGGCTCACAGGAATCCACCTCTAATGTTATCTACTGTCACAGAATGTACCCACGGGTCCAGGTTTTCCTGAGAGATGAACTCTGCCTGAGGGGAGGTGGCCTGTGTTCTGGTTCTCTGGAGTAGGGACTACCTGTGCCAGCCTACCTCTTGCTTTTCTTTCTTCCTTCCTCTCCCCTAATTACAGCCATGTTTATTAGCTAAAAATGATTTGTCATTAAAGCTCAGGTCTGAAGCCAGCAAGGGCAAATTGGAGGGATTTTAGATGTATCGGAAGCTACTTCTCAGCAGTGTCTCCTGGCATCTTCCTTTTCCTGTCTGCTGTTTGTTTCTGAAAGGCGCCAGGGTAATTAAAATTTTATGATGGAAAATGTTACTCTGTTCTCTGAGTCCTCTTTCTGTGAAAAAGTGTATATAATTATTTTCTGAAATCACACTTTGTTTTTTCCTAGAATCTGGTGAACTAAAGAATGCTGAGCCTGGAGGAGATGGAAACAAGAGAGGAGGGAGGCAGGATGACTTTGCCTGGTGGAAACGGATGCAGAAGGTTTGTGTGCATCTGAGTGTGCCAGACCCAGACTCCTGTCACTTCTCCAGGGGTGCTGTTGCTGCATGACTGAGACTGCATCGCCCTTGTCTCAGTCTGTTCCTGCCATGACAAAATACTTTAGATGGGATGGTTTTTAAATAGCTTGAAATTTATTGTTCATAATTATGGAAGCTGGGAAGTACAGGGTCAAGGTGCTGGCAGGTCCAGAGTCTGGTGAAGGCTTGCCCTCAACTAATAGATCGTGGTGTCTTGAACATGACTTCCTTCAGTGGGACCAGTACTGTGTCCTCATGTGGTGGAAGGGACAGACTTCCCTCGTGCCTTTTAGTAAGAGCACTAATCTCATCCATGAAATTGGAGCCCTTGTGGTGTCATCACCAAGTCCCTATTTCTTACTGCCATCACCTTGGGGGTCGAATTCCAACACACAGAGATGAGAAGAAACGAACTTTTTAAAACGTGCCAAGATTTCTGTCTGCACTTTGAGAGTTGCAGGTAAGAGGACATGCTGTGTGATGTTGCAGAGGCAGAGCTCTTGGTGGGTTTGCTGCTTCTCCTGGGGCCTCTGGTGAGCAGCAGGTTTGGTGTGCTGTTCACAGTGTGCAGGTCTTTCCTGCTGAGAGCAGCATCTGAGCTTCCCGCATGCCTGGTCCCCCTTGGGTACCATAGGAGGGCAGGGTTTGGTGACTGCAACATCTGAGAGGAGAGGTTTCCTTTTTCATGATGGCCCAAGGGTAGAGCTCTGGCTTAGCTGAGCCAGCCCTAGGTCTGATCTCCAGTATTGTGAAAAACAAACATACAATCAAAAGAGAGAAACACCTGCATTTAATTGCAAAATTTGTTATCTTTTCTTCCACAGGGCGAGTTCCCCTGGGATGACAAGGATTTCCGAAATCTGGCCATTCTGGGTGCAGGTGTATCTGTGGGATTTTTCTACTTCTATTTTCGAGATCCTGGAAAAGAGATCACCTGGAAACACTTTGTTCAGTATTACCTGGCCAGAGGTCTGGTGAGCGAACTTAGTCTGCCTGGGAAGGTGCTGTGGTGGTATGCCCTTGCAGGAGACAGGTGGTGCCCCAAGAGTCAGTCCTGCTGGTGGGTGTCCTTCATGGCTCAGTTTTGTTTTTCCAGGAGATACCCCAGCAGAACAGCACATCATGATGTCTTCTAAGACAGTCCTGTTTGTCTACTGATCTTTGACTTTTGTTCTCATTCCTGATTGGGGTTTTTTTTCCTTTCTCCTTACTTTCTGCTGCCAGCCACCCCTTGACAGTGGACTGTGGCTTGGTGACTGCAGAGGAGCATGTGGCACCAGCAGAGCCTCTCTTGTGTGTTTTTCCCTTGGGGTGCTGAGTTGGGTGAAGTATTGCTCAGGCCTCAGTGTAAACCCTGTGTGAGTAAGTGCCTTCCCTCTGTTGCCCTCAGAAGAGTGTTGGCTGGACCCAGGCATTATTAAGAGCTGAAATTTTGTTTGATGAAACTCCTGTTTCCCATTAAGGTTTGTGGCCACAGCCTTTGTGTCTAACCACAGGGCACCTGCCTATCTTCAGAGAGGCCCTTGGCAACTCTCCCTATGGTGGAAGGGGACAGAGCTGCTGCAGCCCATCCCTGTCTGTGGATCTTCTACCTGTAGGTGTGGCTGTGAGGGGGGTGAGACAAGTGTGGTGAGCCCAGGATGCCTTTCTGTGCATGGACTGGACTGCTCTCAGCACTTCCTTGAAGTCTTTTCCAAGTGTCTGACCTGACAGTGATGTGTTATTGTGGTGGGAAGGTTTGTAGGATTGAACATGTTCACCTAGTCACATGGCCCTAAGTCCTTGCTTTTGGAGCAGTGACGATATTGTTGCTGCATGTGAGAATACACATTGTGCCCTCAAGTTGCTTCTCTCGGATTGCTTCTCTGAGGGTCAGGCTAGCCTGCTGTGTGGTTGTGTGTGGTGGTGACCACAACTGGGGAGCCTGCAGGACTGCATTTCCACTCTGCTTGGCACTGCTTCCCTGTGCTGCCTTTAGCTGGCTGAACAGGGTGGGTCTGAATCAGTTGGGTTTAAGACTCTGCTGTAAGACTTATTCCTGTTTCTTTTGGGTTTTTAAGCCAGTCTGGCATGATAGTGCTCAGATATACCAGATTTTAGAAACTAGTCTTGAATTGTTTCCTGTTGATTAAAATGGAAATGAATTCAGGAAAACAAAGCTTGTACTGAACTGTGAGTGTGTGTGGGTGCAGATGGGCCTGGGCTGAACTGCCCAGGGTCTGCCTGAATGTCCTGCTTGGCCTAAGCCCTCTGGTTCTCTCTCCCAGGTGGACCGGCTGGAGGTCGTGAACAAACAGTTCGTTCGTGTCATCCCTTCCCCTGGGGCGTCTTCTGAGGTGAGGGCTAGGTTTCAGGCTGGGTCTCCACACATGGCTTCCCCTCCCCCAGTGACATAAAATACAGTTTTAATTTTTTTTTTTTAGTAAGATGCTTCCCCTGGTGTCCAGCAATCCCTGTTGATGTGATGGTTTATGTCATTGACCTGTGCACAGTCTTGCTTTCCAAGCAGGATAGGAACTCTTATGAGACTATAACCATGGTTCAGTTTTGCCAAGTAACATGTGGGAACCACTTGTCAAGGTTTGGGAAGAGGAAAGAATAAAAAGACAAAGACAGAAGGTCAAAGGCAGACCTCAGGCAGTTATCACAGCATTTCATCTAGAACTTAAAGCCTGTAATTTTGTGGGATCAGAAATGAGGGAATGTCTGCTGTTTGTGTAGTTACCATTGGAGCTTGCCACAGGGTGGGATTTGTCCATGTGTGGAGATAGGGGCTAGGAGAAGAGGCTTGGTTGGAAGAGAAGTTGGTAAATGGGAATGCAAGCTGTGGACAGGTGTGTGTGTGTGTGTGTGTGTGTGTGTGTGTGTCAGGGCGAGTCTCAGGGGAACACAGGGGTGCGCCTAAACTTGCTCTTGGTCTCTGCAGAGGTACGTGTGGTTTAACATCGGCAGTGTTGACACCTTTGAGCGGAACCTGGAATCTGCTCAGTGGGAACTGGGGATTGAGCCAACCAACCAGGTTGCTGTGGTCTACACCACTGAGAGTGACGGGTGAGTGGCACGGGTGAGGTGGACATGAGACACTTTATTCTTGGGCCTCTGATTCTGAACACAAAACAAATAGTGTTGAATCTCTTTTGGAATTTTTTTCCCCCAAGTATGTCATAGTATCTGCTAATCTTTACAGTGTCTGTAGTAAAAGAGTATATATTCATTTGGTCTGGCTTAATTTTTTAAATTTTGTGTTTATTTTTTTGAGGTGGAGTCTTGCCCAGGCAGATCTCAAACTCCTGGGCTCAAGAGATCTCCCTGCCTTAGCCTTCCAGTGAACTGTGTTGCAGATGCATGCCATGGTTTAGCTTAGGTCTTTTTTTTTTTTTTTTTTTTAATATTTATTTATTTAGTTTTCGGCGGACACAACATCTTTGTTTGTATGTGGTGCTGAGGATCGAACCCGGGCCGCATGCATGCCAGGCGAGCGCGCTACCACTTGAGCCACATCCCCAGCCCCAAGCTTAGGTCTTAATGAGAAGAGAATTGAAGCAAAGAAATATTTATCTAGGTAACCTTTAAAAAGCATTAAATGGGACGAATAAGACAAAGATGCTATGTGTTGTAGCACATTACTGTAGTGCAGATTCCACTGTGCAATAGAACCCTGTGGGAGTTCTTTGAAGGTGTGCTGCGATCCCTGCACCCTGACTCCCACTGAACCGTTGAGTCAGAAGTCCAGGTGAGCAGTCTCTGCTCACTTGCACACAGACAGACTTGCTTCCCACAGATCCTGCGTCAGCTTGCTCTCTGAACCTGCATTCCGCCCCCAGTGTGTTCCTGCCGTGCTTGTGGACTTGAGGGCAGGCCCATCTCTAATGCTCCTGTGTGCATCCCCGGACAGCACACAAGTGTTGTCCTGCTCTCATATTTACTACACAGGGACATGATTGCTCTGGCCCTTCCTCCAGCTTGGAAACTGAATGGGTAGAGTTTGAGCTCAGGCCCAGCTTTAGCCAGGAGGGTATGAAGAGTCGGTGTGGTGATGGCTTAGTTGGTTTCTTCTAGACAGGGCAGAGTGGGAATTGCAGTGAGGACGAGGAAGGTGAGTGCCTTACCATTTTTTGCTGCTGTGACAGAAAACCAGAGAGTGGGTAATTTGTAAAGAAAAGAAACTGTCTTACAGTCTGGAGTCCAAGGCTGAAGGGCCATATCTGGGCAAGGGTCTTTGCTGCATCATAATGTGCTGGGGAGAGAGGATGAGAAGGAGGGTAGGACTGAACTTTGCCATTTTTATGACTGACCCATCCCCCAGAACTAACCCACTTTTGTTGTGGTGACCTTCATCCCTTCATGAGGGCCCAGCCCTCACCATCAGTTGCCTTTTGAATGGCCTTCGCCTTATTCAGTTAGGTTCCAACGTGAGTGTGGGAGACGACATTCACACCATAGCAGTGAGGCAGACAGGGCTCTGGAGGTGACTTACAAGTGCTGGTGGGAGGCCTGCGGGGCCTCAGTCTCCTGGTGCAGCTCCTGAGTGTTCCTTGGGGTGCTGCGTATGGCTGACTAGGGTTTTGTTCTTACTGGCTCAGTTGCCAGGACTACTGGTTTTATGGGGGCCTATTTTCTTGGAGTTGAGGTGTGTTCTAGGAGCTGACAGTGACTAGAGCCACCTTGAGGGGTGGTGGGATTGGGCCTCTGGAGAGTGTAGGAGCAAGCATTGTGCTGTGGTGGGACTGGTCTGTGGACCTCACCTGTGAGGAGCTACATGGGCTCTGCAGCTCCTCCTGAGGGAGACGTGGGTCGGGGCAGCAGTGCTGTTAGAACTGGGGAGGCCGAATTTATAGACAGACCTTGACACTCTTCAAGAAGAAACTGCCCTTTTGTGCAGCAAATTCTAGAGTGGGTTACTCTTCCTGCTGAAGGTGATGCTGCTGACGTGATGAATGGTCTCCTTGGTTCTCAGCTCTTTCCTGCGAAGCCTGGTGCCTACTCTTCTCCTGGTTGGCATCCTGCTCTATGCTGTGAGAAGGGGTCCAATGGGGGCCGGGCGCAGCGGACGAGGAGGGGGCCTCTTCAGCGTTGGTGAGACAACAGCCAAGATCCTAAAGCACAACATCAATGTGCGGTTTGCAGATGTGGCTGGCTGTGAAGAGGCCAAACTGGAAATTATGGAGTTTGTGAATTTCCTGAAGAACCCCAAGCAGTATCAGGACTTAGGAGCCAAAATTCCAAAGGTACTGATTTCAGAAAACAGTCATGCTCTGAGTTCCAAGTCAAAGCCAAAGATTGCTGTTGTTCAGAGAATGAATATCAGACAAATGATTTTTCCTTGAGTTTATGTTTTACTAATAACAATAGAGGATGGAAATTTGTAGGACAGAACAGTAAAAATCCTCTTATCTTGTATACAGAGATATGATAAATTGTGGTATAAAGGTGTATTAAGAATTGTAATACAAAAAACAATAATTAAAAAAAATCCTCTTATCTGTCAGACTTGAGACCACAAGTCCTAAAATTCTATAACGTTAGGTCTATGAAATGGACATCGGAATATGTGTGATTTTTTTGTTTTTTTTTTTTTGAAATTTAAAACACAAGTGTACATTCCTTTACTGGTCTTCATTTAGAGCCAGTCATTGCTTTGAGTTTAGTTCCAGGGATCAAAATCCTTTGTTAAACTGGGTGTGGTGGCACATGCCACGTGTGGTGGCACTGCAGTCTGAGGCAGTACCTGTGTATTTTCGTGCATTCTGTCATACTTTCTTATCTATGCAGCTCAGGAGGCTGAAGCAGGAGGATCTGAAGTTCAAAGCCAGCCTCAACAATTTAGCGAGGCCCAAGCAACTTAGTGAGGCCCTGTCTCTAAATAAAATATACGAAGTGCTGGGGATGTGGCTTAGTGGTTGAGTGCCCCTGAGTTCAATCCTCCCCAGTTGCACCTCTGTTGAATTGTCCTGTGTGAACCACATCTTTTCTTTTCTTACCAGGGATTGAACCCAGGGACATTTAACTATTGAGCCACATCCCCAACCTTTTTTCTTTTTTATTTAGAGACCGGGTCTCGCTGAGTTGCTTAGGGCTTTGCTAAGTTGCTGAGGCTAGCCTTGAACTTGAGATCATCCTGCCTCAACCTCCCAAGTTGTTGGGGTCACAGGTGTGTGCCACCATGCCTGGCTGAACCACATATTTTCTGCAAGTTTGTTCTTCTCAGTAGAAGCAAGAACTTACTTAGGTGCAGTCTGAGGCAGTATCTGTGTATTTTCGTGCATTCTGACATACTTTTCTTATCTATGCAACTTGAAAACATTTTATAAGACAATTTTCCTTTATTCTTTAATTATTCAGAGCTTTCACCTTACTTTATTTACTTTTTTTTAAAAAAACCTCTTTTTAGTTATATATGAACACAGTGTCTTTATTTTGTTTATATATGTGGTGAGGAGAATCGAACCCAGTGCCTCACACATGGAAGGCAAGTGCTCTGCCACTGAGCCACAGCCCAGCCTTCACCTTAGATTTTGAAGGAGTTTTAAAAACTCTGTTTTGTTATTTTGTGTAATATCAAATTACAGAGTTAAAACAGGTAGCCTCCGTGGTCAGGTTTGGGAGCAGACACAGCTCTCTGGAAGGCTGGTGGACAGCACAGTGCAGGAGTATGCAGCCACACAGTGGTGTATCCTAGGGCTGGTGGCAGCCTGGGTGTCCTGAGAGGAAACCGCCCTGGCAAAGCTGGCTGCAGTACAGAGGGCCAGTCTGTCCACTGGTGCCTTTGTGTGGTCATGGACCCGTTTAGGGCTCGATGGAAGCTTGGATTTTTTTACCAGGAAGATTGGTATCCTGTGTGGTCACAGAAACTTCAAGTCCTCTCTGCTTTTCTGGACCAGGCTAGAAATTCCTGGTTGAGGTGGTGCTTAGATGACACTTAGGCCCTTTCAGTAGCTTTGTGTTCCCCCAATTCCTCCCTACAAATTGGGCACCACTGGACAGTTTGTTGTGATTAATATACAAAAAGATTAGCAACCATTGTGAACCAGGGATTCCAACCAGGACACTGGATGTGTCTGTTTTACAGTTGGTGTGTGTTGGGGCCAGAAAGCATGTGGGTGTGGCAGGTGCAGAATGGTTGCCTTCTGCTTCCTGGTGGAACTTTGCCAAGTCGCCACCCAGCTGCTTTGCACCTCTGTTGACAGCCAGGTGCTAGAGTGGGTGTGTCTCACACTTATTTTATATGGTTTGATCTGGGTGTTTGGATTTACTGGGGAAAATGTGTCTGATGGAAGGAGTGGGTAAAGGAGTCAGGTTCCAAGGGAGGCCTCTCACCCCAAGTATGAGTCCCCCTTCTCGGCCAGGCTGGGCTCCTGCGAGTGGAAGCTTCTGTCAGCCTGTGTGCTACATTATAGGCTGGTTTTCCCAAATCATCACTGCCCCCTGCTGGGAGTCTGTCATGAAGAATTGACTACACTCACATAGATGTGTTTCCTGCGCACAGGAATAGGACATGGCATGCCATGGATATGTCCTGCCCCTAGAATGTTCTTATGCCTGCAGGGATGGCTCCTGAGACTTTGTGTCCTGTCCCATGGCATATAAAAATCATCCATGTCATGGGCTATTATGTATCAGACCCATATGTGCCATGGAAAAGGAAGTGCTCTGTGACCACATTTGGAGGACGCAGGGCTCCACATCTTGTGGGTTTAACAGCTGGATGTGGTGTTCACGCCTGTAATCCAGCAACTCTGGAGGCTAAGGCAGGAGGATCACAAGTTCAAGAGCAGCCTGGGCAACTTAGCAAAACCTTGTCTCAAAATAAAAATGGGCTAGGGGTGTGGCTTAGCAGTAGAGTACCTCTGGGTTCAATCCCCAGTACCACAAAACAAAAACAAAAACAAAACAATAAAAAAAGATCTGATAGCAACCCAGCATTCTTCTTATTGGTACTAGGGGTTAAACCCAGGGCACTTTACCACTGAGCCACATCCCCAGCCCATTTTATTTTTCATTTTGAGTCAGGGTCTCACTGAGTTGCTTAGGGCCTTGTTAAGTTGCTGAGGCTGGCTTTGAACTTGTGGTCCTCCTGCCTCAGCCTCAGAATGCCACCATGCCCAGCTACTACAATCCAGCATTTTTGACTAGAAATGGAGCAGTCCATCCCCACCCTGTAATTCTCCTTTCAGTTTTCAGATATAACTGTAATCCATGAAATAAAAATGGAGTTGTGTGGCAGGGACGTGAATTAGTATCGTGTTTTGTTTTGTTTCCAGTATTGGGGATCAAACCCAAGGAGCTTTACCACTGAATCACATCCCAGCCCTTTTTATGTTGAGATAAGGTCTTGTTAAGTTGTTGAGGCTGGCCTTGAATCTGTGACCCTCTTGCTTCAGGCTCCTGAGTAGTTTTTGGATTACAGTTGTGCCACTGCCCTGGTGTGAATTGAATTTAAATCTTAAGCTTGAATAGAAAAAGGTAAGGAAAAGGTAGAAGAGCACATTGAACACAAAGATGTCCAACCTGAATACCTGGAGAAGTGCCTTTAAAGAGATCTGTGCCCTGCAGACCAACAAGGCAGCACAGCTGGATAGTCTTGCTGTGGCACAGTTCCACCAGATTGCCCTTGTGGTTCACGCCTGGTGGGCGTGAGAGCAGCTTGGTGGTAACCCCCACAGAATGTATTCCGGCCTTTGACCCAACAGCTCTGCTTCTGGAGTTCTTCCTGTAGGAAGCGTTAGGTCACGCAGGCTCCCATGTTCCATGTTACAGATTTCTAGTCAGAGCTGAGTGGGAAGTGGGGTTCATGTTGCATCTGTTCCCTGTGAGAGCCAAGTGTCTCTTGTTTGTTGCAGGGAGCCATGCTCACAGGTCCACCTGGTACTGGCAAAACACTTCTTGCCAAGGCGACTGCAGGAGAGGCCAGTGTGCCCTTTATCGCTGTGAATGGATCCGAGTTCCTGGAAATGTTTGTCGGTGTTGGACCAGCAAGGGTAGGTGAAAGGGTGATCAGCTTCAGAAGGTGCCAGCCACTTCTTGACGAGGACTGGTCACCTTGTTAGCAACAGACTGTGTGACGCTGACAACAAGCTGAGTGCATCCCACCTGTGCGAGCAGCAAGGACAGGGTCAAGGATGTGTTGCCACGCTGTGTGTGTGTGAGTAGCAAAATAGACTCTGGGTTCCTCTTCTAGGTTCGTGACATGTTTGCAATGGCCCGTAAAAACGCTCCTTGTATCTTATTTATTGATGAGATCGATGCAATTGGCAGGAAGCGAGGCCGCGGGCACCTTGGAGGCCAGAGCGAGCAGGAAAACACGCTGAACCAGATGCTCGTGGAGATGGATGGTGAGTGGACCCTTAGCAGGAGGCCCTCCTCTAGCCTCTTGTTTCTGGAAGGGTACTCCTCGGAAGAGAATCCCCAATGCCTCTATTTTAAGGAAGGCTACTCTCAGGCACACAGTGGAGAAGGCCGTATGGATCCATGTAGCGGCCCCCACTGTGCAGGGGCAGAGTGAGGCAGATGCGCTTCTCTGGGTGGGGGAAAATCAGCTGAGGAGACCAAGCAGACGAATGTCAGTCACACCACGGATGGAGCAGAAACAGCCGTGCTCTTCCTGCTTGGTGTCTTGTCCCCCCGACTACCTGGGTGTTTCCTTCTCGGGAAGGTATGTTTAACATATAAGCCAGGTGTTTCTTTTTCTTCTGTTTTGTTTTTTCATACAACTGGGGCATTCTAGTACTGAGCTACATCCCCAGTCCTTTTTATTGTTTCATTTTGAGACAGGGTCTCAGTAAGTTGCCCAGGCTGACCTCAAATTTGTATCTTCCTCCCTCAGCATCTTTGGGAGTTTTGGTTACAGGGTGTCACTGTGCCCAACTTATGCCATTTTTCTGAATTTGGAAAAGCTTTCATTGGCTCTTTGGCTTCAAAGGTTAGAGGGTCAGGTTGGGTCCCTAAGACCACCCCTGACTTTGATTTTTTTTCCAGAGTCACAAGCTGATCCTGTAGTTGAAAAGCTGTGTTTCTTCACAGTGAAAGTACGTGCAACAAAACCAACCAGGAGGGCCAGGTGCGGTCAAAACCTGTAATCCCAGCGGCTTTGGAGGCTGAGGCGGGAGGATCAAGAGTTCAAAGACAGACTCAGTAATTTAGCACAGCCCTATGCAACTTAGCGAGATTCTGTCTCAAAAAAGGGCTGGGGATATGGCTCAGTGGTTAAGTGCACTTGAGTTCAATCCTTAGTACCAAAAAACAAAACAAAACAAAAAAAAAAACCCAAGGCGGAAGGTACATAGGGCAGGTCTAGGGGAAGCCAGGCACAGCTTCCAGAGTCCTCCAGAATGTGACAGCACGTTGAAGTGGTGTTGACCTGGGAGCCGGTGAGAGACTCAAGGCTCTAGGGTTTCACTGGGTGCTGGTCATGTGGGTACCCTTTGTCTGGCACATAACAGGATGCTCCAGAGGAGGGCAGGTGTTCATAGACCACATTGTTGCAATTTGGGTACAGGGAACTTGTCTTGCCAGGGGATGGTGGGAATGCTCCTAGAGACCCATCCCCCAGGGATCAGCTATTTGCTGATGTTAGAGGTGGCCCTGTCTGAGGATAGCAGTGACGCCTGGGTTCCTATTTTTCTGTGTAGGCCAAAATTGCTTCCAAAGTCTTTTATTGTCTTCAGAGTCTAACAGCAAATGTGCTCTCTTCTGGAGGGCTGGACTGGAGAGGACTGTGGGCAGGAGTGGGTGGACGCCTTGCCACCATCCTGTGCCTTCTTCCTTGGTTAGCATCCCTGTTCTTTGCTCCTCCTCGCCCACCCTTGGGTAGTGCTGCACTGTGGTCTTGCTGAGCATCATGTGGGGTTGGGCAGGGGGAACCAGGAATGAGTGGTGAGGAGATCCAGGTGCTGGGACTTCCCACAACCCTGAGGTGGGCTGTAGAGTCTTCAGTTAGCTGAGGCATATCTGGCTTCCTGCTGGCAGAGAGGCACTCAGCTGACACAGGAGGGGACAGACTGCCAGGAGCCAGGGTGAGTGACACTGCCCAGGAAGCAGAGAGGATCCTCAGTCAGGTTGGGCCAGCCAGCTGGGCAGGGCCTCCTGCCTGCCTGATAGCCCTTGCAGTGTGGTGTGGAGTGAGCAGAGGGAAGCAGCAAGGGAAGGAGATGTGTTAGCCTGGGTCTTCCTTGGGCTCACCTGGTTCTCTCTCCAGGGTTCAACTCTACCACCAATGTGGTGGTGCTGGCTGGCACCAACCGCCCTGACATCCTTGATCCAGCCCTGACGCGGCCCGGCCGGTTTGATCGCCAGATTTACCTTGGTGAGTTGCTTAGGTACCTGGGTTTGATCCTCAGCCTCTGGGGTTAAAAATTGGGTAGATTGTTCGCTGCATATTTGGAGACAATTTTGATGGGGATCCTGAAGTAAGTAAGATAATATTTTGAAAATGTGGAGATACTCAACTACCCCATGGTGCTGCTGTGTTATTATGTCAAAATGTCACTGCAGTGCATGTAGGTGGGCATTATGTAGCAGATTTGTACTCTCCAGCTTTTGTTTTTGTACCAAATTATAAAAAATAGTTTAGAAGACAAAGAGTTTGTACCTCGCCCTTCACCCTGACAACACGCTGTCTTTGTCTTCCCTGACACTTTCCCACTGGGACACTAGTCCGTGTGGGTGCCATGGGCAGCAGGGCAGTGCTCATTTTCCTTGCTGTCTGGTTGGTTACATGGCCTGGAACTGGATTTAACATTGGTCAAGGCGGTTAGGGTGTTTCATTGAGCTGAAGAGCTAAACACACATGCACTTTGATCTGTCCTGCCATTGCACCCTGGCTCCAGCCAGATGACAGTGGCAGAGTGTGCTCCTGGCTGGCCTTGCAGTTGTGTGAGGTGACTGTTGGGGACCCGACTCTGAAGTCCAGTGAACACAGAGCTTGTGTGTGTCTCCCTATTTCTTCACTAGGCCCCCCTGACATCAAAGGCAGGTCCTCCATCTTCAAGGTCCACCTGCGTCCTCTCAAGCTGGATGAGAGCCTCAGGAACGATGCCCTGGCAAGGAAGCTGGCAGCACTCACTCCAGGCTTCACTGGTGAGTGTTGCTGGGCTGAACTGCACCCGCCAGGAGCCAAGTACGCCCAGAACTGATGGCAGTTGGCAGGTGTTTTCTGTGCCTTTGTATTTGGTCCTGGCAACTGTCCACTCTGGTCTGTAGAACATTGAACCTGTTAAGACATTCAGAGGCCTTGGGGATCTTCTCCCCACAGCCTATTGGTGCCTGCTTGAGTTTGTTTTTAATTCTGTTCAGACTTAGTAAGGAACGAAAACTGGAGTGAAGACACATCACACTTTGGGATGCTTCCTCTATGTTTCTGTAGCAGAAACCCAGTCTCTTGTGATAACATTCTTATTTTCCTGCCAGAGTGGTCTGAACCCTAGGCATGGGTGCGGACCTTTCAAAGGGCTTCCTGCCTACTCACCCCTGTGAGCAGCCTTTTGTAAGCTTTAGTGCCTCATCAGATTTGAGCAGTCAGAGGAGAACCAGAGAAATTGGAGCTACGGCAAAGGAATTTAACCACTCCATAGAGCGGAAAGGAACAAGAGTGAAAAGCAAAGCCTAAGGGCCTGTGGTGCATTGCTGCAAGGACCAGCATGCGTTGTGGAAATTCCAGGACAGTCGAGGGCCTGGGGCAGAAAGAAAGTTCAGAGCAATAGTGGTTCAGAACTTCCCAAGCTGGATAAGACCTGAACCTGCACATCTGAGAAACTCTGAACTCAGAAGTATGAATAGGTTCAGAAGAGATCCAGAGAGACACATCATAATCCATCTGTTAAAAGCCAAACATGAGAGAGTCTTGAAAGCAATAGGAGAGACAGACATGGAATGAAGGAGTCACAGCCAGCTTCTCTTCAGGAACTGTGTAGGCCAGAAGGCACTGACAAGAGGTACAGGGTGCCAGAAGAAAATGTGTCATGGGGCTGGGGTTGTGGCTCAGTGATGGGGCATTTACCTAGCACGTATGAGGCACTAGGTTCAGTCCTCAGCACCTCGAAAAAATAAATTAATGGGCTGGGTTGTGGATCAGTGGCAGGGCGCTTGCCTAGCATGTGTGAAGCACTGGGTTTGATTCTCAGCGCCACATATGAATAAATAAAATAAAGGTCCATTGACAACTAAAAAAAAAAATTAAAAAAATAATAAAACTCAGGTTTTGTGTCCATCTACAACTAAAAAAAATTGAAAGAAAAATTGGTCAGCTGAGAATTCTATATCTATATCAAGAATGAAAGAGGAACTGTTACGTTGTAGATTTTAAAGACAATGAAGGAGTTTACTAGTAGGCCTCCCCTGTGAGAAATGTTGGAGGAAGCTTCAGGCTTTAGGTTAGCAATGACAGTGACTGAAGTCATGTGAAGAAGTGGCACTAGCAAAGGAGGATAATCAAGGCCAGTATTGTTAGGGTTTATAGTTTTTTTATAGCATTTAAAAAACAAATGCATGAAACTCATTATAGATGAATGCTAATGAGCACACAGTGTATAAAGATGTGGTCTGTGAACATTATGCACAGGGGGAAGGAGGAGATATAGCGGACAGAAGTTGAAATTCAAGTAGAACTATAGAGGACCCCTTGTAAAAGGACAAAGTGGGACTCTCACTGCCCTATTTCAGAACTTCTCATAGAAGTGTGGCAAACAACACTGTGGTCCTGGTACAAGGATAGACATAGACCACTGAATGGAGTTAAAAGTCCAAATAGAGGGTGGGGAAAAAGTCCAAATAGAAACCCACCTGTGCATTTATGGTCAGCTGGTTTTTGACAAAGGTGCCAAGAGCATTCTGTGGGGAAAAGATTAGTCCCTTCTACAGAAGTCCTGGGACTACTGGATTTCCAAGGAGGTGTTAGACCCCTACCTGACATCATATTGAAAAACAAGCTCAAAGTGGATAAAACATATTTAAGAGCCAAGAGTGTCGTAATTTGTGACAGCTAAAAAGCAGAGCCACCTCGGTGTCCACTCATGGTGAGCAGATGAAGAACAAGGGCATAGGAAAGGACGCTTTCATCTGTAAAGAAATGAAGTACCCAGCTGGGCACAGTGGCACACGCCTATAATCCCAGCGGCTGGGGAGGCTGAGACAGGAGGATCGTGAGTTCAAAGCCAGCCTCAGCAGTGGTGAGGCTCTAAGCAACTCAGTCTTTAAAATAAACACAAAATAGGGCTGGGGATGTGGTTCAGTGGTTGAGTGCCCCTCAGTTCAATCCCCTGTATCAAATAGAAAAAAGAACAAGAAATGAAGTACCCGTATTTGCTACAGCATAGACGGAGCTGTAAAATGTGCTCAGTGAAGGATGCCAGGCACAGAAGAGCCACATCTGACATGACCCCAGTGATAGGAAATGCTGAGAATGCAGATCCGTAGGTGGGTGGGTGGGAGTGGGATTAAGTGTGAACAGGCATGGGGTGTCTCAGGTATGGGCAGTGTCCTATAACTAGATTGTGCCCTAGTCGCACAATTTGATTTTACTAAAAACCAGTGACGTGTATGCCTAAAATACACACTTGTATGGTATGTGAATTATTTATTAGTAAAGTTGTATAACCAGGAAATTTGGCTAAAAATAATGACGAATGATGAAGTGGTTCCCGTTACCTTGCAGTTTTCCTCTAAAGTTTAACCCTGGCCTCTACCTTTAACACACCTCATCTGGGTGTCACTGTAGCTGTCAGGGAGCACTGACCATCTCTTCTTCCTGGTCAGGTGCTGATATCTCTAACGTGTGCAATGAAGCAGCCCTGATTGCTGCCCGCCACCTGAGTGCTTTTGTGCAGCAGAAGCATTTTGAGCAGGCCATTGAGAGAGTCATCGGAGGTGAGCCCATCTGCCCCTGGGGAGGAGAGGCATTTCCAGCTCTGCTCCTGGCAGGCCCCCCCCAGCCCAACCTCACTTTTGCATAGGGAGACATGATTAGTTTTCTAAGCCAAAATTTGGGTCTGTGGATCTCCCAGCAGCTTTCCTGCCCTTGGGACTGTGTGCAGTCCATCTAAGGGTCAGTCTTAGATGTGGAAGGCAAAGCAAGTCCTCCCTGAAGGGAGGGGAGGAAGACAGAACGAATGGCAAGTCTTGGGAAGCCTTTGGGAGCTCTCTTGGCACAGCACTGCTGAGGAGTGAGTGTCAGTGTCTTCTTCAGCTTGGCGGGTAACTACCATCTTCAGCCAGCAGTGGGTGAGACAGTCTCCTGCAGTTTGGGGAACCCCAGGACTCAGCTGGGCCAGGCAGGTGGCAGCTGGAGGTAGCAGTGGGTCAGGGTCTTCTAGGGCCACCAGAGTTGCCAGAGGCTGCATGGGCTGGCCTGGCTCTTCTTGGTGCTGTTCCTGGAAATGGAGATTATAGAGGCAGCAGTAGCACATCCTTATGGTCCTGCCCCATGCTGAGACCCACATCAGCCAGCTGGGAGGTTATCCTTGAGCTTCGTTTTCATTTGTTTTTTTTTTTTTGTTTTTTTTTTTGACACATAATATCTACTAAATAGCTCAAAGCAAAACCCAGAATTTGTCAAGGGCATTCTGGGGGCTGATGACCCTTGCAGCTCAACATGTGCTGCTCTTGTTTGCTTCTCTGTCCTGTCACTGTGGGGCTGGGCTGTGAGATCTTTGGGAACTGCCCTCTTGTTCCACCAGGCTTGGGTTTTGCCTCTTGTCATGCCCCAGAAAGGACACAGCACCTCTGACTCACATTGGCTCACAGCTGCTGCTTGAAGCAGCCTGTGCCTGAGGAGTGGGAAGTAGGGTGGGGCCTGGAGGTTGGGTGGGAATGTCCCCCAGAACTAGGACATAGCATGGAGCTACAGTTTGGGGCAGCCCAGGCCTCTCTGCCACCTTCTGCCCTAGAGGGAGGGACTCCCAGGTGGGTGTTGGGAATCAAGTGTGGCAGCAGATCCAGGCCCTCAGTCTGGTGGGGTGTATGTTGGGCTTTTTTCCCCTGCCTCTCACTCACCTGGGAATGTGATTTGTAGGCTTTGAGAAGAAGACTCAGGTCTTGCAGCCCAGTGAAAAGACAACCGTGGCCTACCATGAGGCAGGGCACGCAGTGGTAGGCTGGTTCTTGGAGCATGCAGACCCCTTGCTGAAGGTGGGTCTCTTGTGCTGAGTGTGTCTGCCCGTGGAGCCTAGGTGTTACCTGCTCGTGTGCCTGGCGATCCAGCCAGTTCATGTGGGCACAGCCCTCCTGGGGGTGACCCTTTCATTTTTCAAGGCATGTGCTGGTCTTGAGTCTGTTAGATTCCTTGTGGGGGCAGGGGGAAGAAGCATTAGGAAGGCAGAGCAGGGTGTGTTGGCTCTAGGTTGGGCCTCAGCCACTGACTCCGAGAAGTCAGTCCAGAACTTGCTTTGCTCCTGAGTGTTGGATTTGATCCCTGTCAGAAGAGGTTTCCATAGCAACCTCTTGGGCTGAGCCCCTAGGCAGGGCCAGTGCATTTCTCAGGGTGACACTTCCTGTCAGTGGTGGGGCTGAGGCCCAGGGCTCTCTTCTCCAACTTGTAAGGGGTGAGCCCCTGGCCAGGGCTGTGAGAGGGTGTGTCTGGGCTGCACTGGGGTGCTGCTGGGGGACTGACGAGCTTGTGGCCCCTCTTTTGCAGGTGTCCATCATCCCCCGGGGCAAGGGGCTTGGGTACGCCCAGTACCTTCCCCGTGAGCAGTACCTCTATACGCGGGAGCAGCTTTTTGACCGCATGTGCATGATGCTGGGCGGCAGGGTGGCTGAGCAGCTGTTCTTTGGGCAGATCACCACTGGGGCTCAGGATGACTTGAGGAAGGTTACCCAGAGCGCCTATGCCCAGGTAAAGAGCAGCTGTCCTGTGAGTGGCTCTTGGTGGCTGTGTTGGGGGCGGCTCACCCTCTGCTCCTTTTGTACTTGCAGATTGTGCAGTTTGGGATGAGTGAGAAGCTGGGCCAGGTGTCCTTCGACTTCCCCCAGCAAGGTGAAGCCCTGGTTGAAAAGCCGTACAGTGAGGCCACTGCCCAGCTCATTGATGAGGAGGTCCGGCGCCTCATTGGCTCTGCCTACGACCGCACCCTGGAGTTGCTGACTAGGTGCCGGGAGCAGGTGGAGAAGGTGAGGGGAACCTATGGCCAGGGAATGGGAGGGAGTCCCCTTGTAGCAGCCTGACAGATGGACTGTCATCTCCAGGTAGGCAAGCGGCTCCTGGAAAAAGAAGTGCTGGAGAAGGCCGACATGGTGGAGCTGTTGGGCCCTCGGCCCTTCATGGAGAAGTGCACCTATGAGGAGTTCGTGGAGGGCACTGGTAGCCTAGAGGAGGATACATCCCTTCCTGAGGGCCTGAAGGGCTGCAACCAGGGACGGGAGGAGGGGGCACAGCAGCACTTGCAGGAGAGCCCTGCCTAGCCTGTGTGCAGCCACCTGCAGTCACGATGGCTGGGCTCCCAGGCAGCAGCTGCTGCCCAGAGCTTGTGCAGAACAGCTGCCAGAGTAACGGGAAAACAGATTAAAATAAGGGACAACCCCAGACAGACATTTAGATCAGGTGCTCACAGTCTAGAGAGGAGAGGGAGGGGAGTTGGCAGCCACCAGAGAGGAGGTGGCTGGAGGGGCAGAAGCGGTTCTCCAGCCCTTGGACCTCATTCCTAGGGTGACTTTGGTCAGAGGGAGAGACATCTGGGCTCTGACCCATGGGAGCCAAGGAAGGACAAGAATCTTCCTGGGGAGCCCTGGGTGTAGTGGCCACTAGGAATCTGGATCTTGTGGTGGAGACAGGCCCTCAGTGTCCTAGTGAGCCTGTCCGTGGGGAGATGTGAAGGTGGGTTGTCTCAAAATGGCTTGGAGGAAGAGTCTGGCCCAGCACAGACACCCCAAGGTTTGGTGAGGTAAAGAGAAGGAAGTGGTAAGCCAGTTAGTTACCAAGGACATCTGGGTCCACAGTGGCCATTGTGTGGGGGAGAGTGGTTGTTTGGTAACCAAAAAGGAAACGTCACCACACTTGCATCCCTGAGTTGAAGGCAGGGGTCATACGGCGCCATCTGGGGCCTGGGCCCTGTGGCAGCAGCAGCATCGTTTAAGCTTAAGGGAGACTTGGGCTCTCACCAGAGCCTTGCCCAGGGTGGGCATGCCTTACTGACCAAGATGAGTAGAGACTCTGCTTTCCCCAAAATCCCTTGTGTTGAGGTTTAGGGGAGGATCTGCGCTGATCCCCCATGGCCTCCCCACAGCCCTGAGGGAGGGTTTGTAGGGCCTTGAAGCCTCTGCAGATGCCTCCTCTATTAATCCTCTTCTGTGTTTTTCAATAAAAAGAAGACTGGTTCTGGGTCATGGGCTCCAGACCTCATGATGCCCTGAATTGAAAGTGTCCCCCTCTTTCCTTGGTCCTGGGGTTTGAGGACCCCTACTGTTGGGGCTCAGCGTGACTGAATGGGCCTTAGTGAAAGTGGGCTTCCTCCTGTATCACAGGTGTGGGTGTGAGCCATTCCAGCTGGCAGGCGCATCTGGCAGGCACATCTGGCGTAGCTTGGCTGTTGGCCAGTGTCCTGGGTGCCCATCTGAGAGGAGGTTCCGCTTGCTGCCCCACACTCCAGACCCTGGCCAAACTCTGACTTTCTAGGGACTGGCACTTTCAGCTTTCATAGATTGTAAAATGTACATTGTTGAATTTTTTAAATCTCAGGCTCCACCTAGATCATGGTCTTCACCAAACCCAGATGAGTTGAGGCATTTGGGGACTTCTTGGGTTCCCTTTGATGGAGGCCAAGGGTGCTCCCTCAACTCCAGAGGCCCCCATGGTAGGGCCTCCAGGGTCCAGTCTGCCTTGTGCATTCAGGTCCTCAGGCCTCGGCACCTCTTTCTAACCACACCTGAGCTGCTCCTGGTAGAACACAATCGGGCCAGCTCCTTGGTGTCTTCCTCTACCCTCTTTACCTGTTTGGTCCAGTCCCCCACCCCCGTGTGTCTTTCACAAGGTGTTCAGTAATTAGCACAGTCTATGTACAGGGTGGTGCCTTGGCAGCAGAATAGATACTGTCTTCTTGTCCACCCTGACTCAGTGAGGTCATCCTATAGTCCTGTGGGTGCTGCTCTTTCTGCCACAGAAATCTCATGCTAAAGAGTTGCCAGCAGATGAATGAGCCTATAGGAGGCGGGAGCCAGCAGCCCTTTTCCCGGTTAGAACTGGGAGCAGGTAAGGCTAGTAGGGCCTGTGCTTGACCAGGGTCTGCATCCAGGTCCATGTCCTCAGCTGCCTGAGGGAAGGGAATTTAGAATGGGATGTGTCAGAGAGTGTCAGGAGTCACCCCCTTCCCAGAAAGCACGAGTCTGTTTCTGAGTCCATAACATAGAAGGCCTGGCTTTCTGCTAGGGAGGGTCCAGGCTTCCCTTCTGGAGCCTCACAGGGCAACTTTGTGCTGAGGAAGAATGCAAATGTATGGGCCAGGCAGAAAGCAGGTCAGACCTGGCTGGGCCTCCTCCCTGGCCTGCCAGCGGCCTTACTGTGGCTCTCTCAGGACATGGCCCCGCTGGGAAGGTTGATCGCCAGGGAGTGCCTGCTCTTCTGGTTTGGACCACCTTTGTGGGCTTATGTGGGCAGGACATTTATTCCAAAGAATTCCTTTTGCTGTCTTAGGGGATAGGAATCAGGGCACTGTCCTTAAGATGCAACCCAGCAAGCAGCCTGGCGCACAGGGCATCTGGAGAACGGCCAGTGCCCTCACCACAGCAGGCCTGGTGTGCCTGTGGCATTTGGAAGGAAGAGCCTGGCTCAGGCCTTCAGAGGGTGGCGGAACTTTAATCCCACTCAGCGTGCCCCCCCGTGGCTGCAGCAGAAAGGGTGGGAAGTGGGGAGGGAGACCCTGGGGCACACAGCTGCCTTTATGAGGTGAAAGAGATAGCTGCTCAGTTCTTTTCCACTGGAAATCAGAGACCTGGTCAGGCAGGAAGTGGACTTTCCTTCAGAGGCCAATAGTACATGGAGGTGGGGTGAAGGATCGGAAGTGGGAGCCTCCTGGATGTCCCCAGCACATGGCAGAAGACCAAGGGCCTGTCTTCCTTCCCCAGAAACACTTCAGTGTGGAGCAGGGCAGGGCAGGTTGACTGGGGGACACAGAGCAAGCTTACAGTTTTTTTCAAAACCAGTCTTTGATTCACACTCAGACCAGAAGACTATTCTGGGTCTCTTCGCACATAAAAAGGAATTTTGGGAGCAGCTGGGTTGGGTGCCTAGGACATCCCCACAGCAGAGAGAGTAGGCCTGTTGGCCCTACTTCCCCTGCCCCTCCTTGGAATATTCCCAGGATCCAGTCCCAGGGTCACAGAGTGTGTTTGATAGGCTGTGCTGCGGCTGGGCAGTGGGATGTGGAAAACAGACAAAACTAGGTGCCCTTGTAATAGATGTGGGATGGGAGAGGGCGAGCCGCTCCCCCTCGAGCAGTCTGGGAGGTGGTGCTGAGGTTCTGAGGCAGTCTGGCAATATTTGGTGTTCTAAGCTAAAGAGGAGGTGGGCCAGGCCCTCAGCCCCAGGCTGTCATACCCAGGGACAAGAGAAGCAGGCACAAGTTGTAGAGGGTTACCTGGGCCGGGGGGACCTGGTACCAACATGCCTTCCTTGGACAGAGGGGAAGGGACAAGGTTGAAATCAAGGTGGAGGTTTTCTGGACTGAGCCTCCCCCCATGTTTGGCTGGGGGCGGTGTAGTGACCCAGGAGCCACTGCCAAACCCACTGTGGCTTCCAAGCATGGTGGCATGAAGAGATGCTGAGATTGGAGACCCCAGGGGGTTTTGGAGTGGCTCTCACAGGCTTGGATTCCCCTCACCCCAAGCATACTGGGGAATCTTTTGACAGACAAAGAGCATTGCTCCTATAGACGGAAGTTTCCAGAAGGTTTAGGCCACCATTGTTCATTCTTTGCTTCATCCTCAAGCAGTGACTCCAGGTGGTATGGTCCCTGTTCCAGGGTCCAGAAACCAGCTGGATGTAAGGCCACTGGGCTGTGCTTGTGCTGGGGTGACCTGAGGCCTGCCCTGGCAACCCTACCCTGACCTGCTGTCAGGAGCCTTATGGGGAGGGTGGAGGGGCGGAGCGTGTCCTGGGTCTGAAGTGTCTTGCTTTGCCACCCTGGTGGTGGTCGAGCCTCAGCCCTGTGGTGTCTCTGGAGCAGATGGAACTGGCCTAATCCTCCTTGGGTCCTTCCACGGTGAGAAATGTGTCCACAATGGCAGCCTGTCGCTCTGGGTCGCTGAGGGGCTGCTTCTCACGGTTCTGCTCAGCCCTTGTCTTCGTCCAAGAGGGGGAACGCAGACAGCCAGCCCTAGGCAGCGGGTGTAGACCTGATGGAAGCAGACCAGATGCTCTGGTGGGCACATGTGGCTGGCATCTCTGCCAGCCCAGAGTCACTGGCCGCAGCTTCTGCCCTGGACCCCTGTGCCTAGCACATGGAAGTCTCTAACACTGGGTCTGCCACTGGGTGGGTTGGGGGGGGATGTGCACAGAATACAGAGATGTGGACAGATGACTCCTCTGGTGGCCTCAGGAGTCACTGCATCTCTGCCATGTCTGACCCCCTATTATGTGAACCTAACTCTGGCCCCCTCCTAGTGAACCTGGCGGGGCCTCCCCAAAGCTCCCAGTGTCCCAGTGCAGCCTGGGGCCAGAGGTTCAGGTGGGCTAGCCACAGCAGCCACAGGCCAACCTTCACCCCGCACACACCTTTGGGCTTATGGGTTGGAAGGGCCACTGCCTGGGACACATTGAGCCTAGTGGGAATTGGCTGGGATCAGGCAGGTGGCTTGTCTTAGAAGTAAGCTGGGACAAGCTGTTCACAAGGACAGAGCCAGGGTCACCCATCTATTGCACCCTGCCCCCCTCCCTGGTGCCACTGTCATGCTTAGGAGCCTGGACTCCCCAGGGAGACACAGTCTGCCCCTCCCCATAAACCCTTCCCCCATAAGCCCCTCCAGGGAACATGTGGGTGGCTGGTCACTGACAAGATCCTCAGTAGGGCTTGTCCTTAGTGAGGCCCCCAGGGTGTGTGTGTGTACAGGTTTACCCTGAGCCATGGGTGCAGTGTGTAGGTTCCAGCCTGGGCCTGGGAGTGGAGCAGGCGCAGGGTCTGGGCCTCTCTGGGAGCACTGGGTGTAGGTCATGTCAGTGACCTTCACTGTTAGGGACAGACTGAAGGACACTTGTGTCCCCCTAGGGTGGATCCCGAACTCTGATGCTGGGCTTGGGGTAGAGACAGGAGGATGGCATGCCCAGGAGAGTTGCTCGGGAGGTGGGCAGAGGGAAGGGCCTGGGATCTCCAGCCAGTGTCAGCACCTCCTTGGGAACGGGGGGGGGGGGGGGGGGGGGACCCAGTCAGTGAGCCAAGAGGAGGCCAGGCTGTCAGATGTACCCCACCCCACCTTGTGTTTAGTCTAACATTAACATTTACATTTAATAAATACTTTTTAAGTGACTGTGGCTTTGGCTTCTTGTTGCTCATTTGAAAGGTAAAAGTGAGCAGAGCCCTTCTGACAGGAGGGAAATCCGTCCGTGCTGGGAAGCTGGTGTAAGGCCGTGTGCTGGCCACACATTTGTTCCTGAATGCAGGGCCTGCCCCTGCTAGGCACGTGCACTACCGGTGGCCCACACCCCCAGCTCTTGGAGATAGGGGCTTGCTAGGTGGCCCAGGCTAGCCTTAAGCTTGGGATCTTCCTGCTTCAGCCTCCCAGACTGTTGGATTACACATGTGGCCGCTGCACCTGGCAGGATTGGGGAGAAGTCACCTTCCCCCGCCCTGCATGCCTCACCTGCTGGAGCTTCACTGGTCAGGTTCTCATCATCAGAGTCGGCAAAGACCTCGGCCAGCTCCTGGTCTGACATGTCTGTCAGCTCGGTGAGATCCAGAAGGTCAAAATGGACCTCCAGAGAGGAGACGCTGCTCAGGGGCTCTGGGGTACAAGAAGATGGTCACCTCACAGTCCCTCCAACAAGGCTCTTCAGAGCCCAGGGGGCCTAGGAAAGGGCACCGCCTCTTTCCACAGGCCGCGAATGAACCGGAGCTTTCTGCAATGCTAGCCCAGGACGCGCCTGGGGCAGAGCAGGCCCGGGTGCTGTGCTCTGCAGTCAAGGGTGGAGCGCTCTCTGGGGTCTTCCGTCTTATAAATAGCAAGACAGGCCGCAGAGCCAAAGTCATGAGAGCTCTGCAAGGGCTCAGCATGGCCAGACCGCCTCACACCGTGTCCTTGCCCTCTAGAGCCAGGCTGCTTTGTGCCCTGTGGAGCGAGGGGTCCCCAGAGAGGATACTGGGCTGGTCAGGGATACTTACGCCTCCTCTCTGTGACCTGCAAGAGCCCTGGTGCTGGTATCGGGATGCCCACCTCCTCCTCAGCCACAGGAGTATGGCAACTGCTCTCTGTTCCCTGAGCTGGGACACCCAGGGCAGCCGGTGGCACCTCTGCCTCCTTAATGATCTCTGCAACCAAGAGAATTTTACCATCAAGACTTGGAGAGTCTCCCAGGCCCCTGGGATTGGGCCTGGGAAGGGGGGCGTGAGGACCTGGTATGTTGAATCTTACATTGAGGCTTGGCCAATGGCCACAGGTATCCAGGGGAGGCTTCAAACAAAAGGGGGATAAGTAGGGGACATTTCAAAGCAGATGTCTGCACAACCCCAGGGCCCCAGCACCAAGCTGCTCCTGCAGTGGGAATTCACCTTATCCTGTCAGCTCAGCCCTCAGGGGTCCCAAAGCCAGCTCTTTACTGTCTTTTCTCTGTAGACTTTTTCTATTAAAAACCCAGGTTATATCTGGTTTCAAAATGAAAAGAAGGTTACAAAGTAAGACAGGAAGTGCGGTCTGTCGTCCTAGCATTCCTTGGCCAACAGCCTCACTGTACAATTGGGTAAATGTTCTTCCAAGTTATTTCTGTGCGATTTTTTTTTTAATGTATTTTTTTTTTTAATCCCTGTCAGATGGGAACAGGAACCCCCAGGGACCTGCTTGGATGGAGACTGTGCCCTGTGGTCCCATGCAGCCACCAGCTGCCCCTTCTGGTCACTCGGGATTCATTTCTCCATCCACACATCCCCTCTATTCCTCTTTCAGAATGTACCTGAACCCCCTGCCTGCCCCTAGCTCCTCCTCTTTGGCCACATCCCAGTGCCTTCCCTCCTCACTCCCACACAGCCAAAGGAGCCTGCTCACCAGTTAGGCCTGGCCCCACAGCCCCTCTCCCCCAGAGAAGAGGCAGAGTATCCTCCTCATTTTCTTCCCAATATGTCCCCTGTCCCCTGGAGCCCTAGCCCCTTCATGAGGGCTTCTCTGACCTCTGACACCCACCCAAGCAGGTGCTTGTTGTGCGCTTGGATAGGAGTGGCCTGCACGGGGCCTGGAAGTGGAGGCCTTCCTGCAGCCTTGGCTGTGCACATGGAACCAGTTGGGGAGCAGCTGCTCCCAGGAGGCTGCCTTGAGGGGGCCTCACTGGGGGCTCCCAGCACTGACAGCTGCCTGTGAGGGGCGGCCTGTCTTCCCTAATGACCCGGGTGGCAGTGTGGATACTGCTAGGTGAGACACCTGCACCTGATGACCCTACTTCCATCTCCAGCTGAGCCAAGGAAGATAAGAACATGGAGAGACCGATGCAAAGTGAGGACCACCTGTGCAGGCCGGTGGGGGTCCCCACCTTTCTCTGGGCCATTGCCAGTGGTAAAGAGAGCTAGGCAGAGTGTAGGAGATAGGGGGGTCTGGTAGTAGCTGATGGCAGGATGATGGGCAGCCTGTCAAGTTCTGCCTGGGATGCAGCCCCTTGGCCTGACTGCTGTCTCCTTGCCAGGTTGCCTAGGACCTCCATTTAGTGGAAAACCAGCCTGCTGTCCCTGGTGCCCTTAGGTTGCATCGCTGCATGGCCTGTCCCAGGCCTGGGGACTGGTCAGTCTGGAAGGGCACAAGGTATCCTGTTTCTACTTGTATTGGCATCTGGAATGTGGTATGGTTTCCAAGTGTCCTTGGAGGGTAAAGTTACATCTGCTGGCGTCCTGGCCCCCAACCCAGCAAGGAGGCCTTCCACTTTCCAGAGCGCACACAGATGTGATTTAGATCTTAATCTGATTAGGGGAGCTGGCACTCCCCTCACCAGTAAGTAGGGGGACAATGGCCCAAATCACTGTCCACAGGGTTGAAACCCAGGGAGAGGACACATCACAGGAGACGTCAAGGTCCCCTACCTTAGGGTACAAGTGTATGATTTCTATACCACGGGCCTGTACTGTGGTCACCATTCCTCAACACTCCATAGAGCTCAGAGCTGCACCCCCTGGTGTGGCAGGAAGACTCCACTATGGCTAGAAGCTCAGGAAGGAGCTGCCATCTGTCTGGAGAGACATGTGACCAAGAGCTAAGAGGTACAGGTAGGGAGACTGAGGCGTGGAGGGCCTGGATGACTCGCCGGGAGTCCCTGCTCTAGAGAGCCCCTAGCTAAGGAAGCCACAGGATGCTCTTACCTCCCCAGGCTTAAGGGCCAGGCATGTGGCCCAGGGCTATCCTTATGCTACTGTAGGTGGCCCTCAGCTCCACCTCTGCCCCCTTTTGTCCCAATGGCCGCCCCCTCGCTAACAGCTTCCCTGAAATCAAGGAAAAGCAGCTCTGTAGAAAGCCACCTCTGGGAGACAGCCCCCGCCTGGGCAGTGGCTCAGGGATTTCTAGTGCTTGTGTCAGGCAGTCTCCTCCTCACAGCCACCTACGGGGGGGATAAGGAGACAGGCACAGGGTGGCGTCTATCGTCAGCACGGTATGAGGACCAGCTCTGATTCCGGGGTAATGGTGCAAGGCTGAGAGCAGGGGATCTCTGTTCAGAGCCAGCAGAGCGGGAAGAACCCTTCCAACTCAGGTGGGAAGTAGAGAGAAGTGGGGTCTCCACTCGCAGCTGGCCTCTTGCTTGGTGGGGCCCTCACCTAACGCGGAGGCACGGAGGCACGGAGGCACACATCTGCCCGTCCAACAAAGACTGCTTCCACGCCATGCTGTTCTGGAGATGAGGAGCAGGCTGTATGCAGGAGTAAAGGGGCCTTTCTTTCATTCCAGGGAAAGGCCAGGAGGGCTGTCTACAGAGACAAAGGAAGGCTCTGAAGGAAGCCATGCTGTACCTGGGCACAGGCCCTGGCACTGGACTGCAGAAGTCCTGAAGGGCATGTCACTGTCATCTGAAGCACAGCCAGGGGCACTGCAGTGGGACCAGGAGAGCAGGGTGAGGGTGGGCAAGGGTAGGGGGAGATGGTGGGCTGTGTGAAGGTCATGTGGACAGTTAGTAAAGGGTTCTAGGCTGAGACGGACAGCGTCTGCCTGCATGTTTATGGTGGTACAGTGAGGACACAGTCCAGGCAAAAGGGAAGAAGTCTGCTGGCACTGTTCCCACCGGCTCCATGTGCCAGTTCCCCTCCACTTGTGCAGAGATGGGCTACCCTGAGTAGGACTCAGCCAAGGGCCAAGCTCCATTCCCAAGTCTTGCACTGGGGAGGGTTTGTGAACACCATCATGCCTCATTACAGATCCTGGGATCTCACAGGGTCTTGGTCAGCCCTGGAGAAACCCAGCTCCCCAGGCACAGCCTGTTAAAATGACTCTTAAGATCTTTTCGAATTTTAACAGTTGATGGTATCTTCAAGTTAGCTGGATATGGGGCAGGCAGTACCCATTTCTTTCTTTCTTTCTTTCTCTCTCTCTCTCTCTCTCTCTCTCTCTCTCCCTCCCTCCCTCCCTCCCTCCCTCTCTTTTTGTGTGGTGCAGGAGATGAATCCAGGGCTTCACACAGCTAGGCAAAGGCTCTATCACTGAGCTATACCACAACCCCCTGAACTTTTGAAGTTGCCATCTGTCTAGTTTTGATCCTTTGGTCATGATCTGGACTTTATTCTGTAAATCCTGGTCCCATGGTCTGTGCAAAAATTGGGGGAGAAAAATGTAGAAGATGCAACTTTTGCCATCAAGAGCACAAATCTTTTGGTTGTAAGAACACAATGAAAACAGAAAACTGAAGTCAAAATGCAAGGGACAGATGAAGCCTGAGCCCCCAGGAAGGGGCAAGACTGACCTTGGCATATAAAGTGGTGTGGCTGCTGTGGAAATAGTCTTCCAGATTCTCAGATCAAGCCTAGAGTTACCACAAACCCAGCATTTTCACTCCTAGGCACTACCCAAGAGAAATGTGAATCTATATCCACACAAAGACTTGGACGTGAATGTTCACAGCAGCATGGTCCCTGAAGTGGAAACCCAAAGTCTACTAACAGAGAACGGTAAACTAAATGTTGATCATGTGGACTATCCATAAGTGGAACATTAACCAACAATATAAAGCAACGATACATACCACACATAGGTGGACTTCAACATTACAGGGAGTATAAGAACAGTCACAAAAGGTCACTTATTGCATGGTTCCATTGTATCAAATGTTCAGAATAGGAAAATCCATAGAAAGTAGATTGGTGATTGCCAGGGCTGTGGGATGGGAGTGGGGAATGAACATAGTTGTTTGGGGGAGGTGATGAAAATATTTTAATATTAGTGGTGATGACTGCACAATTTTATTGATGTAACAAAAACACTGAATTGCATGCCTCAAAAGGGTAAAATTTAAGCTGGGCAGGTGGATGGATCCATCACTGGTGGACTTGCACTGGGGAGGGTTTGTGAACACCATCATGCCTCATTACAGATCCTGGGAAGCCCTCCGAGTGCCAGAGGAAGGCATAGTATGTGGCTGTGGGGGTGCATGCCTGTAATTCCAGTAGCTTGAGAGGCTGAAACAGGAGAATTGTGAGTTCAAAGCCAGCCTCAGCAAAAGCCAGGCACTAAGCAACTCAGTGAGACCCTGTCTCTAAATAAAATATAAAATAGGGCTGGGAATGTGGCTCAGTGGTCGAATGCCCCTAAGTTGAATCCCCAGTACCAAAAAAAAAAAAAAAAAAAAGAGGAAAAAAAAAGAAAAGAAAAAATTTATGATATTAGAATTATATCTCAATTAAAAAACAATCCTCAGTAGTAACAAATAAGGGTTGATCTTGGCCGGAGTTGATGGGCAAACCCAGGGTGAGAAGTGATACACACCAGTGTGTTGTGTGCATATGATGGCAGGCAGCATGCACAGCCCCAGGGGAGGCTTGGATTGGGTGAGAGGTGTGAGGGAAGCAGCTCCCATTTAGTTCATGTGATTTCCCAAGACCTATGCTTGGACCCAGAGCACAGCAGGCCCACAACAATTGTGAATGAATGATCCCAAGACCACTCAGGTCTGCAAGAAGAATCAGAACCCCTTCGGGGCAAGGCCCTTGGCTATTTCCAGGGTAGTAAGCAGAGTCACAAGTCAGGCAGGCACTGGGTGGGATCCTGGAAGCCTAGCTAAGCCATGACTTAATGGGCTGGAAGCCCCTGGAATCGCCCTGGCCAGGGCAAGTGGGTGTTTTCTTGTTGCTGCTGTTGTTTTTGCAGTGCTGAGGATTAAACCCAGGTCCTTTGTGTGCTAGACAGGCACTCCCACACTGACCTGTACTCCCAGCCCTTTTAATATTAAGACAGGGTATTACTAAATTGCTAAGGCTGTCTTCAAACTTGTAATCCTCCTGCCTCAGCCTCCCAGGTAGCTGGGATTACAAGTATGTGTCACCCATGGTGCCTGGCCATGTGGGTGTTTCCAGTGCTCCAGGAAGGACCCCAGGTATGGGGTCACAGCAATGTCGTTTGCTGGCAGCTGGAAGCAGTCATTGACCCAGCAGACCCATGTCAGTGTGGGCAGGGAGCCCCTAACCCCCTACAGAGATTGCTGCTGCCTGGACCTATGGGTGGGGACTTGAGTTGGGGAGCCACAGTCCTGCCCACCAGTTTTCCCCCAGGGCCGACTGCTGACACCTGTGCTTTGCTGCTGACCTATTTTCCAGCCCATTTGTGCCTGGAAAACTTGGCCCAAATCTCATGTCCCCTGCTGTACTCCCAGGGCCTTGCCACTCTACATACCACTGAATGAATGAACAAGTGAATTAATGAAGTGAATGAATAAATGCAAAAGAAAAATGGCTGCAGAGAGGAAGAGATGGTCAGCAGTAGGAGCCACTTCTGCCCTGTTTCCCCAGCACCTTCATCCCTGAATCTGGTCTCCCTCAAGGATTTTAAGGAGGCTGAGCTGCCCCGACTAGACTCATAGGCTTCTAAGGGTAGGGCCATGGCCCCTCTCTTTGTCCCTGCTGATCCTCAGACAGACTGAAGTGGGATGGGATAGAGCCCTGCTGTCCAAAGATGCTAGCTGTGCCCCTCAAGGAATGCCCACTTGGCATTCCTGTACACAGGTCTCACTTCTATGGTCTGCACACTTTGATATTAAGACATTGTTATTAATTCTCTTAGGTGCAAAGTATATTTTGTTACTGGAGACCAAACCAGGGTTGCCTTATCACTGAGCTACATCCTCAGCCCTTCTAATTTTTTTATCTCGAGACAGGGTCTTGCTGAGTTGAACTTGTGATCCTCCTGCCTCTACTTCCCAAGTCACTGGGATTACAGGTATGTTCCACCATACCTGGCAGGTACAAAATATTTTGATGATGCTTTATCTTATATTTTAGAGGTGATTTCTTAAATGAGTATGGATGAAATAATAGGCCTATATTTGCTTCCAAATACTACTGAAGGTAGGCTGGAAGTGGTCTGGATAAGCTGGCCTGGTTGTGGTCTGTGGGCTGAAAGGTGGCATGGAGCTTTAGTTAATAGGGCTCACTACTTTGTGGATGCTCCATATGCCCCCAAATAACATTTCAACAGTGAGAACTCAGATATGGGCATCATAATCACCAACATGAGGCTTCACGAGGTCTCACGAAGTAGAGCTCACTAGCCCAGGTGTAGACAAGGGAACAGGGCTAAAGGTATCAATGACATGAGCCCCATCTGTTCCCTGGCCAGGTCCCTAACTGTAGGCACAGTGCCTGCACAGAACAAGCACCTGGAAGAAGTGTCTGTGCACAGACTGAGTTAGGATCTGAGAACCCAGTCAGTAAGTGATGCACTTAGAAAATCAGCCTGCTCTCTGCCTTTAAACTACTGAGAAGTTCTTTCTTTCCTCAGAGGAGGAGAGAAAAAAAGCTCACCTCTTCTCCCAGGTGCCTCACCTCTTACCTCACCCTGGCCTCCCACAGCCCTATAGGGTAAAGGGGCTGCATCCTCTGACATGGAAATGGAGGCTCTGGGTGCACTAGCAGCTTGCCACATGTCACAGTTCAGAATTAGCTCTGAGTCCCCCAAGCCATTGCATTCCGGTCCTCCCCACTTTTGGTGGCTAGGAGGCTGCTACTGGGAAGACCCAAGGTCCTGGGATGTCAATAGCAAGAGAGCTCTGATCCACCCCCCATGACAAAACAGAAAACCCAAACCCACTAGCTTCAGGGTGTGTCTCCTGCTTAGAGAGAGTGTCAAGAGACTCAGACAGGACCCCCACCCCCATTACCAGACACAGTGGCAGGTGGATGGATCCATCGCTTGTGGACAGCTCCTAGGGGCAGCCCTCCGAGAAAGGCGCAGTATGTGGCTGCGGGGTGGGGTGGGGGGCTGGAGGGGCGGGGGCAGACTGGCAGCTGGCCTCTCCCCCAGACACTGGCTGGCTCCCTGGGATGGGATATCCAGGACATCCAGGATGTCTTAGGCCTGGGCAGGCAGCCTGGAGATCACTGAAAACCGGTCTGGAAGAGATGTGAAATGGAAGGGTTCTGACAGTGCCCTCAGATCTACAGCCACCACCCTGTCCTGGGCTTGAGTCAAGGGAGGAAGACCTGCCTCAGGATCTCAATCCTCAAGGGAAGGGTCCCCAAGAACTGACAGGAGCTGCGAGCAGAGGGCATCCCAGGCAGCCTGCCCTCCCAGACGTGTGGCCATTAGGCCGCGCGGACCCGCCAGCCCTGCAGCTCGGGAGCCCCGGCGCAGCCCCCACGGCCTCACTGACCCCGCCTTGCTCCCGCGCCCCTCGCAGCCTCCAGTCCCCCCCGCCCCCCCCCCCGACCCCGTAAAAGCGGTTGCGGCGAACAAAGCCGACCGAAGACAAGCCCTCACCGGCGCGCCCATGCCTCGCCGACCCCGACCCCAAACTCCGGCCCCCACCCGCCCCATCTCTGCCCCTGGATCCCGGCTCGGCTGGGAGGGGGCTCAGGACGAAACTCCAGGCCACCTCCCGAGGAGGGCGCCGGGCCGGGCTTCCCGAGTCGCGAGTGCAGAGGACCAGGGGGCGGGGACGCAATCCGTGCGCCCCTAGCCCCGCGCAGGGACGGTTTCCGGGAGGAGCCCGGACCGGAGGGCCCCCAGCTTGGGGCCCGGCGCGGCGGGAGCCCGGAGCTGACCGCGGGTCTTCGGCCCCGGGCGCAGCGGATGGGTGAGCTGGGGGAGGGGCTGCGGCTGGCTGCGGGCCAGGAGCCGCCGGAGCTCCGGGGCTGGGTCCGCACTTACCTCCAGGACCAGCGCCCTCCGGGGGCTCCATGCGGCTAGCGGGGTCTGGGAGGGGCGCAGGCGGAGGCGGCGTCACCCGGCCGGGGCGCCCCAACAGCTGCAGCGGCGACTCGGCCCGGGATCCAGGCACAGCGCATCGGGGCAGCAGCCGGGGGGCCGCGGCGGCGGGGAGGAGCCCGCGGGGCGGGGCGCGCAGCTGCTCCGGGTCCCGGGTCCCCTCCCCATCTTCCCCAGCCGGGCAGGACAGGTGCGGCCCCGCCCTTTTCCGCGCGCGCCCCCTGTCGGCCCAGGGTCCTGCAGCCCCCCTCCCCCGCAGACTTCACCCCTTTCAGTCCCCAACCGGATGGGGCTCCCGTTTCCCATCCTCTGCCGGGTGCCTGGGGCTCCTGGTCACTCACTCGGCAGCTGGCAGCCCCGGTGGCTTCCGTGCATTTGTTCACCCCCAGGTATTTATGAGGCGCCAACTACGTTCGGCGTCCGGTGGTGCTGGGGCGGTGGGGATCCAAGAAGGGGTCAAAGCAGCATTACCCTCGAGCGGGGTAAACCAGGAATTGCAGATCGTGGTTAATGCAATGAATCTACACTGAGGGTGGGTAGGGGTGAGAGCCGGGCTGGGGGGAAGGCAGGGCCTGGCTCAGTCCAGTCTCATCTCCAAATGCTCGTTCTGTACCAGGCCTGTCCACAGACCCTGGATGTGGGCAGACCCTTGAGCGCTCATAATGTAACGACCTGTTTTTGCACAGTGTTAGGTCGGTGGAGGCGACTTGGTGGCGACTTAGTGGCAACTTAGAACAAAGCAGCCCCCGCTGGAAAAGAACATCAATCAGATGCCGGTGGAAACGCCTGTCAATCAGCCAGATCTCCTGACTAATGCCTGTCAATCAACAGGACCCCCTCTAGCCAATCCTGGAGTTCAGCCAACTCCCCTGACCAACTTCAAGGGGGCAAGGGACCCTAGAAACACCTTTTCCTGTCCCAGGCCCTTCCCTTCCTGCTGTAAGCCCCATAAAAGTCCAGTCCGGTCGAGCTTCCACACGGTTTCTCCTCAGACCCTTCCCCTGTCCCCTCTGTGGGTCTGATGAGTTCCACCCAGGAATGATATCTCAATAAAGCCTGTTCAGGGGCCCTTTTAAATATGCCTCCTTTGGCCGCTGCCTGCCCTGCCTGATCTGACACACAGTATCTCATTACTTCTCCTAGTGATCCCAAGAAGGTGGTACCCTGAGTTTTCAGATGAAGAAACTGAGCACAGAGTGGTAGGTAGTAATGTGCCCAAGGCTGCACAACCAGGGCTAGAAGTGAGAAGGACTCAGCGGGAACCCTTGCTCTGCAGTTCACAAAACAAAAACAAATTAAAGAAAACTTTCATGGGGGAGGAGTAATTTGTCCCAGTGGAAAAGACATTGAAGGAAGGAATATGAAGTGACAGAGGGACTTTAGTTGTAGATGGAGGCTCCAGGGAGGGTGGTCCAAACAGCTTCAGCCAACCAGAGTCAGATTCCAGGATGGTTCTCAGGCCAGTTTCACCCGGTAGCCAGCCCCCTTAGTACTTGGTGAAGGTCAGTTCCACAGGCTAATAGTTACTCATTTTCTTTAGTTTACAAGGCAAACGAAAGTAGCTTTAAATAGCCCTTTAAAGTGATTTCAGGCCCACAGAATGTGAGCTGCTGGCCTCTCTGATGCCTCTAGAGGCAAAGCTTCCCTCCCAGGGACAAAGCTGAGCTACAAGGTAGATGGTGGAGACTTAAACACTTAAACAGACCAGTGACCCCCCTGAAAGTGGGGGCAGTGGGTGTGCATGGTCCATCCCAGGTTTTTTTTTTTTTTTGGTACTAGGGATTGAACACAGAGGGGTTTAACTCTTTTTTGAGACAGTGTCTCACTAAGTTGCTTAGGTCCTCACTAAGTTGCTAAGGTTCAATTTGAACTCATGATCCTCCTTGCTCAGCCTTCAAGCTGCTGGGATTACAGGCCTGCATCACTAAGCCTGTCATCCAAAATGACTTTAAGAAAGGCAAGGTAGGGGCTGGGGTTATGGCTCAGTGGTGGAGTGCTTGCTTAGTGTGTGTGAAGCACTGGTTTGATCCTCATCACCACATAAAAATAAATTAAGGAGCTATGGTTGTGGCTCAGTAGTAGAGAGCTTGCTTAGCATGTGTGAGGCACTGGGTTTAATTCTCAGCACCACATATAAATAAATGAACAAAATAAAGGTCTGTCAGTGTCTAAAAAACTTTAAAAACTAATTAATTAATTAAAGGTATGGTGTCCATCTACAACTAAAAAATAAGGTAAAGCAGTATTTCTTCCAGAATCTTCTACTCCCATAGAGATATTTCTGCTTATGATGTCTGGACATGTACCTTCTCCTGCCAATAGTATGTGGCAGATGTGACGTCAACTAACTTCTGAGCCTGGGCCATGAGAAGGATTCAGCTCTCCTGGAAGCCTCCTGTTAGAACCAGGCCACATGGCAGGCGACCTGCTTGGTTCTGGCTGTCTGTACCACTGAGGTCCCAGCCAATAGCAACTTCAATTGCTTTTAAGTGAGTCCCAACCCTGCCTTTGAGCTGCCCTCCAGTGGGGCTGAGTGAATTGTCCCCTAAGTCATTGTCAGGTTGCACATTAATGAGCAAAACAAATGAGGTCACTGTATTAACTACAGCATTTTATGCAGTTGCCTGTATGATGTCAAATTGTTATTTGATAGTGAATCCCACTTCAGGGACAAATAAATGATACAGAGGGGTTCTTGTCAAAGTCTTCCCAGCTGGTAATTGACAGGTGATTTGGCGTCAGAGGCCAGTGTTTATTTTCTCTTTAACTTTTCCTTAAGGACATTCTCAAATACACAGGTGGGGAGAATGGCACAATGAGAACTCACCAACCTGATCTGACAACTTCTAGCTCATAACTCGTCTTCTCTGTCCTCAGTCACCTCCCTCTGCTGCTGGGTTGTTTTGAAGAAAATTCTATACATTATATCATTTTCTAACTACTTCAATATTTACCTCTAAGATATAGATTCATATTATGCCAACATCCAGGCCTGCAGTCAGTTGATGCACTAGGTAGCCTGAGCTAGTTTACTTGGATCACCAAGTGGTTGTATTAGGAAGGCCCAAATTTTAGACAAAAAAGTCAGTTGGTTTGTATGTATTAACATTTGCCCTTGGACTTTTCAGGAAGCTAAAATGCCATTTGTTAGGGTTTCTAAGCTGCACAGCTTGATACTGAATCAAAGTTTTGAAGCCATATATGTGAAGAAAAGACCCTTCTAAAAATCAGAATTCAGAATTCAATATGAAAAACCCAGATGACAGTGGGCCTTATTAGGAGTGAAGGAGTGTGCACCCAGGGCTCCCTGAACTATTCATCTTTGCCCATCCACAATGAAAATCAATATGTCTCAACTTTCCTGATGTAACCATCCTATTCTTACCCCTTTTGTTGAAAGGAGTTATGATAATCCACTTATTTAATTCAAGGCTCCATGCCAGACTTCTAAAGCAAAAAGCCAAGCATGAAGTACCTAGCGTGTTGGGTCTGTTAAGTAAGTGTTAAACAACAGTAATTACCCCACTGGGGTATCCAGCTGTAGTCTTCCCTGCCAAACCTCAGTTGGGAGACTCCTACCCCCACCCCAGCCTTGGAAAGGAGGTTCCTGTCAGGCATATAGACAGGCACAGTGGTGCTGGTTCCTTGTTGCCTAGGCTCAGTCACTGGGCCAGACCTTATTAAGACTTCAGGGCTTGCTATGAACATAGCATCATGGCTAAGGATCTGAGTTTAGTAAGTCAATGGTCTTTCAAACGACTGTTCCTTTCCAAGAACATTCATGGTTTGGGTGGGCAGACAGAAGCAGCTCATTGCTGTGACTCTGGTTGCCTACTAATGAGCATCACTCTCCTGGCAGATTGGGAATACCTGAGCCCACCTGTGCCTTCCTTCATTACTCATACACTGCCCTCAATACAACTTTCTAGGGGGATTAGATTCTGGAATCTTCACTTCAAAAACAGATGTGAAGGAAGATGTGCTGCAAGATCTGACATCCTCCCTGCACCCGGTCCTGGGGATTGAATCCAGGGTGCTTTACCACTGAGCTGGATTCCAGCTCTTTTTATTTTGTTTTTGAGACTGCTTTCACTTAGCTGCTGAGGCTGTCCTCAAACTTGGGATCCTCCTGCCAAAGTCGCTGGGATGACAGACATGTGCCACTATACCAGGCTGCAAGATCACTTTTTAAAGAAGATAATAGGGTCTGGGGCTGTAGCTCAGTGGCAGAGCACTCGCCTGGCATGCATGAGGCACTGGGTTCAATCCTCAGCACCACATAAAAATAAATAAAGATATACTATGTGTTCAACTACAACTAAATAAATATTAAAAAAAAAAAAAGAAGATGATAAAGTCGAGTGCTTAGGCAAAAGCAAAACAACCACTGGCGAATGAAGACAGACGCCTGCTTATGACAAAGTCAGCCTTCTGGGTGACACAGGTCATCATGCGGGTGTAATAGATGGTTGCAGGGACTGGAAATTTGCTTTGGAAATTATAAAATGCTTAGCAGTATTCAGAGCAAGCGGTTAGAAAAGGAAACCGACTGCCTCCTTTTCTGCAGTGCTTGTTTGGGAGAGAACAGTGACAGGACCACCGAGGCTGCCTCTTTAGGCAGAGGTGGTTTAAAAATGATAATTAGAGAGAGAGGGGTCACTTGTTTTCAAAACTTTGGAGCTCAACTTGAACTTAATTTTCTTTGGTGTTTCTGCTCCCCACTGAAGGTTTCTGGAAACCTGCCGCGCATATTCAAGCCTCTCTAGGGCAGCAGGTGGGAGGGCTCTTCCTGCCGGGCGAGGTGAGTCCCAGGAGCAGACTTTCCAGTTTGGGTACTGTCTCCGAGCCTTGGGAGGACGACTGATCCTTCCTTCAGCCATTCGCCCATTCCCCAGCTCATCTTCATGGAGCACTTGCCATGTAGGCGCTGTAGTACGGAACGAAAGACACAGTTCTCCCTCCTCATGGAGCTCGAGTTTAGTGGCGGGGACCAGCGATCGACGACAGGCGCTAGTTCAGGGGCGTCAGGTAGTCAGGTGTCTCGGGGACGCCCAGCAACCAGCCAATTTCCGCCACTCCGGCAACCTGGAACCTT